TTACCGCAAAACTCGCATACGTTCAATATATTCAGTAATGGTCTGCTGTCCTCGTGAAAGCTTCTATTCCATGACGCCCTAGAAATTCAAGCTCTACCTTCCCACTATGTCTCCTGAACCGATCTCGATACCCCGCTTCGCACAAGCGCAATTGCAGCTACTTCTTCAAGAGCACGAAGCTGAAATTTCCTCCTCCTCGCTGGCCAGCACAGCTGCCTCAGTCTCACCTTCGACGCGTCGAACTCTACAAGCAACGGGCTATGCGCTGACGGGAGTTGTGTTATCGCAATGCCGAACCGGACTGGGCGGGCGCGTTGTCGGCGAGTTTACTGCCGATGCAGCTGTATCCTCGAGCAAATCTACCACGAACAAGGGCGAAGATGACAAAGCTGGAGCTGACGGCGAACCGAGGCTTGGTGCGCACGGAATCCGTGTTGGGGATATTGTCCGCGTGAACGACACAAGTGGGTCGGGAAGCAAAAAGCTTTCGAAGGATAAAGGCAAAGCTGGTGGGAAAGATGCAGCTGAAGCATCTAAGGGTCCGGAAGGGGTTGTCACACGAGTTGGAGAGAGAAGTATATGGGTTGCGTTTGGCCAACGAGGTGGTGGTGGCCGATCCAAGGAGGACGACGAAGCCATTGAGGAGCTCTGGGGAAAGAAACTATGGCTGTATGTTTTCTATCGCTCAATGCTACACGCTCATTGGCCTTTGGCACTGCCTCCTATACTAAGGGTAGCAAGCTGTTCGTATCCAACTCATGCTAATAACCGACTGCAGCATAAAACTTGCAAACGACGTGACATACCGACGGTATGTGGGCTGCCTCCCCCCGTGGCCCTTGTTGTAACTAGGCTTGGGGCATGAATGGCTTACGTTTCTAGTATGAACCAAACAATGGAGAAGATGGCTAAAATGACGGACTCGGAATACTCGCACTTTATGCGAGTTGCCTTTGGCCATACGTCTCCAATGCAACCAGATTATGATGCCGTTGGCCCCGTTGAGTTCGTTGATCCAACTCTAAACGATTCACAGAAAGAAGCTATACGGTTTGCTTTGGCGTCCAGGGATGTGGCTCTCATCCACGGGCCTCCCGGGACAGGCAAGACCCACACTTTGATTGAGCTTATCCTTCAAATGGTCAAACGAAAACTTCGCGTACTAGTTTGCGGACCGTCGAATATCTCCGTCGACAATATCGTGGAAAGACTAGCTCCCAGCAAAGTGCCAGTTGTACGCATAGGCCATCCCGCCCGTTTGCTGCCGTCGGTCCTTGAGCATTCCCTAGAAGTACTCACTCATACGTCGGAAGCGGCAGCGATCGTCAAAGATGTGAGGAAGGAGATTGATGAAAAACAAGCTAGCATTCGCAAAACTAGGACCGGTCGTGAGAGACGCGCAATCTATGATGATCTGAAAGAGCTCCGTCGGGAGTTTCGCGAGCGGGAGTCAAAATGTGTCGACAACCTGGTCCGCGAAAGCAATGTCGTCCTTGCCACGCTCCACGGGGCTGGCGGCCACCAACTGAAGAATCAGAAGTTTGACGTAGTGGTTATCGACGAAGCCAGTCAAGCTTTGGAGGCTCAGTGCTGGATCGCCTTATTGTCAGCGTCTAAAGTGGTCCTTGCGGGAGACCACCTGCAGCTTCCCCCTACCGTCAAGTCTTCCGTTCAAAAATCGAAGAGCGCAAAGAAGAAAGGGAAATCGGACACTAAAGACGTTTCAGCCAGCTCTGCAGAAATCATTGGCGATTTTTGTCTGGAGACAACGTTGTTTGACCGACTTCTTTCATTGCATGGACCTGGTATCAAGAGGATGCTAACCACGCAGTATCGGATGCATGAGAAGATTATGCAGTTCCCATCCAACGAGCTGTACGAATCTAAGCTTATTGCCGCCGAGGCCGTGAAGTCACGTCTTCTTAAGGACTTACCCTATGAGGTTGAGGAGACTGATGACACGAGAGAGCCAGTCGTATTCTGGGATACACAAGGCGGCGACTTTCCCGAGAAGACTGAAGATGACGACGTAGGGAAAAAGGAAGCATTGCTTGGCGAAAGCAAGAGCAACGAAATGGAAGCTTTGGTCGTTGCAAAGCACGTGCAAAACCTCATACAGGCCGGCGTGAGGCCTGAAGATATCGCCTGCATTACTCCGTACAACGGTCAGCTTGCCCTGCTTTCTGCCATGCTCCGAGAAAAGTATCCTGGTCTCGAGCTCGGAAGTGTGGATGGCTTCCAAGGCCGCGAGAAGGAGGCCGTGGTGGTTAGTCTTGTTCGTAGTAATTCCGAGCACGAAGTGGGATTTCTGGGGGAGAAGCGGCGTTTGAACGGTATGTTCTGGTGTCTCCTCCCTTTCTGTCATTCTTTCCATTCACTTGTTGCTAATCTGAACGTATTCTATGTCTCTTAGTCGCCATGACTCGTCCAAAACGGCATCTATGCATATGTGGGGATTCGGAGACAATCAGCAAGTGAGTGCGCCAATCATCAATAACTTGCCTTCAAGGGATTGCATCCGCGTCTGTCAGTTTTGTGGACGAGTGCCGACAGCCTGCTAACGTGAAATGTTTGCCCTCCAGAGGAAGTGCCTTTCTCAAGCGATGGATGGCGTTTCTCGAAGAACACGCCGATCTGCGCTACCCGGATGCAGGGGAATTATTATAAAAGAAGGCGAATCTCGAAGATTATAGGCGGTTGGTCTTGAAGCAAGACGTCGCGATAATCAGGTTATCGACACCAAGCCGCGTAGTGTCCTGAAGGACAAGTGTAAACAGCCACTTGCTCCCAACAAACCGGTTCCGTTGGACCAGGCTCTGAGGGACGCTTCTCCTACTGCTAGCCGTATACTGATGCCGCACGGTCTCGTTGTTTGTCAAGACCCTACAATAACTGATGCAATCAATCTTCGAACCGCAAATCCTCGTGCGTCTGAGCGCAGCATTCCCCGCAACCTATGGCTGTTATATTTTCGAGATCCGCCTAGATCGGTACTATTTGACTGGCTAGAATAGCCTCGACTAAATGCGAGGGCTTCGAAAGACTCTAGGTCTTCAAGTCACGTTCTGATGTCTGTGTACATGACGACGGACTGACGAGGCAGGGGATTATCACAGCTAGAACGGTTGAGGGCAAGTCCAGTCTACTGCCCGCTAAGCATCCTACGTTAGGTCGTAGAAATACGTGGTTAATGCTACTTAGATCATTAATAATTGCTTTTGCCAGAGCTGTAGATACCATGTGCTATTATGCATTCAATGGAGAGCCCAGACTCCCGACAACACATGTCACTAACTCTTTATCAGCTAGACGACTCCTTAGGCCCACTTCGTACAGTCCCTACTCCCTAGCGCATGCGCTCATTCTGCAGATAAGCCGTGTCAAAGGGTGTCATCGTTCGAGATTCTGGACATGACAATCGGATATCTTTCATTATTCTTATCCATTATTCAGGCGGACCTCGCAATTCGCGGGTACCTAGAAGGGAATTCCAAATCCGAGCACCCACTTGGCGTGTCTCAGCACACCTTTCACCGTCTCACAGTTACCGTCTTACAGATGATGTTCAAACTCAGAGCTCATGTTCCACTCACTATTGACCTTGGAAGTACGGGGTCTTGTCATTACAGGTTCTCGTTGACTTTGCGGGTTGTTTGATGTCCAAGTACTTGGCCCCAATGAGCCTTCACTACAAGAATGATGGCGACTCAACTGACAACGTTTATCTATCTTGCCCACAGATGATTCGCAGCACAGACCACGAGGACTTTCGGACCAGAACAATCCAGAAGGCTACGATCCTCAACTTTGGCCGGGATTGAGATTCAAGCGATTTCCCACCCCCTGACAGAACTGAAACTGCTTTGAACGCACCGACGCGGCACTAACGGCCGCCGCCCAAACATCCGTTCTTTTTGTTGGCCCACTTGGTCGTCAGGCCCGATTAGTCTTACCAACCCGCCGTTCTTTTTGGATAGTCTTTGATGGAGTCTGTCCGACGATGATGCCGTCAGGAATTAGTAGTTTGGATCTTGACTCCGTGTCTCCATACAACCCACCTACTTTGTTACCTGCTTAGCTTCCTTTCTCTCAGAGACTTTCCTCCTTGAACAACGTACCGGTCTCACAATTTTGGTCTGGCCAGTATTTTGCTCACTTCAGTAATGTGTGTCTGATCCTCTGACACTTCTACGGCCGAACCCCTGTCGAATGTTACCCTCTCACTCAGCCTGACTCCAGTCCGCTGCTGCAGCCCGTGTTCTTCTTGTTGCCGATTTAGGTCAAACGCATCGGTCATGCATCCAGAACAAGCGTCGTGTCTTTCGTTGCATTCCGTTGTCTACGATTACCTCAATTAGGCTATATCGTTCCGATGCTATCTGAATCCACGCGCAGCTACCCCCCGGTTGTCCTTCGGATTGTGTGGAGATATCGACGTCTGACAAGGCCATCTTAACTACGGTCACTTACCACCCTGGTAGCTTCATTGTCGCTCATTTGATCTTCTGGTCGCCGCTCTCCCTTATTGCGATCTTCGATTCATGGGAAGCTTGTCATCATCTCATCTGCATTCCTTGTCTCTCGTTGTGGCTCGAACATGGCCTCTTAAGGTATCAAACCACCTGCTTACACATTCTTGATACAACTCTAACGTAAGAATCAATCTTAAAAAAACCCCTCCACCGGCTCCCTGCGCTAGCTTTGATCGTGTTATGCGGAATACTTTGCTAACTGCCCCTCTTGCTTCCAGGCACACTCTCCTTGTTTTCGACCCATTGATTCCCTATATTCGAGATACCCCATATGTTCTCAGTTGATATCTTCCCACACACTCGCTTCAAATAAGCTTTAAGCAATACTCTTCTCATTGGCAAAGTCCAGTTTGACAGATACCCTCTGAATACCCGGGATTAATAACAAAGCTTATATCAAATCCCTACAGTCGCCGATCTCAGTCGCGCGTTGGCTGAATATACTATCCACGAAGCCCTTGAATGAAGATGGCGGGCTCCAGCTTCAGTACGGAAAGGAGCTCAGTGCAACTTCGCCGTCACTCTACTCTAGCACATGAGTCGTATGAGGGCACCGCTTTACCACAGGTCACATCCCACCAAATGGTACTGAGTCCCCGTGGACCTCTACGCGGCTCGAGGTCTCCTATTTTAGCAAGCGCATTGCGCGGAAACTCCCAAGGAGCAGCGCCCCGGCACCATGCCCAAGACACATTGACAAGAGTGCCCAATACGCATCGGCGAACAGGAAGCACTCTGAAGACGGTTATGCGAAAGATCTTCACCCGCAAAAGGCGGAGTGATACTGATGATCTCGACGATGCCGTCTCGGATTCTCCTACCCCACACTCGCAAACGCCTCGGTCAAACAAGGACATGACCGAGATTTCCTTCTTAGAGCTCCAGAGTCCAAAGTCACAGACGCCAAGTTCGAGCAGCCCTCTTCAACGGGAAGGTGGCGGCTTGCGGGTTCCCGAAGCTAGCTCGCATAGTTTTGCACCGGTACTTTCTTGTCGCCGGCGAGCTACATTACCCAGCTTAATCATGTCCGAGGACGGCCGAAATGCGATGGAGACAGTTTTCAATACGGATAGCGCAAGACGGAGCCGGGACAGGAGCTCTCACGCGAATAGTGACCAGACAGACCTGCTACGCCGCGAGGATCTGCGAGTAAAGAGGCGATCACGAAGTGCTGATGCGCTTCGCGCGATGGCACGAGATCACCAAATGTCCCCTATTCAGTGGAGACGACGCAGCACTGAAACCACCTACGTCAATTCATCAGCTTTTGATATGGCTTCAGACAGCGAAACGTCCGACCGACCTCCTACAAGAACAACAGTTGCCAGCACATCCGAAACTCCCAGCGAGCGCCCAGTTGAGGTGCCTCTGAAGCAGGAGGAACAGGACAGCATAACGCCGAACATTGGAAATCTTGTAAACTGCATGCAGCACAGCGAAGATATCTCTCTTGAGCAGAGACTCACAACACTAGAGGTCAAGTTGATCGACCTTGAGTTTGCCATTGCCCGAATGCAGAATGTCCGCGCTGACCCTTCGCCGGCCGAGGCACTGAAAGAAAATAAAGTCTCTACGCCCACCAAGAGCAGACGACATGTCCGCAACAAGTCGTCGGCTCATCTCCAGTCCGCCGGCACCGGGGAGCTGAAGAGCGACGGATTCACGCCGGACGGTCGGCCTATCAGCACCGCTACAATACGACCTAGCAATCTGCAGCCATCACGGACTTTGCAAACACCATCTTCCACCTCGTTAAGCGACTTCAGCGGGATCTCAGTCGAGCAATACAGCGCTCTTGTCATGCTCCTGAGAAGGGAGCAGACCGCGCGAAGAAATCTGGAGACGCAGGTCACCAGTCTCAAGGAAGACATCGAGCAGCTGCAACGGCTCGCGAACAACTCAATATCCGTGGGCACGATGTACCCTATCCGCAGCCGAGAGTCTCAGGAGCTTGATCGTATGAGGAAAGCATTGGCTCGCTGTCCAACGGACTCCGTGACCTGCTCGGAAAAGATCGGCTCGCCGTACGAGAGTGAATCCGAAGTGGAGAGTCCTGGAGGCTCTTCCAGGGACGACGTGTTCGGGCGGCCGAAGTGGCAGTGTAACCGGCGCATTGAGGTCGCTCGTATGATATGACATTCCCCAGCTGCCAATCGTTTCCCGGCTGGCTTTCGGGGTCATATAATGTGGAGATCTCATTTATCCTCATGTTCAACACGGCGGAGGTGATGAGCCTCTTCAATTAAAGCATTCATCAATCCTTCCACCAACTTTCATTTTTCTCATTGCGGCCATTGATACCCTTCCATGGCGTCTAATTTTACAAGTTGGAGCTATCTCAACTCTCTTTCTTTCATGACTGATCCAAATTGTTGAACAATTGCTCTTGATCGCATTGGCCGTTGTGGGGCCTGTCATGACCCTCTTGATTTATTCATTCACAACCCCAGGATGAGGTCTGTCCTATGATACCACCATTCACTTGATCTATAATTCCTTCCATATATAGATACCAATAGATTGAAGGACATACACAGGCTCCGGAACTAGAACATAACTCCCAAATGCGACCCGTAAGACAAGGAATGCAGGAATCAACACTATTACTACGTACTATCTACAAGAACCATAAAAATCAACTACAGACGCTAAATGCCATGCTTCAACCCAGCGCAATCTTCCAGGTCCTACCCAGCTCACTCCGTCTTCTTAACCCGATCATCCTCCTCCGGCGTAAACTCAAGCCATTTCCCAAACAACCACGGCGACCGAGAAACCACAGACCCCACCGCAAACCCGATATACGCACCCGTCAGAATAGTAATAGGAAAAGCCTGCCACGGACGATCCCTGATCACCAGCAGCGTCAGCATCACTTCCACCCACAGAATCCCAACCGAGAATCCGGTCACCAAAAGGGGGAAAAAAACTCACCAATCCAACGGAATCGGCACAGCCCCAAACCACGCCCCGAGGGCCGTCCCCAGCGCACCGCCCCAGACGGCATCAGCCGGGCGCGCAAACGCCCACACCTCGCGCCACACAGCGCCGTCGACACCATGTACGTAGATCAGCGCTGTCGAAGCTAAAAGCGCCATGTGCGCGGCGCAGAGGACCGTCTCGGCATTGTGTGTCGTCAGGGGGGCGCCGAAGAGAACGAGGAGGAGTGCGAGGACGGGGGTCGCGAGGAGGAAAGTGAGGGTTAGGGAGAGGAGGGCGGGCTATTGTCAACCATTAGCACCAGCATGAGCATCCAAATTGATCATATCGAAATATATTTGTGAAAGAGGAGGAGGTGCATACCGTCAACTTTGCCGACAAACCGGCCGCATGCGCCTGGTTCTTCCTCTTGCCGAGCTTCCCCGCTCGAAGCGGGAGCTTCCTCTTCTCCTTCTCCTTGTCTTTCTCGTCCCCCTCGCCTACAGGTGAGGCCGGCGGCGAGGACAGCACCGAGCCCGCGGGCGGCAGACACACCATCACGTATGTCACCTGCAGGAGCGCCAAGAAGGGGAGCGTATTCAGCATTTCCACGACGGGATCAGCGACCAGCGCCTGGAACCGGACGGCCAGGATGGCCAGCAGCGCGGCGGGATGGACGAACGAGTATGTCCGGGCGAGTTGGCTTGGGAGGATATTCACGGGCGGAGCGGAGGGTTTCATGGCCGGAGGGGGGACTGGCGCGGACGAAGCGGCATTGGCTGCGCGGAGGGGGGAGGGTGGCGCTGAAGTCATGATGACAGGACTGATGGGCGCAGGAGCGCCCCGTGTAGAGTATTCAAAGGAGGGTGCGAGGACGACTTTGAGAACGAGTGAGAGTTGAAACTCGAGGTAGTTGGAGACGATGCTGAATTATTTCGCAGAGTTCGGCGGCAGGGCCGGATCCCCTGACTCCCTGATTGGCTCATCCCATGAGCTATGGCTTGGTTGCCTTGATTGCCGCCTTCGTTTTCAGGCATTGACAAACAGTCATTTGAATACTCTTGATAATGACTCTATGGCCTCCTCATTCATGGGCGCAAATCACACTACTCACTACACAATACTGACAGGAAGCGATCAAGCGTCGAAAAGTGCTCTATGTCTTTTGTTTTTCCATCCTATACCCACACGAATGACAGGTAACACCAGAAGCAAAGCCAACTACCCGACGAAAGGAAATACGGGAAAACGTAAATCGTGACGCATGAAATGGCGTAACAGAAAGGGGATCAGGGGTATGAATGGGACACGCCCACCGAACAGAGACGCGATATACAGTCCCACTCATTGAGTTGGCCCCAAGGACAAACAGACAGCAAAAAGCTTGAACACCGCTGCTCTAGTGAGGCACCTAGACGTCATAGCCAGCAAATCAAAAGAAGGTGTAGAGTCGAGACGAAAACAAATTCGTGCAACCGAACTTATAGCTAGAAGTTCGACACGCATAAAGAAAAAATACACAAGAATAATCGATTGCCGGCCCACTTCCGAGCATACCAAAGGACTGAAAAACCATTGCAAAAAAACATCTGGCTGCGTTACATTCCAAAAAAGTGACGTAGGGCGAGCAGTGGCTCGTCGTTCCGCGTTGCTCAGGGCAATAGCCTGCCGAGCCTAACGAGGGAATCTAATTTAGAAGAGGTTCTTTGTTCTGTTCAGGCTGCGCGGCAGCAAGAGCTTCAGTGTGCGATGGATTGCTAAGATCAGCAGAGACAGCGGCTGGTGCTTCCTTGTCCAAGTCGGGATCAGTACGCGACATGACAGGACTGTCTGGAGTGCGGGGTTCTTCCGGGATCGCCGGGGGCAGGCCGGAGCTGGACATGATTGGGGATACTGGGGAGCGCGTTTGCTCTTCTCTGCTCTCCTTTGGCACCTCAATTGGTGCAGGTCCACTGCTGATTCTGTCCTTGCCAGCAGGGGACATGGTATGGTTGGACGCAGGTCTCTCAGAATCCGGTTGCGCCGGGCTTCTGGTACGGTCTCGTTCCGAATCTCTCACGCCATCCCGAACCTGCGCAACCTTGGCTTTGAATTTTCCAAAGAGGCTCCGCTTCTCGGGCTCTATGCTTTCCTTTGGAGCCGCGCTATTGTTTATCTCAGCGTCCAGGCTCAAAGGTTGCTGGGATGGGTCGCTGGCGAACTGCTGCAAATCCGACGGCGAGCTCTTGCTGGATTGCTGCCAACTGCCCACTGAGGTCGTGCTGCGCTCAGCGCTGGGATTTGATGCGGAAAGGGGTGGCGATGCAAGACCGAGTCCGATTTGTTCGTTGCTGCGCTTAGACGACCGATGGAACTTCCAACTCCGTCGGTGCTCCCGGCGGTCCGCTTTCTCGTCTGTCTGATCGAGATCCGAATGATCTGTGAATGAGGAGCGAGAGTTCATGGAGGGTGTGCGCGAACCATGCGGTCTCAGCGAATTGTCTGCATTGTGCAAGTCATTCTGGACGCCTGGTTTCTCTCCAGCGGCGTTGACGGTGGTATCATCTCCGGGATTTGTCGTGTTAGGAGGTCTAGGGGTCGCCCCTCCGGCTTCACCATCGGCTTCGTGTGCCCGGGTAGCCGGGGGGACGACGCTCACAACAGATTCACCTGGCGCTGCTTGTAGCGACAGAGACGAGCTGTGGGCACTCTCGCTGGCGCTGCCTGGAATCCGCTTCTTCTTCAGACGATTTGGCTGACGGGGTTCCTTCAGCTCACCGTTCTGCGGAGGGGACTTGGTGAATAAACTGGACAACTTTCGCTCTTTGGTTGGAGTCACGACGGGCGGCGGAGGAGAGGACACCAGGGCCGGTAGAGGATCCTGAATGCCAGGCTTCTCGGCGATGGGGGAGCGAGCTTCGGCGACTTTTGGCATGGGGCCATGGGTCGACGAGTGAATGTATGTAGTGCCAGATTCGGCGTTGGATCCTGACGGAAGCGCCGGCGTCGTTTGGCTAGTTTCCTCCTGCGATGTGGGGGCGCGGCTAGATGACCGGGAATTCTGGATAGAAGGGTTGAGCCCAGACGGTTGAACACTGGTCGATTCCTGAACCCTGCCATACCTCGCGGAAGATATTGGTGACATTTTAGATGGCAATGTGTTGCTTCGATGGACTCCAACACCACTCAAGGAGGTTGGTGTCACCGGACCAGGAGAGTTGTTTGAATGGCGTGAATGCTTCGAGGACACGGAGACGTTCCTACGCAGATTCTCGTACTTGCGGAAGCTATCCGCGCCGCCGCTCGCGCTGGACACTGAGCGTCTAATGTTGGAATTCGTCGTCGTCCGGCGAGCAGTACCGCCCTCGACCTCCTTCAGGGTCTGTTCATCTGCGGCAGTACCATTCATTCCGAAAAGAAAGTGATCCTGGTTTTCGATCAGGAAAATCAAAACATCCTGGCTCAGCTTGTACTCATCTGGCGACATATCGTGCTGTGGGTGAGACAGTAGCCCAGGTTGAAAAATGGCGGAGAGGTTCGCCGATGTCATTCGATTCTGGTCAGACTTGGACGCGAAGACGGCGAGGAGATCAAGGATGTAGAGAAGCAGTTGTTTGTTGAGTGGGGGAAGTTCCCTAATCAATTGCTGGTAGGCCGCGACAGCCTTTGCGTGATCGAAGGCATCCGAATCAGCCGAAGATCCATTTTCCTGAACCTGCCTCTGGTATGCGCGTAGCGGCTCGCGAAACCGCTCGTAAAAGTCCAAAGGTACGATCGGCTCGGGGAGCTGGTTAAGGTAGCGACGCAGAACATTTGCAGCATCGTGGACAGTGTATCCGGTCCAATCCAGCCCTTTTCCATATCGCTCCGGCGAATCAAAGATCTCTTGCAGGTCCTTGATACGTTTCGCAGATCCATTCAAACGGAAAATGCCTTCAACGTCCGTTGCTGGAAGTAAAACCGCAGTCAGTAGGCCGTTCGTCCGAGCAAAGAAGAAGATCCATTGTTCGTACCTTTTTCCTTCAAGAAGACACCACACTTGGCGACGACGATGGGTACATAACCATAAATGAAGCTTTCGCCGTTATCGTTCGTGAGGGAGATCGCAACATTCGCATATTTGATGCTGACGTTGAGGGGAACACCGAAGATACCCTGAGGTTTTTCTGCGAGAAAAGGCGGATTAGCCTCACGTAAGAAAGAGGATTCAGAAATACTCCAAGCACCCAGCAAAGCAGCTTTCTGGACACGCTCGTAGTAATTGCACGCAGAATGGATGTAGCAAGCATAACAAAAGCAGGGCTAGCTGCAAGTTTGTCGAACTGCAGGAAAGGTGCCGCATAGGCCAGGAGCGCTGGTTCGCAACCGAGGTCGCCCAGCGCAGGCAACTAGAAACCAGCGCCTCCAACAGACAAGGGCTTTTTTCCTTCCAAATAGCGTACCTTTGACATCCTCTTTCCTCGTGTTACGTTTAAACTGCCTCCACCAAGATGCCAGGTCTCGCTTTGATGGTGGAGAGGTCGCGATTCCGTCATGGTTCGCAGAGGGTGGGAGGGGGTGGATCGGCTCAATGCCAGGCTGCGACTTGCCTGTCACCATGATGTCGAGAGTGTCTGAGAAATGTGAGTTGGCAGGAGGTCTCTCGGGTCCGTTATTCGAAAAAGTAACTCTGGGGTAGGCGATAAAATCGAGTCCTTCGTCACCGCCCGCGTGTTTTCGCAGGATCCGAGGCTGGGACTGTGATCCCAAAATAGCACCAGCGGGAGACAGAGCCGCGCGCCGTCCGCAACGCCCACAGCGGATCGACGAAGGAGACGGTCAGTTAATAATGCGGGGAAATCCAGCTCGATAAGTCCCGTGGATGCCTCGATGATAAATGCGACCGAGTGGCGATGAGACGGAGCTGAAATGGTGAGGACGGGAGTACGGGGGAAAGAAGGAGAGAAGAGAGCGGGAAAAAAAAGTGGTCAAGTCGGAGGGGTTAAGAGGTACGGTGGATGGAAGAAAGGGTGATTAGATTGGAGAGGCACAAGGGACGGTTACTCTCTTCAGGCTGACAGTGGCTTCAGGCTCCTCCTGGGAACTGTGGAAAGGGAGGGGATGAACCAATCCCTTAGAGGAGGTCTCAGTTCAAGGGAGTGAAGACTAAATGGAGACAGGGGTGGGCTTTTCATTCAATAATCAGTTAGAACGTCTGAAAGAGAGGAGGAGTAGAGAAAGGATTGGCGGAACACCACGAAGGAGATGGCGATGGAGGAGAATGAGGGGCGTTGATGGGCTGAACCGATTTATTATTATTATTATTATTATTATTACTATGACCCTCAGCGCTGAGGTAAGTAAGGTTAGAGGATAATTTTCTTGACGAGGGATCGACTACCATCTACGGAGGACATACATAATAACTAGAAGGTACCTTACCGGGCGCTATGTAATGATTGCTTATTGCTATATGAGCAGTGAAGAGACCCAGAACCAAGGAACCAGCAGCTCTGGAAGTTTTGGAGTCCTGCAGTCCTGCTTCTCTTAGTTGTCTAGACTATCGGGAAAGTCGATGGAACGCTGACGATTCCCCGCCCACAGGAGTAGCAGATACGGCTAGGTTCGACTAAGTAGAAGGTAGCACTAGACCAAAGTGGTATATAGCAAGGTACCGAGTACGGACTAGGTCTTCTCGAAGGGGAAAAGTAATAAGAGAGTCACCTCCCCCAAGCAATCGAGACCCTTGGGACCCAATGATCTAGTCGCCAGGTCCCAAACACAAAGAAAGGCACACCAGTGTACCCCGTAGCTAAGAATGATATAATGACGCTGAACAGAGCAGGTTCTTCATTTCGCCGTTGGCTAGGGTAACTGGCATACCAGACTGTTCCAAGGCTAACAGGGGGTACACGCCACAGATGTAAGCTCAATATATATGCTGATTGAACTAGACCGAAGCCAGATATTGCAATACCAGACGGAGTCTGCCGCAGTACAGTCAATATAATCTACGGATAAATTCAGATAGGTAATGTGTGAAGCCACTGATCCACCAATACCACGCAGAAGCTAATGCCAGTATGCCACATATGTAACTGTGGATAGAAGGGGCATTAGAAACTTTTAGCATTGCAAAAAAAACTTCCTAATGGAAACTGGCCGTTAAATCCATAGATAATTCAAGCCAGAGTAAGAGAGCATTCATCCCATTGATTAGCTAGCTATGATCACTTCCAGAGAAGGTATGTATGGATGGTGACCCTGGTGGGGTTGGCAATGTAGCAAGGCTGATGACCATGGTTCTGTCCATGCCACAATTTCAACATTAAGTTCTGCCTGTTCAGGGCCCCCCAACTTCTGGCTGGCGGCGGCGTTCTTTTTTTAAGTTGGAGCTCGGCTATCCTAAAGGGGTTAGACTCGAATGTGTAGAGTCAAGTCGGTTGGTAACATTTCGGGTGTGGACGAGTTTTCTTCCGTTGTATAGCCGCGGTAGGAGCAGAAGCCTGAATGGCACTGAGGAGGCGCGGTTCTCAATAAGAGCTTATAAATTGGTGTACTGATAGCTTAACTCTCATTCTGTGATCCGTGATCTTAAACTGGCACAATGATGTATCATCCTTATCATCCAGAGGTAGATTGACTGCGCAAAGCTCTATGGTAGAGACAGGTGATTGAGGTCACATGAGCTCATCACGTATCACGTGACTGAAAACAGTAGCTTCCGCAGCCTCGAAGGTTATCAAGTGCCGGCTCATCAAAAATTATTGTGCTTGATCGAAACATCATCATCCACATTTCTCTTTTTGCTTTGTCTTTCAAGCCACATCTAGATCACATCATAATGGACGGGTAAGTTCTTTTGCTCACGGAGTCTTCAGCAAGCCCGTCTTGGGATTCGTGCGCTAAACTAACATGGAACCAGACTTACAGCCGCGGAACAGCGAGAGCTCGCTTCTCGCATGGAAAGGAAGCAACTGAAGGAGTTTATGACTGTATGTTCTTATCTGGCGCCTTGATCCCGCCGCCCAACGTGTCCTACCCTGTGTCCAATATCTTCGACCCGTCGACCGTAGAGGCCTGCTTCTGACTGTTTTCCGCCATACAGATGTACTCCAAGCTCGTCCAGCGCTGCTTCGACAACTGCGTCAACGACTTCACCACCAAGTCTCTTATCTCCCGTGAAGAAGGTTGTGTCATGCGCTGCGTGGACAAATATATGAAGGCTTCCGGCCGCTTGAACGAGCGCTTCCAGGAGCAGAACGCTGCTATGATGCAGGGTGGACAGATGCCTGGCCGGTAATCCACCCGTGGTCTTGTCTCTTCTCTTCGTATGGTGTATAAAATGCGTTGGGTTCTATTTCACAGCCCTGGGGCATGATCGTCTTCTGCTCAGTGAATGGGCATCTGGGCTGGTTCCTGTATGAAAGCGGAGGAGAATCCGCCACGAAGGGGCTATAGTGGGAGGTATCTGCTTGGGCTTGCTTTGATCTGTGTAACATGTACCATATAGCATATTCCTACTTTCGTGACTCATGAGCCGGTAGCCCTTGATGGGTTGATGGCCCGTCACATTGTCCAATGCAGAAAAAATGAAGGCACTGAAGCGCAAAACTCGGAGTCATTTGAGACGATCTACTTTCACGGGTATCTATCTAGAAATATGTAACTCAGTATGACGCAGTTGAAGCTTTCCTATCAGAGACAAGCAAGCCTGATACAAGGATAAGGCTGGGAAAAATCTCCAATTCGGGTGATCACAATCTAGTTTAGCCCGACGATTGGAACTTATTGGTTGATTTGTGCCAAAGATGTGAGATTAGTCAACTCATTTGATCGATAGAACAGAGCATTCTGTTGGCATCTATCTACCCATTGTTTCTCCTGGTAACTATCCTGCCTCATAGGCTCGTAGCTAGTGATGTCTTGGCGGGACACGGACCAAATGTCGTCCGGAAAACATTACCCTTTTCGACACTTTCGTCATCATAGCTCAGCCTGGTTGAGAGAACAGGCCGAACTCGGCCTCGCGCTCGATATCTGGTGTATAGAAGTTGTCGAGCCAGGATAATATTGCTCAGTTGGCAAGCGAGCTATATGGTAGAGTGTTGCTGAGCTGGCTCTACAGATCATGTTCCCTAGAGGTTGATTGCATCGTAGTAATGAACAGACTATCCGTACAATGAAGCTGGATCAAATGCCGCACCAGGCCATCCCAACATCAATTGGAGAATGCGGAGATATGAGGGGATTATATGCAGTTATGACTTGTTACTACTACTATTCTTATCAAAGATCCACCTGGCATGCTCCAAATGTCAAAGGAAGAGGAGTCATAACCCAGAATATGAGATTGTCCAACCCGAGAGTTTCCCGTCGGCGTCTGTATCGCTACCCCTCACCCCACCGCCATCCCCTCCCCCTCGCCGAATTTTGACCTCCTCAGAAGACCAAAGATCCACTTCCCGATCGACTCGTCTCGAGCAACGTGGTTCTTTATAATCAGGCTTGCACGCTTATCGCCTTCCTCCAGAAAGACAATCCTTTATTTCACCTTCCCTGCGCTCCTCTTCCGCAGAGTTCCCGTACCATCCGAACTCCGAACTCGTTGACATCATGGCCGACACTGTTGGAAAGGTGAGTCGATATCAGCGCTATATCATTGAAATTGATTACCTTCTCGTGAGAAGTGGCTGCTGACTGGGCATTTAGACCATCACTTGCAAGGTACGACCATTGACGCTACTGCACCCTTCCGGAATCCAGCTTGACTAGGTTATACTGGGCTGCTTCGGCGCACACAAGCTAAATCATACTGGGAACTGTAGGCTGCCGTTGCATGGGGCGCTGGCGAGCCTCTCTCGATTGAGGATGTCGAGGTCGCACCTCCCAAGGCTCACGAAGTCCGTATCCAGGTTCTGCACACTGGTGTCTGCCACACAGGTTGGTATCTCTAGGTTGGGAAGTATTCAGAAAAAGTGCCACAACTAATCGGGTTTCAGATGCCTACACACTGTCTGGAAAGGACCCTGAGGGGGCTTTCCCCGTCATTCTCGGACACGAGGGTGCTGGTATTGTCGAGTCGGTAGGAGAGGGTGTCATCTCGGTGAAGCCCGGTGACTATGTCATTGCTCTTTAGTACGTTCCAGCGATGAACCTGTCGAGTAATATCCAGCTAACGCCGATATGAAGCACTCCCGAGTGCCGTGAGTGCAAGTTCTGCAAGTCCGGCAAGACCAACCTCTGCGGCAAGATCCGTGCCACACAGGGCAAGGGTGTGATGCCGGACGGTACTTCGCGGTTCAAGGCCCGTGGCAAGGACCTGTTGCACTTCATGGGCACCTCGACCTTCTCCCAGTACACCGTTGTTGCTGATATCTCCGTTGTCGCTGTCACACCCAAGATCCCTACTGACCGGTCCTGCCTGCTCGGTTGTGGTATCACCACCGGCTACGGTGCGGCCGTTGTCACCGCCAAGGTCGAGGAGGGCTCGAACGTGGCTGTCTTTGGTGCTGGCTGTGTTGGTCTTTCCGTCATCCAGGGTGCCGTCAAGAACAAGGCGGGCAAGATCATTGCCGTCGATGTCAACGACAGCAAGGAGGCGTGGGCTCGCAAGTTCGGTGCCACCGACTTTGTCAACCCCACCAAGCTCAACGGCAAGACCATCCAGGAGCAGCTCATTGAGATGACCGATGGTGGTTGCGACTACACCTTCGACTGTACCGGTAACGTCGGTGTTATGCGCGCCGCCCTGGAAGCCTGCCACAAGGGTTGGGGCGAAAGTATCATCATCGGTGTTGCTGCTGCTGGCCAGGAAATTTCTACCAGACGTAAGTGTGTGTCCTATAATCAACTGCAAATTACTTACAGTCAATAGCATTCCAACTCGTTACTGGCCGTGTATGGAAAGGATGCGCTTTCGGTGGAATCAAGGGTCGTACACAGCTGCCTGGTCTGGTCGACGACTACCTGAATGGCGAGCTCAAGGTGGACGAGTTCATCACCCACCGTGAGCCGCTCTCCAAGATCAACACTGCCTTTGAGCAGATGAAGCAGGGTGACTGCATCCGCTGCGTTGTCGACATGTCGTAGAGGGTTATGTTTTCTCCATGTGTAAAATCAGATACAGACGAGCTGACGATCTATGGCGTATCAATATACCATTTCTTTATTGCAACTGAATTTGTATGAGTTTGAGCAATTGGCAGTAGATAGAACGGTGTACCAACCGACTACTTGTATGTCTCTAATGCTCGCAAGGTCCTCACTGCAATGTGTATCCGTCAGTGACCGAGGACCTTGCTGATCCTTGATCATTAAATCTACCCCTCTGCAACCAATTTTGAGTACGCTAGGTCTTGTCTAACAGAGACGCGCAACTTCTCCACCCCATAGATACCATCACCGCGACCCCGCATCGGAATTCCATGACTACTCCGTAACTCCAATGCCATCTTCCTATCAAGCGGACAACGTCCGATCCGCGAATCCATCGGAGAATGACTGACGATGCATACTGATAAGCATACCAGTTCCAAGCCGCGCCGTCTCAGTGACATGAGGCACTTGAGATACTCACCTGCAGTATAAAAGAGGGGCAGCTACCGCTGCCCTTCCACCTCTACACGTCAACCTCAACCAGCAGACAAAAGAAACAAAAGCAAAGCAAAATGACCATTGAAATCCCCCTCCCAGAACCCTTCGCCTCCATCCCCCGCTACACCCTCACCCTCGGCCCCTCCCCCATCCACCCGCTCCCCAACACCTCCGCCGATCTGCACACTACCATCTACGCCAAACGCGAAGACCTCAACTCCGCCCTCGCCTACGGCGGCAACAAAACCCGCAAACTCGAGTACCTCGTCGCCGACGCCCTCGCCCAAAACGCCACGACCCTCGTCTCCATCGGCGGCGTCCAATCCAACCATACCCGCCAGGTCGCCGCCGCCGCCGCACACGCCGGCCTCACCGCCCGCCTTGTGCAGGAGCACTGGGTTGATTGGGAGGACGCGCATTATGACAGGGTAGGCAATATCCAGCTATCGCGGCTGATGGGGGCGGATGTGCGATTGCACCCTGCGGGCTTTGGGATCGGGCATAAAGAGAGTCTGAAGCAGTTGATGGGTGAATGTGAGGCGCGCGGTGAGCGTGCTTACTATATACCCGCGGGGGCGTCGGACCATCCGCTCGGCGGGCTGGGGTTTGCGCGGTGGGCGTTTGAGGTGGCGATGCAGGAGCGGGAGATGGGGGTGTTCTTCGATGTGGTGGTTGTGTGTGCGGTGACGGGGAGTACGTTTGCGGGGATGATTGCTGGGTTTAAGTTGCTGGAGCGGATGGAGCAAAGCAGCAAGAAGAGGCGGGTTATTGGGATTGATGCGTCGGCGAGGCCGGCGGAGACGAGGGCGCAGGTGCTAAGGATTGCGAGGAGTACAGCTGCTAAGATCGGGCTGAAGGAGGAGGATATCTCCGAGGAGGATGTGGTTCTGGATGAGAATTACCATGAGGGGGTTTATGGGGTGCCTGGTGAGGGGACTATCAAGGCCATGGAGTATGCTGCCAGCAAGGATGCGTTCATCACGGACCCTGTGTATGAAGGGAAGAGCTTCGCGGGGTTGATTGATTTGGCGAAGAAGGGCGAGTTCGCGGGGAAGACTGTGCTTTATGCGCATCTTGGGGGGCAGCCGGCCTTGAATGCGTATAGCGAGATTGGGAGAGCGAAGTAGGCGACACACTGATCACTTGGACTATTAAGGTGTATTGAGTTGGGGAATATATACTGTGGATGTGTCGGGAGTGTATATAACTGGCATTTCATTTCGATCCAAGCGCGAGCAGGAGTTCGATGAATAAAAATGACTTGATACGCAATGAGAAACTACAGTACAGTGACCGAACAGTAAGTACGATGATTAATTCATATTAACGAGTGGCTATAGTTGGCTATTGATAAACTATTAATAGGCAGATGCGATAGCATGAACGGGGAATGACTCCCCCTAGAAGAGCTTATGCTCCAGGGTCATCTCAGAATCAGGCTGGAGACCAACACAGGCCCGGAAGATGTTGGTCAGAGCAGAGCGCTGCTTGGCGAGAGCATTGACAACAGGGGTGCCAGGAGGAGTCAGAGGAGCCTGTAATCTATTAGTCTACGGTCTATGCCCAGAAGATAGTAGGATAAATACCTTGAGCATGTAGCTCAGGACACTGAGAACACTGTGGAATCCCTTGTACTCGGCATCATCGGCCGACTTCCAGGTGATACGAGTCATCATCTCGGCGATAACAACCAGGTCGATGATCAGAGGGGAAGCAAGCAGAGAGTCCTCGCAGATGTTGAACAAACTGATGGTCTGGTGGCCACCCATGAAGATCTCGGCGTAGTACTCATCCAGAGCACGCTTGTTGTCACCGACAGCGGGCATGTACTTGATGACAACAGTGTGGTCGGGGTGTTCGCCCTCCTTGTAGAGGAGGTGGTTCGCCGCGACCATGTCATCAACGACATTGGACTTGGAGATCTCCTTGGAACGGAACTGCTTCTGAGAGCTCAAGTTCTTGCCGTCGTTGTTACCCAGGTGGTTGTAGCTGGCTATCGAGGTGAGCTTGATACCCGCATTGATCAAAAAGTCAACCAGAGCAGACTTCATCTTGGTCTGGCCCGACTTGAAGTCGTCACCACCAATGAAGGCACCGTGCTTCTCCGCAAGCTGGATGGCACCGGGCACGAAAGTGTTCTGGGGCGATCCGTTGATGAAAGGAACGTTGTCCAAGATACAAGCCACCGCAAAAACGGTAGAGGGAGAGACCTCCTGGTGGCCGGCCTTGATAGCGTTCAGCAGATTGTCTGCAGTGTCATTGACGCCGGGGATGATATCAGCGTAGCGCTCGGTGTTGGCAGTCCACATGACAATGACCTTGTCCAGGCCATTCTGAGCCTTGAAGTCACTATTGAGTTTATTAGCATCTATATAACTGGATCAGTGGTTGCACTCACCGCATGTCCTTCTGGATACGCTCGACGTGAGCCCAGCAGGCCTTGTCGCCCTCAAGGACATTATCTGCCCGGTCTTCCTGATTGGCAGCAATGAAGTCGGGGTAGTAGATACTGGGCAAGGGCTTCATCTCGGCCAACTCCTTACGAACAAGCTGCTTGAGGGTTGGCTCAAGAACCTGCGCGCGATCCATGGCATCCGCAAGGTTCATGCTGCTGATGTCCCAACCGCCAATGACAAGATCATTGGGGTGGACCATGGGGAGCATGTCATGGAACGGAATGTTGATCTCCTCACCGGTCTTGCAATCAGTACCTAGCTTGACGGTGGAGCTCATGACAACGGAGCCGTAGTAGTTGGCAGCGCGCTCGCCTTCGCGGGTCTCCCAGACGAGGCGGCGGCGATTGGCAAGGATACCAGCAGTCACCGTGGACCCGTTGTTTCCACCCCAACCGACCATCATCAGACCGACCTTGCCGACCTTGCGGTCGACCTTGAACTGGTAGTTGGTCACCTTCGGAGTAGCGACCATCTTACCATCGGCATTGCGAGTAATGTCAGTGGTGTGGTAAGCATACTGACTCTTGATCTCGTTGTCAGTGTACTCAACGTTGGGCGAGTTGACGGTGAAAAGAGGAGCGGTGGTGGTACGAGCCGACCCGTTCACGGCGCCATTGGCAGCAGCATCCAAGGTTGCGTGGGGAGCCATTGCTTTAAAAGTTTGCTGAAAGCTCGAGTGATTTATTGGATGTATAGTGAACTATCCGGTGCTCCACCACGAGAGGATGAGCGCCGGCCGTTGAACGGGTGGTGACGCCTAAAGACAAAGTATGTCAGCTCGGATCAATTGTGATGTTATTCACTCGCAAGTTGAGGAAGGCAGGCTCAATTGAGCTTCCTGACCTGGAGACGGGGAATGGTTCCGGCCATGACGCAGTACTTACGAGTTGAGAAGTGTGCCGAAAATTTTGACGGTTTTTAAGCGATCACGCCTCGGAGAGTGTGATCAGAAAGCTTAGAACCAGGAAAATTCTTGGACTGGAGAACAGAAGCTGATGTACGATGTGTTGAGAGAAAGAAGAAAGTCCAAGGGGGCGAGGAGGGAAAACGGCAGGATATTTAAAGCGGACCACGATACTCCTTAGTCACGATGTCTCCCGCAATGCTCCGCAACCCACTCTCTCCATCTCAATGAGGATTCCCCAAGGTTCTACCCCCAAATTAGGCCCCGGTTGCCAGTAGTGACTTGGTAGCGATAATGGAAGCAGGAATCAAGGGTAGTGAATTGTCAGTTGCGGTGTGACTATCAGTAGAAGTACAGATTCTAGTGTCTCTTGCCCCTCCAGGTACCCCTCCATTAATGCTGTCCATTGGCTTACCATTTGCCTTCTACCGATCGAAGCAACACTTTGTTTTGTAGAATCTTGAGGTCTCCGCTCATTAATTGCTATTGACAGTTGGTGAAGCTCCCAAAGCTGCTGCCTGGATGCGGAACACACGCTGTTCCTGCGAGATAGCACTGGATAGATACACCGAGGTTCCAAGACTGCTAGGTCGGGCGCCATTATTCCGTCAACCTCAATCTTTTCTGTCGGCTAGTGCTTTATCTATTGGATAAATGACAACTTCAGGAGTCATGTTTCATATCTTTGATACTCCAAGTACTACTACCTACAGAAAACCGATCACGACAACCGACAACAGGCAATTGAGCACATGGAACGTGCCTAGATTGAGAAAGTAACTGAGACAGCGCATCGGACCCGATTCAGGAGTAAAGGACAACTTGTGGTCTGCGCTTGCATCGCTCGGGAACAGAGTGGGCCGAGTCGGTGTTGACCAGGACGAAAACAGTTTACTGTTGCAGTGATGCTCCGCTTTGAATTGGCGGTCTACGGAGTACGCATGGAGACGGAACAGAGTTACGGAGAGACTGGACCCTCAGGTAGGTGCCTATGCTCAGCCTCGAGGGGGGCATAATTGCCGTCTCGCACATTGAACGACTGGACATTTTGATGAAAGTAAGCAAAGATCAAAGGGTTGATTTAAGGCTGGTATACAGACAACAAATATCTATCAGGGATTCGAGTGTACGAATGTCAGTGGACTGGTGTGGCCTCATGGTGCTTGCAGCCCCTGGAATGTTGCGGTGTGCAGTAGGCGGAAAGCTCGGCTGGAGGTTCCATGGTTACATCCAACACGATGGCCTCATCCTCAGCTCATAATTATTTATGCATGCTTGATATCGAGTAGTGCAACCAATATGGATGGGGATTACATCGCCAGGTCCATAATCATCAATGCTTTTGTACGAAATGCGACGTGAACCACAGGTAGACATCTGCGCTCGCAGCTATTCTACTACGAACTCACAAGCTGCTAGGCAATTACATAGCCCCAAGGTATGCAATTATGAGGAACTGTATATGCTTGTTTTCCAATTGTCGAGGTTCCAGGAAGAGAAGTGAGCCGCCCAACTCCTGAACCTCGAGTTGATCAGTGGGAGCGGGATTCGTCCAAGTCTATCAGATGCCAGAGTAATAGACATTGTGAGCTCATTGACTGAAAGAGCCACACAATCTGCATTCTTGCAACTTGTTGACATAAGGACGGTAATGGATCTCTTTCCTTCAATCGAAGGAAGACTCGTGAACAGTTTGCTCCCTTTTCTGAGCTCACGAGGTCAGCAAGTGATCTTCCCGCAACCATGGTACACCCCGTGTTTTGAATTCAATCGTGCGGAGTATCCGACAACATAGAAAAACAATACCCTAGATCGCTTCTCTTAGAAAATGCGCAATCTGGCCTTGCAGATGCCTGAGTGTGATGATATGCTCGAATCTGTAGTTATCGACCGAGTTGCAAGTCTCCATTGATGTCCCGCGGATTGACTCCTCATTCGATGTCCCAACCCGCGACGGCCCAGTGCAGCTACTATGGCCGGTTAAGTTTGCGCCCCTTGCCTCAAGGCAATATTCAGGTCCACATTTTTGCAGCAAAGTAAGCCATGACCTGAACGCATAATGAAAGCCGTCCGAACAACCCTATAGACACCTGGAAGTAATCTTGAGTCCCCAGACGAAGGATTCAGCAATCAGAGAGCACTATGATCATATCAACATTGGCGGCAAGAAAGCACAAGCTAAATGAGAGGCTCGTGCACTGTCAGGGTCGGATTATGGATACGACCTCAGAGTTTTGATCCGAGGAGGAACAGGGCTGATGTATTGACAGCCAATGGATTATTGGTAGTAGAGTGACCAGTTGCCCCTGACGAACGATCGGCAGTTTCGGTGGTTCTTGGTTCAGGGGTTGTCATCCTGGACCATGGACCTTTCTGAGAGGCACAATCGTGAGTATCCCCAGTATCTGATAGTGCTCTCAATTATCAGATATCCAGATATCCAGAGGAGAGTAATCTGAGATTCAAGCCTGTCTGAAAGAATCATCGTACAAGTCAGAAGCATCCAAACAGAGGCCAATATTTGTGTGTGGTCCATGGGAAAAGGGGCGATAAACAGAAAAATATCATCACCCAATCAGACCACGACGCCTCAGGCAAACCAACCATCTCGTAGGTTCGATTATTCGCTTTGATCCGCCAACAGCCTTCTTCTGCCGCGAGAAAAATAGAGCAGAATAAGACTAAGACCAATTCAAGAACGCGTGTCATCCTGAACTACTCCTGATTGGGGCCGCACCGTCGAAAAAGAAAGCACACTAGAGTTCTGGATCGTCACACGAGGGCCATCAGACGCGGTTGGTCCCACTCAAAGAAACCCGGCTCCAAACAGCAACTGGACTATTATTATCATCCATTTTCCTCTCCTCCACTCCTTGCAGTTTGACATATATCTGCTTCTATGCATCTCGAACATTGATTGTTGCGCTATTCCTGGACTGGCTTGATCACTTTAACTGCAGGATTCAGCCTTCGATGCAGAACGAGCAGGGATCCTTACGTGGATGGTAGCCAGTGGTAGACCAAGAAACGGACAGATGACGGCTACTGCTTAATCTGAGGGATTCATTCATTCACCTTTGTGCTTGTTTATCAATTCAATGAACGAACAATATCAGTGATACGTATATCCTGTAGACCTCTTGTCGGTCGACATGGCGGGATTGATGGACGGGGCCCTGTTGCCCACCATCAAATGCTCCAATTGCGGGATGAGTGTCGAGATCTCGGAGATGGGAGACCACGTCTGCAAACCTGCGCCAGGTAGTTGCTCGACTGTGAATATATCAATCATATATCTGCCTTACTGACTCTGTCCAAGCATCTCCATCTCCGTCTCCTCCATCGCCTCCACCAAAATCTGACTCTGCGACAGTCTCGTCACACCTGAGGAACCCGTCTGGACTCAGGCTGGGACGACAGGGGCCTCCACCGCGCATCGATCCATCGTTAGCGAGTATGTTATGATGCGTAACGAGCTCGTCCTTTCCTATCAATAGATGTGGACTAACGTGATTGGATCTACTAGATCGGCCATACTTGCACCCCAACGAAGATCTATCGAAGAGTGAAAAGGACTCTCTGACCCCATCTCCGCTCTCAGTATCAACAGGACAACGATCGCCGTATTTGCAGCAAAGGAGTCGCATCTCCCCCCTTCTGGATGAACCCGACTCGCCTGATGTGATCAAACCAGTTGGCGATTTGCCGGCGTTCCCCTTGCCACGATCCATGTCCAAAAAACGAAATGCTTCGCTGTCGCGGTTGCAGATAGCCCAAACTGCACCGCCAGTGCCCTCTCCGCAATTCGCGCATGCGATGGATGGAGAGGCTCCGCTGCCTCCACAGAGTGCGCGCATGTCAGGATACGAGAGAGGACGTTCACCCCCGCCTTTGACGAAACAGCACGATGTGCCTCGCGCTCAAGCGATCTCCCATAGACATGGGGACTCGATTGACAGCAGGAGTAGTTACGGAACATCCGCCGGGAGTACCCGGTATGGTGAAAACAGCTCCAAGCGATCGACTGCTATGTCCAGTCGACGACCCTCATTCGGAAGCATTGCTCAAGAGTCGCGTCAATTCACGGAAGAGGCATCATCCGGCCGCCCCAATCATCTAGAACCTTTGATCGAGCAGTCAACCTCAGCCGAGCAATCAGCTGGGACGGAAAGCCAGAAGCGTGACGGAAAGGGCGGCAGCTTCAGCGGGTTCGATTTCGGGGTAGCAACCGCCGAGAAACCATTTCCTGATCCATTGCGTGTATCGTCTCATACGAACTCCGACCGGCTTAGCAGCACGCGAGGCTCCGCCGAGCTCTTTTTCCGTAGCCCATCGCAGAGTTCGTTTGGCTTACCTGCCGATTGGCTTGATCCTAATGAAGCACGATCGTCGTCTGCGTCCTCCGCCAACATTTCATACAAAGCTTTCCGACCCTCGGTGTCAGACCTGGAACCACCCAGTGTCTCGCAATCTGAGCCGAAGGATGTCCCAGGGAAAGGCACAGATTCGAGCAGTGAAAGCAACACATCAGTTTCCAAGTTTGCTCGTGCTCTAGGTCTGGATTTTCCCGCTCATGCGACGCAGAATTCGACTTCTTCTTCTTCCGAATCGTCCCCCTCTGAAACACGAAGCGGAACCTCAATCTCCAGTCTTCCCTCGGAAGCCAGCCTGTCAAGAAGAAAGCCGTCAGAGACGAGCCGACTGGGAGTCGTCAAAGAGCAGCAGGGCAATGGCAATCAGCAACCAGTGCTGCCCGAATCCGAGCAGACGGAGAGTCCCAGTGATCTTGAACCCCCGCGAATTCCTGCTTCACTTCTTAGTCCCGACTCCCCCACGGACCCGGCCATCAATCAAGGTAGTTTGTCCTTGCTGGTAGACAAGGCACCGAGCATTCCTCCACAGCCTCGCGAACCTCGCGTACCTCGCGTACCTCTTGTACGTCAAGGATCTCACGATCCTCGAAACGAGCCCCCGGAACGGCCGACGATTACTCGATCAGCGACAGAGCCTCCCGTTCGACCGCCACCTCGTCCCAAAGGGCGTTGTAGGGGATGCGGTGAGGCAATTCTGGGAAAGTCCGTCTCGTCCAAGGATGGTCGCCTGACTGGGCGGTACCACCGCGAATGCTTCGTCTGCTGCCATTGCCGATCGCCATTCGAGACGGCCGATTTCTATGTGCTGAATGACCGCCCATACTGTGCACAACACTATCATGAACTGAACGGGTCACTTTGCAGTGCATGCAACAAGGGTATCGAAGGCCAGTATCTCGAAACGAACGAGAGAAGCGGCCCGGGGCCGGCGGATCACAAGAAGTTCCATCCCGACTGTTTGACCTGTCGAACTTGCGGGATTCCTGTAAAGGGCGAGTACTTTGAATGGAACGGGCAGGTGTACTGCGAACGCGACGCTCGCCGGGCCGCTGCATCCATGTCGCCCAATCGCATGCGCCGGCCGACCTTGCCATCCTCGCCTTTGGCCGCTCGTCCCCCGAACTACCCCCCGATGTCTCCTGGGTATCCCCGCCGCCCTGGCCCTGGCCCTGGCCCTGGTCATGGACCTGGCTTAGGCCCGGGTCCTGGTCCTGGCTCTCGTCGTCCTTCCGGGATGTTGGATGTACCGCGTGGGCCTCCCCCAGCCGGCGCCCGACGATTCCCGGAGAGGCGGACGACCCGGTTAATGATGACATGATCCCTATCATTTTGCTCGATTGTCCTGATGAACTGGTGGCAGCGTTGATTGAACTTTTCGCGCACTTCGTGGTCTACATATTTTGGATTTATTTCACTCGTTCCTCATCCGGTCTGGACCGTTATATACCCTTGCTTTTCACTTCAATTCTTTACATTTCTTGTTCATACGCTATATATCCCCACTGTCGCTTCAGAAGTTCTGCTCTTGCTTGTGCATATTTGGTGTACCATATTTGGAATTCGGTCAGCCATGTGAATAGGACGTTAATGATTAATGTGAAATCTATTTACTCGCTCTTATCCCGCTTCTCCAGCTTATATAGAAACTTCCGTCGAAAGAGCCACCCAAACATGACCACCAGAAGCGACACAGCCCACGCCTGAGCCCTCTGTGAAACCGTGACTCTCTCGTCTCGAGTCCCCGGACTGGCACCTTTCACCGCGTCTAGGACCATACTCCGACACCGTCCCGGATCATCTGTAATAATCCCATCAACCCCCCGCTCAATCGACCACCGCATCAAACTCGGCTCGTTCACCGTCCACACAAACACACGTCGACCCGCGGCCCGCGCTTCCTCCAGGAACCCACTTCCCATCCCCATCACCACTTTCTGATTAACATTCACCGAAGCCGGGCTCCCCCGCAGCACCCGCGCCGCATACCACAGATCGAAGCAGATCAAAGCGGTCTCAAAACCAGGTAAGTGGCGCTCACACAGCGGGAAGAACGCAGCAGACCAGCACCCGAGGACGATACGTTTCGACCACGGCGTTTTCGACGGGACTGATTCAAACGCCTCCGCAAGAAGCGGGATGATCCGTTCGGGGAGATTACCGAGCTATTCCGTCAGTACCCTAACTTTCCGAACCAGAGTAGAATGGTAAATACCTTGATATCCAACACCACCCACATCCCCTCCCACCCAGGCTCACAAAGCAGCGCCAGGAAATCTACCAACCGCGGCATCCGCACGTGCGGCGCCTGGGCGGTGGTAAGGGATTGCAATTCCTCCCAGGTACATTCGTCCACGAACCGCTTCACGCCGTAGACCCGCTCTAGCGAGCGGTCGTGGCAGAGCACGATGACCCCATCGCGGGAGACGCGGAGGTCCGTCTCGATGGCGTCGCAGCCGGCGGCGGCAGCGGCGCGGAAGCTCTCGAGGGTGTTTTCGGGGTACTGGGAGGAGCGGGGGTTGCTGGAGGTGGGATGTTTGGTTTTGCCGCGGTGGGCGATTGTTTGGGGTTTGGGTTTTGATGGATTCATGGTGCGGTTGTGTGAGTCTGTAGAGTATTTAGAGGTTGATGGAGATGGATTCGTGCTTGTTTATAGTTGTTTATACCTCACCTCTGCCATGACGTGTATGTGGGCCGGAGATAAGGGGTCAGGGCCGAGGGGTGGATACTTGCATATCCATGAGTGGATGCGTTGTTTTCTGGTTGCCTGAAGACAACCATCCATAGAAATCCTTGTGCTTGACGAGGGAAAGTTTCTCACGTCAGTGGGGATGACGCGTGTCTAATAGATGGACGCAGCAGAGAAGCTACAAGTGGGACAATGAACAAAGCTTGGGCTTCTTGATCTGCTAACTGAGTGGGCTGCTTTGGTGTGGAACCAGACCCAGTCCACCAGACAATATATATACATATGACGAAGAGATATCTATTCCACGATCTTGCAACTCACATGTGGTACGCTAAACGCAGAAGTGTGTACAGGACTGTCCTGAATTCTTTTGTTTGCGGAGGCATATCGGCAGGAGGAGACACTTCGGATCTCAAGGCCGCGATTCACCAGTACTAGGGTCAAGATCTTCTCAGACGTCGTTATCTAATCACGGAATAGATAATATCCAGCAAGACCCGACAAGCTCTTGTGCTTGATGGCTTATCCCCTTACGTGGTGCATATTGCGCCGACGGTGCACTGTCCTCTACCAGAGGGACAGCCAGCTATTGGTTGGATTTCTGGCTCTTGTCGCATGAGTGAACCGGTCTGCGATCTAGATAGAGTCCGTTAGGTGTTAAGGACAAAGAGGCCGTGGATAAAATACCGTGCAAATCAGCAAGGCGTTTGAGCTTTCAGGCTGACAAGACAACAAGTTCTTAACGCCTTCGTTGGTCTCTTCGATCACTTCCGCGAGCTGCTGTTCCGCATTAATGCATCGTATACATAGCGGGTTGCTGAAGGTGTATCCCAAATATGCATTGAAGAGCAAGCAGCGATACAGAGAGGAATATCCTGTTGACCATACTAAGCTCGCGACTTCGGCGGAAGAAGCTTCCACAAGTTGCTCCCCGGGCAAGCATTCAGGCACTCGCAGAGGCCGATAATATTCGGGACAACCGCAATGAGAAGCCACTACCTCAGTACTCAACCCCTGAGAGGGGTTAATGTGCTCTGTATCTCCCAACCGAGGCTCCTACTTCCGAACGGCATGTTGATATTTCACCGTCGGAAAAAGTTCTCCAAGCCGATTATCGACCCCTCATTGGGGTAAAACCACCACACACAAACTCGTACATCACGACTGCATCTTCTGCATTCTCCAATGTCTAGTACGCCCTCGATCTATCTTTCTGGGTCTCACAGGACATCGATATCAACATGTCAACGGCAATGGGACAAATGTCCATCGCAGAAAGACTGCCGGGTTTCTCCAACTGCGGGGCGACTCCACAATGACGCATTTTTGGGCAATATTAATTCCGACCATCAATTGCATAAATTTTGAGCTTTTGAACCTTCCTGGAGGACACCAAAGGTCGAGCTTCAAATCATTAAAATGGCGCCATCTATCAAGCAATGGAAGAGTAACCTGAAAGGCCTTGACAGCCTGCAGCAGGCCGAGGCCCCAATGCCCGCACCCGGACACGGGGAAGTCCTCGTGGAAATCTATGCTGTTTCTTTGAACTATCGCGATACCGAAGGTCAGTAGCCTCGATTCAATGTATCGAACTTCGAATATTTATTCTGGTCTTAGTCGTAATGGGCGAGTACACCCACCACAAAGCAACCCAGGGAGTCGAAACCGTCATCGTCCCCTGCAGCGACATGAGCGGTGTGGTCACTGAGGTGGGCGAGGGCGTAACGGCCTGGAAAGTCGGCGATCGCGTCTTGTCGACCTTCCTCCCGGACCACCAGACCGGGCAAGTGACTGAGAAGGAATTAGCACGCGGCCTGGGCTTGCCGCTGGATGGAGTGTTGGCGACACATCGTGTGTTCGCCGAGCAGGCTCTGGTTCGGGCCCCCGGTTATATGACGCACGAGGAGGGTAGTACACTTCCCATTGCGAGTGTGACGGCGTGGATGTCGATTAATGGCATGCGGCCGATGGGACAGAACGGAGGAGAGGGCGAGTATGTCTTGCTGCTTGGGACGGGTGGGGTCTCGATTGCTGGTTTGCAAATTGCGAAGGCATCCGGCGCGAAAGGTTTGTTTCGTAATGCCTATGCACCTGTGGCATGTGATTGATATTTCCCAGTGATTATTACGTCTTCATCCGACGAGAAGCTGGAGCAGGCGAAGAAGCTCGGCGCCGACTATACCATCAACTACCGCACGAACCCCAACTGGAGTGAGGAAGTGATGCGGGTGACGAACAACCACGGCGCGGACATCATCCTCGAGACCGGTGGCTCGGAGACCCTGAGCAAGACCTTTGACTGCGTCGCCTTCGGTGGTTTGATCGATTGCATCGGCTACACATCCGGAAAGCAGCAGAATCCGAACGACACTCTCAACATGAATGTTCTCACGCTGCGCAAGAACCTGACCATCAAGGGCATCATCAACGGTCCGAAGGACCGCTTCGAGGAGATGGTGCAGTTCTACGAAAAGCACCAGATCCACCCTGTTGTCAACCGGGTATTCCCCTTCGAGAAGGCCAAGGAGGCGTTCAAGTTTCTGGCAAGCGGAGCGCATTTCGGAAAGGTCGTCATCATGGTGAAGGACCAGTAGCCATTCATTGTATATCATGTGCTATATCTCAAATTCTATGTAGAAAAAGAACATGACATACCGGTCAATCACCCTGACTAGGCTTGATCTCCCCCGACCCACCCACATCCTCCCCAAGCACAACCCCCCCGATCACTATCGGCTGAATGTCCTGCAATATAAAGACCATGCGCGACCACTCCACCGCACTCGGATTCCTCCACGCATGCTTCGTTCCCCGCTGCACAGCAATATCCCCCGGCTTCAACATCCTCTTCTCCCCCGAATCCAGAATCATCTCAATCTCTCCCTGCAGGACAATGCCGTAATCCAGGCTCTGCGTGCGATGCATGAACGGCTCTCCACCGGGTCCAAAGTCGACAAACCGACACACCGTGCCGCCAGGGTTCACCAAACCCAGGGTGTCTTTCTGCATGAGTTGCTCGTGGGTTTTAATGTCGGTTTCGTTGTTTAGGTTGGCGGGGAATTCGGAGGTCGTGTAGGCGACTCCCATGCCTAGCGCGCCGTCCTGGTAGGAACCCCAGGTGACGGGCTGCTCCGAGTGGACGATGGCTTGTCCGGCGGGGTTGTGGGTGGTGATGTAGCGGGTTACCCCCGCAAGGGGGGAGACTTGGCCTGGATTTGTAGACATGATGGCTTGGAGAAGGAGTTAAGAGCTTCCAGGGATGAGAAGAAGGAATTGGATGAATGGATGAGAGGGGATGAGATACTGGACGGGGTACCGCCGCATTTTATACGAACGACTCGAATCAGCAAGGTCTTCACAACCTTACAGTGCTGGAGCGGTCTGGTTGGGCTGCAGGATTTCTGCAAGGATGACCCGTTCTGGCTTTATTAAGTTCGTCTTAGTCTCGATTATAAAACAGCCTAAGTGGCGTTTTAATTACACCGACTGCACTGTGCTGCCTATCAATCATCCCACGATGATATGTTATCTAACCTTTTTGGTGCCTTTCTTTGAGCATATTAGCAGTAAATGCTCTTTATTCTCAACACTTTCAATTAATGAGCAAGAATTCCATAATGACTAGCGGTATAGCGTCGCAAACACCGCCTGGCCCCTCAGCTGAATGTCTAGGCAGCTCGTCAAGGTCATGGCCCTACTGAAGGATCCGGAGGGGCAGCGGAGGCCCCCCTCCTACAATCTCTCGTCTGCTCGACCAGTTCGTTCCATGTCATCCCAAGCCACCGGACAATCTCCTTGGCGCCTATCCCATCGGAAGGTTTTCGTGAGCGCGAAACCTGGTCCGGATCGGCGCCGGCAGAGAGGAGGAATCTCATGAACTCTGCATTTTCAATCGACGACTTCCGCGCAGCAAATTGAAGCGGTGAAACCGCTAATTTACTCCTCTGTCCATTGACATCAGCTCCGTACTGGAGGAGAGCTCTCCCGAGTGGAATAGAGCACGTCGTCCTTGCAACAACCCCCAAGGAGTAGGAAAGCTTAGCAGCCTTGAGCTTCTTAATCCCCGCGACGGATTCCCACAGGGAAAGTAACATATTTTCCCTTTTCGCGACCCTGCAGGTGGCATTTATGACCGGCTCTTCAAAACAAACATCGGACATCCTTCGGTCCATGTCGTCAGCACGCGAGAGAGCCGCCATGAATTGCTCGCAGAGTCTCCACATGTCCTCAGAGTCGGTCTTCACGAAGGCAGCAGTAATAGACGCCGCCTCATCTCTATATTCCGGCATCTGATTCGAGTTGATAAGCCAATCAATAAATTTGACGTTACCGGACTTTATAGCTCCGTGGTAAAATTGATCCACAGCCCTGTGCTTCGCTCACTCTTCGTAGACCCGCGTGATCATCTGCGCCATTGGCAAAGATCCAAGTTCGCCTACCGTCTTGCCTAAGAGAGAAGAAAACCGATAGAGATCGTCAACCCGCGGCAGGAGACGCTCGACCATCTCCACTTCATCTTCTCTGACCAAATCGAGCACCAGTGCCTGGACCTCATCCTGTTCGATTGTGTCCTCGGAGAGAACCCTTGGTGGTGTCTGTTCTTTATGAGCTTTTTCCAGGTGTTGGTCTCTCATGCTGCTGGATAGAAATCCTATAGTCTCATACTCGCACCCAGAGACGCTGCATTTCCAAGGGCGATCGTGCTCTTTTTCATGTTTTGCTCGTTGCGCTCTGGATTCGAAACCATGCTGTTCAAAAGAACAGTTCAAGAACCCACATTTGAACGGACGTTTGCCGAAGTTTCGCTCTATGGAATCGCAGTGGCAGTTTGGTTGATGATAGCTGGAAGGATACAGCTTGGAGTCCAGCTCTCGGTATATTTTCGCCGATACACGGGATATCAACAGTGGATCAAAACTGTTCCATTTGTCCCCTATCGCAGTCAGTCCTCTGACCAAAGCCGTGGATTAATGGTATACCTTCGTTGACATGATACCAAGTTTGTGAGCATCTCTCATGAAATTGAGCTATTCTAACAAGAAAGTGATATAGATCCGGATACTCTGGCTTGATAGGCTGCAAGTACGCAGGTTTGAAAAAGGTATCGCGCTCTGCTGCAAACTCCTCGTTGCTGCGTTTAACCATCAGCGTCCTTAGGCAGTGCACAAGCCCTAGTGGCAGTGGCTTGTTCTGTGTCAACTGCAAGTACTTTTTGACCAGCTCATACCAGCCATTTACTGCGAAATAATGCAGTCTATAGCTGCCATCCAGTAGGAGGCCGGTGAAGATGTCATCATTACCCAGAGTAACGACATCATAATGTCTTTGGCTGAGAAAAGTAGTGCAGCAGATGGCAAGATCGAGGGTCGCATGGGTGAGGCTAATATGCCCGTCAATGCCGGGACTGAACAAGTATCTGCGCTCGTTAGTCAGATACATGCCAGTCAGACTCACAATGCATACTCCTTGACTGTGAAGTGTACAAATTGAATATATCCATCAACTATTTCGATAATGGGTCCGCATAGTCGGTTGAGGTTTGGACTGGCGAACACTTTTGTCGCCAATTCAAGGCTTTCGGGTTTTATCATCAGTGCTTGTTCGATCTCCTGGACGGTTAGCGGTGTTGGCGAGCAACCCACCCAGGCCAGTATTCTTCTGGCCTTGTCGCGAGCCGACGGTGGTCGCAGTTTATTGATTCGTACAAGCACTCGGGAATACCTGTAACAGGTCAGTTCATCGTCTAATTTTGATCCCAGGCATCCCTACGCATCATCTAGATCTTCTGGTAGAATGCTCAAATCTTCGCAAATTTCAGCCACATCGTCTATCAGCTCAATACCGCTTAAGACGATTTTGGCATACAGGAACATCCCTAAGTAGTTGCGTGAGCCGCAAGATCGCGCCGAGAAAAGCATCTCCTACCTTTGGCTTTGGATGCAAGCGGTGCCAACGAGCGCTTTATTTCATCCTGGATTTGAGGAGGAAACCTTCTACTCTGAAAAATCTGCTTCAGCTGATAGTCGACAAAGACTTGGATGCTTTCCTCATTCCTTCCACCGACCCGAATCGTTTCCGATCTGGCCTCGAGAATTACCGCGATATCTTCCTCCCGTCTACTGCTGATAAAAATGCGGGTCTCATGGCATTCATGAGATAGATGCAGGAGTTGCTTCAAAAGCACTCGGCGCTCAACCTCGTCGATCTCATCCAAACCATCAACAATGAGGAAGACTTGGCCGGCGCAATCCAGAATGCTCTTAAGCGTATCCACCGCCACGGTAATGTTGCTTTTGATTTGTTCATTGGTTGAGTGGCAAAGTACGTCTTGGAGATCCTCGTGCTGCGAGGCCACTTGAAATAGAAGAGAGTGTAGAACGCCGAGGGCCGAAGTACTGGTGCTGAAGGTGTGACTGAGAAAGGCAAAGGCAGTATGACCGATGGTATACGCCTTGTCTACTACCGCACCAGCAAGAAACGTCTTTCCTAGACGTGGTCTCTGTTACTCATGGCCGAAATGGAGAGGAGTTTGCACGAACCTGAGCCTGGAATTCCTTGAAGCCAGACGACCCTTGAAGAACCATTATTGATATTCAACCAATCTTTTACCACGTCGTCTTTAAACAGCCAAGTCCCTGTACCTTCACAGACACGGCTATGGTACCAGTTGAGCTTATCGTCATACATCCTCGGACTCATGTCCGCTTTGATGGCGTAAAACCGCTGCAATCGGTGGGATTTTTCAGCGTTCTTGAAATGCTCAAACGCCCTCAGGCGAGTATCATGCTCCTCCCGAATATGCTCCAGCCTCACCTCGTTCCGCATCAGCAGAGCGTGCCGTTCAATGTGAGTCTTCACCAGACTAATATGCTCCTTCTTCCGCGGCCACAAAGCCTCGAAAAAGCATTTCCAGCCTGCACCAAATCAAGATCATAGTCAGCTCGGCCACACACCAGACCTATGCAACATTTCCGCCATACATACGAGGCATGGTAAAGAACTTCAACCCAATCTGATAAAAGTCCAGGATATCCTTGAAAAACAAAACCAGCACATCATAGATCTTATCATTTCCTGAGAACAACACCACAACTTCCTAGAACTCCGGCAACAACAATCCAATATCCGCTGTCGTGTTCACAATAGCATCAAACGACTGCGTCAGGGTACTGCTCCACTGCAGCAACAGCTTAATCGGACCCCATATCAATCCCATGATTTCCGGATATACCTGCACAAAAGTATCAATGGCGCCGGTATATTCCCGGAGACGGTTGAGGAAAGGCTCGATCTTGGCTAGATGGCGGAGATGCCCTTTCCTGCCCTGATCGGCTTGAAGTTTGTCAGTCAGGTCGTAGACCTCGTCGATCGATGCGACTGCAAGCAGCTTGGTGTAGAGCTTATCGTTGTTGAGATTTGTTTTGAATTCGAGCATGGCTGCCTGGAATGCATTCTGGATGAGGGGTTGTGTTGTTGCCATACTGACGCTTTCGCCACTTTTGTTGCATCTGCCTTCGCTTTATCTAGTGACCTTAAGGGGCTTTCTCTCTTATATTATCAAGAACGAGCAAGGCTGAAATGCGCCGCTGAGGTGGCCGTACTTTATATCATGTCCCCTAGTCTCAGCCTCGTGCGTACTGAGTCAGCCAACTGGATGGAACTAGTCTTGCCAGTCCTAATAAAATATTCATGCGGAGATATCGTAATAAATAAAACCCAGCGAGGGCTCAACAGCATCTTTAAATAATACATTACAGAGCACAGAGCGCAGTGTCCCATTTCCGACCACTCATGAGCATCCAAAGAAATAGCCGCCGGGGAGTCGCAGGTGAAACGGAAGCGCAGCTTTTCTCCTCATCCAGTCCAACCACAACACGCGAATGACGCCTTGGATTTGGAATGATTTGCTCGCAGGCGCTATCTCACAATGGCTGCATCAGAGAAGTAATTCTGACCGCCGCTCATTATTTGGTGACGTGGAATTTGTGCTCATTGTGAGGCTAAAGAATCTTGTGAGCCGGCTTCATTGATTTCACATGAAGGCATTTACAACGAAGGTGGCCTCTAATATCCCATTACCTTCTTTACTTCATGGGAAGGGACCTCTTCGACCAGGGGGTGCGCTTTGATCACCGTAGGGAACGAGCAGGAGATGGCCGAACAGTATGGACGTCACAAGTATTGTGTTGAAATATAGAGTTTAATGGCTGTATTTTTACTCGATGGAGAGCGGCCACTGGGCACCAACCTCGTAGCTTGAAAGAAAAGCCTTCAACCTCATTCCGGGATCCCGATTCAACCAGCATAGCTTTTCATCGAAGCCTTGAATAAAGCTTCTGGAGACTTGACTGGTAGGAGGAATTTTGGCATTATGATAGGGTTTCGTCAACCCTCCACACTTGCAAACACGCATCTTGTAGCAAGCCATAAGTTGCTTGACGGACCTAGGGCGAGGACGCTGTTAATGGGCCTTCCTGGTTATCAGTCACAGCCTCAGTTGCTTAGAGAGCGCACGAAGGTCATATTGCTTCAATGACTCCCACGGCCTCCACGTTCAGTCGGTCCTCCCCTCTGATACTGCGCCACCATTCACTCTGGCGAACGAGTTCTCCATCTTCACCACCTAGCAACCTCCAATACTTCTTGATAAACCAATCTCTTGCTTCCCAGCTGCGGACGTCCCACGGTGTACCCGTCGAAGCATAACCGGCGGAGAGATTCCGATCCCTCTTTCCGACACCCGCACCGCCCCAACACACCAGACCGGTCAACATGTCATGGAAGAACTCATCCTCGTCGAACTCATCCTGGTATTTGATGAGGTTCCTACGCAACGTCGGAAAGGGTACAATATCGATGAAGGGATGATGCCTGACGGTAATTTGTTCCTTAGTGGGCCTCAAATCTGGTTTCAGAGTCTTGAATATTCTCTGCACTGCGCAAATCATGTCGGTCTCGGCTGTATCCTCCGCCGAGTCCACAGTGAACCGGAAGAACGGAGAGAGAGAGTCGTCGGCGCAGATCAGCTCCTCGGTAATGCCAACATGGGTCCCAATAGCGTACAGTGCAGATACAGTGCAGACCGTTTCGATGCGAAGCTGGTTGGCGCATGGATCTGCGGCGGGTGAACCCGGTCCAATTGAGAGTATTTTGATATCACCGTAGGAACATGGGTCAGGGCCGTGCGTCCGTATCTGGACATGTGGTTTCGAGCAGCCGCAACTGACGGTGGCCGTCCAGTATGGACCATGACTGTCGTTCTTTTTGTCACAGATGAGAAGAGAAGGATCGACAAAATTTGTAGAGTTCCATGCGCGCAACGATGAATCCGGGTCGTCTAATTGCAGATATGTTCTAGGATCCCAAGTGGACAATGCCGACAGGCCGCTATCTAACTGCTGAGGAGGATACTGGCACTGATCTGGGGTTACGGCCAATACAGTTGAAACAGATAGATCAGAGGCATCGTATGCAGAGAGGTCTATTGTACTGATATCCAACGGCGTGCTGGATGAGCTATCCCTGGAGGCACCCTCAGACGGGCGTGTACTCGCAGCTGTTGCACCTTCAATAGGACAGGTTTGCGCCGCAGATGCTGCAATGGCTTCAAGTTGATCCATGCGCTTACGCAGCTTTTCTCCTAACAACTGTTGAGTATGCTTGCTTCCGTCAGGTAAGAGTGTCTTACGGTACTTTCGTTGCGCTTGGACATTCTGTTGCCGTCTCTTCTCTGGGTCACGGCGGACAGTTTTTCGTTTCTCTTTCCTCTCGCTTGTACTCTGATGGACTACCCCTCCATTTTGTGATGACATTGTGTATTTTGATCGATTCCCGTGACAATTTTGATGAATATATGTTGCGCGGGCCGTAAGAGAACTCGGAACGGGACAAAATAAAGACGACGACGCGGCGGTCAGAATAAGCTGCAGATGATAAACTGGTTGACGTCCTCCACTTTACTCCGTTGGACACATTGACACCTGAGGCACCACTAATGTTGCTGTTTCTTGCATCAGATGAAGATGAGTAGGTGAAGATTTGGAGGTTTGAAAAATGACTGAATTATTCCTCCGGCTGTGAGCAGCCTAAGCCTTAGATTATAAGGCCTAGTAAGCACAATAGGAAAGCCTAAGTGGCTACAGGTCAGCTGACCTTTCAGAAAAGGTTAGATATTTATAAATAACTAAGGCCAGGTAATGCAGATTAAGGTTAGAATATTTAGGTTAGCTAAACTTAATACTAGAAACTTTCTTTCTTATATATCTCTTGTTATCTCCCCCACTTTTTAAATTTTTATATTTAAATAATATCATGATTAGCATCGAGATTTGGCTTAACAGTTGGGCACTATTTCAATCGCAGCCATGAGCATTCTCAAGGCATGTCACGGTTTCCCTCTGGAGGGCCTCTCCATCCAGAACGTCTTAACCAATCTTCGAAAGAACTAGCTCGTAGGTGGAGATCCTCCCACGAAGAGTCTTCGGCTGGATCAAGAGCCCCGTAGCAAATCTTGTCCTCAGGCGCTATCGAGATCCATTCCATCATTTGGCGAATATCCTCCTTGAATCCTTTTCCTACCTCTCTGGACGACAAATCAGCCCATTCATCCATCGAGATTGGGGAATAAATCGCTGGCTGCCCAGTGACTCGCGTAAAGGTGGATGCTAATTCGTCCATCCGCAATTTCGGACTGCAGACGACGTAATTTTTGTTCTTTGTTTTCTCAATGCCTAAAGCGAATACCTCTAAGAGATACTGTCAGCTTTGTACTTCTCATTGACCATAAGTTACTTCTCTCCAGTATCCCTTTGCAAGACGTGGGATATCCCGCCAGGTCTCACTTGGTAGAAGCGACCACAAAAGATTTAATATCACAACTTACCTGCAGCAAAAATACCTATATCATGTACAGGATCAACCCACTCAACAAATTTTGTGGACGGAAGTGGGGGACAAAAACGAACGACCCCATTTGCTGCCACAGTTAGAAATATTTTCCACGGGGAAATCTATGTCAGAACGGACCTTCTCTTCGACAGTACTGCGGACGATCCAGGTTGGTGAAGAAGAGACCTGCGACAATGGTTGGTTGCAAATCCACACAAACGCTTGGCGTCAGCAGGGAGACTAACCAGGAAGAAGGCAAGTGACTGCCGACAGGTTTTGCTTTGCCCACTGCCCAATAACAAACTTATGATCCATGTGGAAAAGTTTGTCAAAGCGACCAGAAGTCGCTCGTTTCATGTCTGGCAAGCTACTGAGAACAAAGTGCTGAATGCCGCAACTCTTCGCGGCAGCAATAATGTTCTTCCCGCCTTCGAGCTCCAGCTTCAGGTCATCCTCGTTTTCAATCGTTCCTGAACTGGCCTCGCTCGTCACCGCAAACACACCATAAGCCCCCGAGAAAGCGTTCTGAAGACTTTCTATATCCAAAACATTTGCGGAAGTAAGGCTGAGACGGTGGTCGGGGGTTTGAAAATCAGTCAAAAGACGTTGAGCTGAGGCGGAATTGACATCCCTGGTGACTGCGCGGACATTCCACAATTCCCGCGAATCGTCACTTAAAAGCGCACTCACTACGCCTTTGCCTTGGGATCCTGTAGACCCAAGCACAACGATAATGCGGTTCTGCGTGTTGGGTGTCATTTCAATTCGATAGGAAAGTAAGCAACCTTGCGTGGCCGGAATGGGAGAGAAGGGTGAAGGGAGGATTGATTTTTGGATAAGAAACAATTAATGAGGTGAAAAGGCTGCTCCAGGAAACCTAATATAGTATTTTTCTTTCGCAGTTTCACTCCTCTCGGCCACTAGGACTGAACGAATACATTATAAATTCAAGGCTGATAAAAGTGGCCGACTTGGTGAGCGGATGAACCATCTTTCCATATCGGAGACTTATGATATAATGTTGAATGGAGGGTATTGCAACTTGTTGTATGTTTGATGCCTAAGATAGCAAGGAAACAATTGATTTCCGTAAGTCTGCAATATCATCGTCATTGACGTCATGATGTCATTGATAAGAACTGATCTAACGCGTCGACCGAGACAATGGTCTCCTGTGATCATTTTCATGAACAACTAGAATCTTCTCCAAGTTTGCTTTAGATCACTGCTTGCTTTGAACGAAGCGTATAGGACAGAAAGGCAGGCTTCATAGAGGTGTTTAGAAACAAGCCATGTAGATATAATTACTAAGGGAGATGACCCTGCAAAATCAGAACAATAGTTGTCAGCACCTTATATAGCAGGTATCAAAATAATATACCACTAGGCCAAAAGGATGTCCGGACTATAACCCAGTCAGGATAGGGTCTCTTAAATTTTAGCGCTATTCTATTTTTCTAACTGCAGGTCACTTAGAGTTACCATTAGGGCATATGAGTCAAGCAGGCCGGCTTCTATCTTACTACTTAGCAGTAGCTCCTATTCATATGTTCCAGAGCAAGGCTGATGGCAAGGGTGCCTAGCCCCATGTGCTGTCAGCCACAGCCACATACTACAGCACTACATACCTCACTCTCTGTAGCTTAGTTCCCCTTGCAGAGTTCTCTTGCTTTGCCATGAATGTTCTAAAAGACTTGATCTATTATGCTAGATGAGTAATGGATGAAGTGTGTAGTGCACAGTCAGGGCTTGGGAAAATTAAGAACTTACTCTTACTATTTTTGGCCCTTAAGGTATTTATCTTTGGAATAGGGTAGCTTATATACCTAGTTAAGTGATATAGAATATAGATAATATAAAAGCTTTCTTATAAGGCTTTAGAAGGAATTCATTATTGAATAAAGGTAATTGAACTATTTATTCTATCTGCAGCAGGGGAAGTAGTAGGAAAGAAAAATAATTTGCCAGCCCTAATTGCATGCTATATAGGTAAGTTCTATCTAACTTCCTAAATAGGTAATATCTGTATTTTGTTAGGTGGTTATAAGTACTTATACCCGAGGGATGTCGGTCAACTTGTCTTCACAGCAACCCAGATATGTACTAGGAATGACCAAATGTTGATGGAAATACCCTCATCAAATACTTCTCCACAGTCTCTCGTTTGCCGCCAAAATCACAGGGAGTATCCATATCCGGTACTGTCCAGTAATTCAAATGAAACCCGGAAGACCCCAGCGGCCGCTCTATGTAATGCACCGCATGTTTTATACCTCCAGCCAGCCTCCTTAAAAGATTACCCGCTAGAACAACAAATTCCCCGGGCTGACAGCCCGTCGGAATAAACATCGCTGTTTTTTGCACCTCTACAGCAGAGAGATTTCCAGCCCTGTTTCTCAGGTCTGCAACTTTGAGGCCGCCATGCGAGTCCGGGAAATTGAACAGCATCGTTGTGGGGTCGATGTGGACAGGGACACGGAGTATGTTTTCATCATGATGGCACGGAGCGAAGTAGGTGGGCGCGAAGTACGAGTTCTCTTTGCGGTGGATAGAGGTCAAAGATCGAGTCAGATGCAGAGAGGACGACAAACACTCAAGCAGCGTGCAATGAATAACACTACATGTGCTATGCAAGTTTTCCAATGCACAGATAAGCTCTCCTGCCTCGAGGGACCAATTCCCGCCCATATTATAAATCCCATCCCGGAGCTGCAGAACCTCTTCCAAGTGTGGTTCTCCACGCGTCTTTTCACTTCCGTACGGGACGAATCGCACTCTGCTGGCTACTCCAGACCTGGCGCAATCGGCTACCTTTTCGCTAGGGTCTCGTTGGAAGAACTGGCGGCACTGACGAAATTCAATTCATCAATACAGCAACCTGACGAATGTGTTCTGGCGTGGTGTGGCACTCACCTTCTCAAAGCACATGTCAAGTCTACCCTGCGGGATCCCATGATCTCGTATTCGGCATGCTCCATAGTCCCGGAGGGCTTGGGTGAAAGCTCCAGCAGCTCTATCTCTGATCCCTGTATCCTCGTGTCGAAGATCAGCATAGCTGATTGACGGAAGATGATCAGGTTCTGTGATAGATCCCATGTTGTGCGTAATTTGCCTTCTTTAATGATGGCAAGTATCAATAGGTGTGAAGTGAGAAGTTGAGTTAAGAATTATAGGAATGTGAACAATATGCATAACACATCACATGTGACGTGTTGTAGTCGAGCTGCATAATCCTGGTTTGATCATTTCATGGCTACAAGATACAGTAGCTAAATAAGGTCCATCTACAAGAAAGTCTTCTTTAACAGGCAGATTTATCTTCTAAGTGGCTACATTCTTTTACAATTCCCCATTTCTAGATGCAGGAGATAGTAGATCCTAAGAGGCCTGATTATATAGCTACAGCCTACAGTAGTAAGAGAATCACCGAGAATTTTAGTCAGGGTAAGTGCAGCGGCCCTTTTACCTATATCTCTCTCCGTTTTTTATTTTTGTTCAAAGATTGATAGCGTGTGAATAGAAAATAGGTAGAAATCTAATTTTTGGCGGACACATTCAGAAATCATGTCACATGTTGCACTACTTTTTGCCAGGGGGAGAGGTATTAAGATCTTCCTTCGTTGCCTTTTTTCATCAGTTTTTTGCCATAAGGCTTAGTTTTACAACTGCATCCATATCCACTAAAGGCGGACGACAGCAAAGACCTACTCTATAAATTTAACTCGAGTCTTTGCTGATGGTGAGAAGCAGAATAACTTCGCGACCTCTGGCCTCATTAATTCAAGGGAGAACCAGCCTTAACATATGGTCATCAACCGGGCTGAATGTCACCTGTGAGCACTTGGACAGGAGCACGGCGGATGATAAGGATGAGACGCGAGGAATTCGAGTTCCACTGAAGCGAAGCAATACCATTCTGGACTCCGACAGTCCTCACTGTGGGATTTTCTATATTACAGGTCTCACTCCACCTCTAACATCGTTGGAGCCGTCCCAGAGTGTATAGTTCGATTTCAATGAACCCGATGTCTCACAGCACAATCATTTATAACTTATATTCAGAGCAGTCTACTAAATATGCTAGAGTACATTATCACTTGACCTTGCTATAGAATATCAAATGTATAGTGTTATTGGTATCTATGACATATATCGTATATGTTACTTGGATAGCTTTTCTTGATCGACTCGTTATGATCTGTAATGATAAAGTGAGCGACTCGACGAGCTTTTCGCTGATCTGCTTGACAGAATTTCCAGTCTATAGCTAGTGTCAATCTGCCTTCTTATTGGAGTTAAGCCCTGGTTACGAGGTGACTCACTCCCGACAGATCAATGCCCAAATTTGGTATCGCGAGGGAGCAATATACGAGATGACTCACCCTTAATGGTTCCACCCATAAGTACAGCAACCCCGTAATCTAATTAACCCGCTGTGAAAAGAGGGATTGAGTCAAATGTTCAGAACTGTCGACTCAGCACCGTCTAACTATACGAGGGCGCAGGTGCCATCTATGATCATAGAGTCATGGCAGGGGTACATCCTATCGCATCCTGAGACAGCTATGTACTTTTTTGTAATGGACAAACAAAGTTGAGCAACGCAGTGTGAAATATATAATTTTAATGTATCATAGAGTACCCTACCGCAGCTATATAAACCTCAGCAAAAGCCCATGAAGACAAGGTAGACAAGAACAACAAGTTCAACATCAAAAGCTTCCTATATTTGTAGACAGGTATGATAGTTTCCTCTTCCAGTTCTCTGCAGTTTCATTTCAATGATGAGTATACCTTTCACTCGCCGAAATGAAGGCATCCTTTTGCTTAAGTTGGTTGTCTTTGTGATTAGAATTGAGGTTTCTGAGGTTTCATATATGCTTCTTTGATGTTTTATCATATTATTCTGGAGCATTTTACTGACGAATAAGTGTCGCACATAGTGAGAGCGACCACGGGGATCCGACGCCCAAGACTTTCTGGCTTTATGGGAGGCGACAAACTCAACGCCAAAATTTGATACCCTTCGAAAGACTCATACTGGTGGAAACATATAGGTAACGCACTTCATTTTGATAGACTATCACTGTGTGAAAAGTGAGGTAGGTAGATCATCTCTGAAAGCTATGCGCTGCATGCAAAACCAACTTCAACACCCATTGCTGCTCTACACACTAGACCTTATATGCCCCTTACTGTGCGGCGCGCTACAGACATTGAGAATACCACGGATTCGCTGACGAGCACGTCGATCCGCTCGCACAAGCGGTAGGCCCCGTCCAGCCACTACCACCACACTGGCCCCATTTGGATTGCGTAGCCCCAGCAGCTGGAGCAGTGGTGGTACTCGGCTGCGAGGCTGTAGTCGTGCTCGTGCCTGACGACGGCGCACCGCTTTCCATCTCAAAAGAGCTAACCAGCACACTTCCACCAAGCGATACGGTAGCATAGTTGAAGATACCGTACCGATAACCCATGAAGAACTGCCAGGTATTGTTCAGCGTGTACGGTGTTCCAATCGAGTGGAAACTAGCGCCGTCGGTGCTGTAGTAGAACGACGCCGTCCTGCCGCTGCCGGGCTGGATGTTGGCGTATGCGCGCAGCCAAATCTTGGAAGGGCTTCCGGAGAGGTTGACGCTCGCGACCTCGGAGCCCGTAGAGAGGGTGTTCCAGTTGGCGTCCATTGTGAGTCCGGCGACCATGCTTACGCGGAAGACGCCGCTGTTGTTGATGACGGCGACATATGCGGAGGAGTCGCGGAGCATGGCGAGGCCACTCCGGTCTCCGGGTTTCATGTTGCTTATTGTCAGCTCGATTGTTGCGGTCGAGGCTGGGCCTAGGATCCGGTGCGTCAGGGTATTTCGGGCCGCGTAGAGGTTGGTGGTCACCGTGGCGGTCTTGAGTGTCAGGCCGTTGTTTACGCTGTAGTAGCTGGGGTTTGGGTTGTGGTTCCATTCCCACTGAGGGCCCAGCGTGGTGCCCTGGAATGTGTCTTTTCCTGTAGGGGAGGACAGGGGATGTGGGGTCAAAGGATATGGATACTGGGCTCCCCAGCCCCCGTTCACGGTAGTTATTGCCGGGAACCCATCGGAGCCCCAGGTAATCGGAGCCAGAACTGGAACTCTGCCTCCGGGGTAGCTGTCGACAAAGGCCATGTAATACCAATTCCCTGATGGAGTATCGACAATGCCACCCTTTATTTTGTCAGTTCGACGCCCTCGCTTCATTATCACAGGCTACATACCTGATGGGGCACACCACCTCCGGTAATAGGTGTTGCAATGTTCTTCAAGAGTAGTTTCTGTGTATATGGGCCCCATGGGCTGCTTGCCTTGAGAACATACTCCGCATTGGCAGGAAGCGTGTTGAAAATGTAGTATTCGCCATTGATTTTGTAGAACCGCGAGCCCTCAATGGCTCCAATGGTGGATGTGAACACCTGTTGCGTTTTGACCTGGCTAAGCCCATTGGAAGAGAGCTGGGCGACAGAGATGGTAGTGCCTCCATACGCCACATACATTGTATCGTCATCATCGATGAGCAAGCCAGCATCATAGTAACAGGTGTTGATGACGCCACTCTTTGTCCACGGGCCTGTCACCGAAGGAGCCGTGTAGATATATGTAGTGCTGAACTGGATGCATCCAATCCAGTACCACAAGCCGTTGCTCTTACGATATCTGAGTGTCGAAGCCCAGATACCTTTGACGTAGGCCTGTCCCCCGTCGAGGTTATAAATAGAGCCCCAGTCCAATGTAGGCACAGAATGACCGACGAATTCCCAGTTGACAAGATCGTACGACTGCAGGATAGGAGCACCGGGAGAGTAATGCATCGTCGATGCGGAATAGTAGAAAGTGTCATTCACTCGGAAAATGTCAAGATCAGCCAGGTCCTCCCACAAGACCGGCTGATTGAAATTTGCGCCTAATGCGGCGGTCATGAGGAAAAAAGCGCATATAATTCCTCTCATCTTGCAACTAACTTTGAGCCCGAGATTGTGTCTTGTTAGTCACTTCATAGGCCCGCTGTCCTCATTTATAGATCGTCTGGGGCATCTTCTGGTACGACAAGGATCTCGGTTCGGGTCCACTTGCGAAGGAACCTCTATTTACCGAGATCCCTGCCATTAACGATACATGCTAGACATCCTGAGCATCATATTGTTCGATGATCAGCGGTGTCAATTGCATACGTGGCGGGGATGGTTGACAGAGCTAAAGGATGTCGAGCGGGAGAAGAAGACGTTAGGTACCGAGTATGCACCAAATCAGCAATGATAGCAGATCATATCAGTAAACCATCATTCGGTGAAGTCTCGCTTGAGATTTCAACTTTTCCAGCTCATTGTCAACATGTGGAGTCTCCGAGACTGACGGACCGTTTCCCCGAGTAGTCTATATGGATGGGACATTGCATCGCCTTCCGGACCTCAGTATGCAGACAAGCAGTGTACGGATAATCACCTAGCTTCTTAGCCAAATTAATCTCCACTCAATCTACTGAAAACAGTAAGTAATGCCTGGCCCCCTCATTTTGGAGTCTGGGGAAAGGGAGGACCCACGGCGCGAGTATTCCAATCGCCTCAGTTTAAACCAGAAGATTGCCATCGTCAGACCAATGTAACTTCCGCCCTGGCTAATTGACTATAGTTCTTGTCTGCTTGGACATTGACTCTGGATAGAAATGAGAAAGGGCCAAACTACGTTTCAATCCTGTTGATGAATCCCAGGGTCTCCGGGATTGTTGGACCTACCACAGCCCTTGTTTTGCTTATGCAGACTATAGAAGGAGGGTATATGAACCAGTGATGGCTGAAGTAGGTTGGCTAGCCACGTTGACCCGAGCATTAGTAGATCTTTGCCAGGGAGTCAGTCCCCCGCAAAATGCTGGGCCCTGCGCATGCTTAGCGGAGTACACCTCAAGTGCCGCTCGGATGGACCATTCAGATTGAGATATTTGCGAGAAGGCTGCTACTGAAGATTATGCGGGGTCTCCAAGGGCAAATCATTGCTGAGGATCCTGGTGGTGGGTTGATTTTAGCCAAAATATACATCCCGTCATGTTCGACTATCGGCTAATATCCAGACTCTGCAGCATCCCCAAAGTACCCAAACGAGGAATAATACATTACTGTGGTTCAAAGCGTTTTCATTAATTTAGCGATTCTCCGGTGGAGTGCATCTTCGTGCTTCATATCGTCGGCACCTGTTGATCGTCGCCTATGCCGAAGGAGGCCTCTAGTTCCTTTAAAATGGCCATCATCGTCGATACTTCATAGGCACTGCGAATATCATTATAAGCAGTAGGATCTGAAGTTGCTATAAGTTTTGCTGCATTGATAGGACTCCACAATGAAAGCTATAGGAGCCACTCTCCTCGGACTGGCAGTGGCCGTCCAGGCTCAGCAACCGTTGTATGGCCAATGTACGTCAATATTCTATCCCTCTCAAGGCATGAATCATCACTAACTTAACATGAGGCGGTGGGAATGGCTGGACGGGCTCAACTCAATGTGTCGCCGGCGCATGCTGCAGCTCTATAAACGCCTGGTACTACCAATGTCTCTCTGGCAACTGCATGCCCAGCACGACTATGACAACCACCACTACACGCACAACCTCGACAAGCACATCCGGCGCGACAGGAAGCCTGCCCACCAGTTTCAAATGGAGCTCGACCAATGCCCTGGTTGGTCCCAAGAACGACGGCCGCAACCTTGCGGGAATCAAGGACCCCTCTATCATAGAGGTTGACGGCACATACCATGTTTTCGCCAGCACTGCTCAAGCGTCGGGCTATAATCTAGTGTACTTCAATTTCACCGACTTCAACCAAGCGGGGAATGCGCCCTTCTTCTATCTTGACCAGAGTGGGATTGGGACAGGCTACCGCGCTGCGCCCCAGGTCTTCTACTTTCAGCCGCAGCAGACGTGGTACCTGATCTTCCAGAATGGAAATGCTGCATACTCCACCAACAAGGACATTAGCAATCCGGCTGGGTGGAGTGCCCCTAAGAACTTCTTTAGCAGCGTTCCTAGTATCATCACTCAGAACATCGGCAAAGGTTATTGGGTGGATATGTGGGTTATCTGCGACTCATCCAATTGCTACCTCTTCTCTTCTGATGACAATGGCCACCTCTACCGCTCACAGACCACTCTGAGCAACTTCCCCAACGGCATGGGCAACACCGTCATTGCACTCTCTGACTCAAATCCCAACAATCTCTTCGAAGCTTCCAATGTGTACCGCGTCGGCAATCAGTACCTTCTCATCGTGGAAGCCATCGGGAGTGATGGGAATCGGTACTTCCGGTCGTGGACGGCACCTTCTCTGACGGGTACATGGACTGGACTTGCAAACACTGAAGCTAATCCATTCGCGCGTTGGAATAACGTGGTCTTCTCCGGAACTGCCTGGACGAAGAGTATTAGCCATGGTGAGATGGTGCGCTCGCAGGTGGACCAGACTATGACCATCAGCCCGTGCAAGCTCCGCTACCTCTACCAAGGTCTGAGTCCGACGGCGTCGGGTGATTATAACTCTCTTCCCTGGAAACTGGGTCTCCTTACGCAGACCAATTCTGCATGTTAGTTGGACACAGGACCGTCATTCAGACATGCTTGCACCTGACTGTTACCATGCTTGCACGGAGAGCAAGTCCTGTAGTTATCACCGGGTTACCGTCGAAGCCCCAGCGACTGGTGTAAGAAGGCGAAGTTTGCCTATGAATAGCTGTCGACAAAGATTATGTACTTAGTGGCTATTGATTCTCACTAAATCTGCGTATATTCTTTCTGAGCCAGTAGATGTATTTGATATCACATATTCCAGTACTCGTGGCCAACGACAAGTTTCTGATCGATATTGCTCGATTGTACACATGACACTCTTACTAGAAGAGCGATAAGAAAGCCCCCCCCTAGTGCATACTCGGCTAGACTTTGCTGCGGCACTGGACTTATGGTGCGCTACAAGGTAACGGATACCCAGCTACGGGATCTTAAGCTCACATCAGATTTCAATCTCGACTATACCTTGATCAATCCACTCAAACTTTTTCCTCTCTAGGACAGCCCAGTCATGCGGCCTGATTCATTACCCTTCAATGTTCTCCGTTAACGGTCTTACCCTCCCCTGATGCTGACAACCGTTGCTGCTTCTCAAGCCGCTTCCTCATGTAATGGGTGTATCCCATCAGGCGAGAATCCCAAGAACAACTGCGTACATGAGATGGCTGACCCTCCGGTCGCAAACTGGCTCCTCATTACACAGACCACATACTTGATACGAGAGGATCAGAAAAGCAAAAATTGCCAGCAGAGTTCTGGTACATCTTAGTGAAGACCAGCGTAGTCTAGGTCCTGACTTACTTGAAGATGTGTCGAGCAAATGGATTTATGAGATATTGGGCGATTGGGTCTGCGGGGTAGGAATCGACTATTGAGCAAAGAGGCGAGACGGGGAGTTGATCGTCTGATACTGATAGTGTCTGCGTAGCAGATGCGGGAGGGAGTGTATCTGATGTGGCGGCCATGATGTTGTTCCTGAGTTTAGTTGTTGGTAAGTGGAGGAGAGTGACTGGATAAAAACATCTAAGAGCTACGGATATCAGGCAACTACATTGAGCCTTCCCGCTTTTCTCTCGCCAATAATATCTTGATTTTTTCTTAAATGTCTCATGCTTGTGTGGCCCTGGAATGTACCTAGCGATTAGTTTGTATGGTAGAATGGTACTGTCCGATAATGATACTTGCGCAAACTGGTAGCGGATTGAGGCCTAGAAGAAACTATATGTCTATCAAATGATAAAGATGCTGGCAGAGTGGTAAGATGCTGAGTTCTCACAAGATATATGGGCCTGGGGACTATTCTTGGGACCAAGCTTAGGACTTCATCTGCTATCAGCACACCAGCCCTACATCCCCATAGGACCCCTGCTGGACATGGGTGGACCCTGCATTGGCGATTGCAACCTTGGCCCATAAACTAGCCTTATACTTGATAACTGGTTAGTAAACGTCCGCTATCGTTCCATGACGATTAAGCGACTCGACTTCCCTACCTCAATATCAAGCTTCATATGCACAGCCATTGCAAGTTCGTTAGTATAGGTTAGTGACAGACCTGTTTTCTTTCGTTATGTTGGTCTTTAGCGGGCTCAACTAATGCAAATAATTTCCATTCAATAAATGGCTCAAATCCTGCTGGGAAAGACTGGTCAAGGGCTCTTCCATACGAGGCATATGCGGCGGTCGGAAGTATGTCCTCATCCTTCATTTCTGCACACAAGGCTGGCCATAGTATTTAGTATATACATCACTTTATTTGACCTTTAGGGATTATATCAGCTTACACTCTACACTAACTACCCCGCACCAACCTAGATTCTGAAGTCTAATGATTGAACGGCTCCTTCGCACGGGGGAAGCACCGGAGAGTACCCGGATGCCGGGACGCCTCCTTCACTGCATATATATCTCTGCAGCCCCGAAGGATTGAGTCAATGTCGTAGAAACTATAGCCTACCCTGGACCAGCAGAATGCATCTGATAGCGAACGCCCTCCGAATCCTGGCCATTACGGCTCTGACAACCCTGTCGGTTGCAAGTCATTGCCCGCAAGGTTCACCAACAGCCAGAACCAAAAACGGAACACTCTGCGGCGTGCATCTACCTTCATTCTCCCAGAATGCTTTCCTCGGCGTCCCATTCGCCCAGCCACCGGTCAACGACCTCCGACTACGGCACCCTGTTCCATACAATAAGCGATACACGGCATACCCTGCAACTACACAGCCAGCCAACTGTCCCGGCTACGCCGGATTCGAAGTCGGCATTGGCCCGTTGAGCGAGGACTGTCTCTACCTCAACGTTATTGTCCCGGACACTGCTTCCCCGCAGGAGTCGCTGCCCGTACTAGTCTGGTGCGTATATTCCTTTCTCAGCTGGAGTTGAGGCTGACCAGTACAGGATCTACGGTGGTGGCTTCACAGCCGGCGGGGTGGCGGACCCCCGATACAACATGTCGTATATCGTGCAGCAGTCCGCAGCAATCGGAAAACCAATCATCGGCGTGAGCATCAACTACCGCGTTGCGGGGTGGGGGTTCCTCGCGTCGAGGGAGGTTCTTGCGGCTGGTGCGGCCAATATCGGACTGTATGACCAGCGGCTTGCGCTGCGGTGGATCCGCGAGAATATTGCGGCTTTTGGCGGCGATGCAGAGAAAGTTGCTATCTGGGGTGAGAGCGCGGGGGCATTCAGCGTGGGCTACCACCTTGTTGGATTTGATGGGGAGAATGAGGGTCTATTCCGCGCGGCGATCATGGATAGCGGGACGATGCTAGGGCCTGCGCTTCAGGATAAGGAGCTTATTGTGGCGGAGGATGGGTTCCAGGCGATGTATGATAATGTTACGGAGACGGTGGGGTGTAAGGGTGCGGAGGATACGCTGGCGTGTTTGCGGACGGTGCCGTACGAGGTGCTGTTTGAGGCGTTTAAGCCGCAGATCTATACTCCTGTTATTGACGGGGAGTTTATCACGCGCAAGCCGAGTCAAACTCTTGCGCTAGGTAAGGTTGCAGATGTCGCGGTGCTGGCTGGGGCGAATACGGATGAGGGGACGGCGAGTTTCTGGGGTCCGAGGGGGACGCTAAATACCACTGTTGACGTTGCTGCGTATATCCGTACGCTGAACGGTGGTGGATTGAGCGACGAGGATGTTGAGGAACTGCTAGCACTTTATCCTGATGATCCTACGCAGGGCTGCCCGTACGGCACTGGTTCTGAGCGATTCGCCAGTCAGGGCTGGATGTACAAGCGAGGGGCTGCCATTGCGGGCGATATATTCGTGCATGCTGGCCGGCGCGGTCTAGTGGAATACTATGCGCAAAAGAACAATGCCAAACACAAACACCAACAGAAGCCGGTGTACAGTTATCGGTTCGACCAGCCGCCCTGGAACGGGGTTTTGGAGCTGATTGCGACGGTGCCGCCAGTTTACAGCACACACTACGCGGAGCTCATCTTTGTGTTTAACAATCCGTCGCAGAAGCTGTCCAACTATATCGGACCGTATCCCTCCTTTCATCAGCTGTCCGAGTTCATGTCCCGGTCTTGGGCCTCTTTTGTGCATGACCTGGATCCGAACGGGCATGCGGTGGACGGTGCTCCATATTGGCCACGATATGAACAGTCGAAACCGCAGAATATCGTCTTTCGTACCGTGGACAGGTCCAACGGGAGTGGGAGCTACGTTGAAGAGGATACCTATAGAAAGGATCAGCTGAAGTGGTGGAATGCGCACTGGTCTGCCTTGAGATGTTGATCTTTCATTGCATTCGTACGTCAGAAGTCAATCAATGAAAACAGGATGTTCAAGTCTCAAAGTGATCATTGCCCAATTATCAAATTACAGCTAGAATATGAGGGTCTGTGGAATTTAACACTGGAAATAACTGCTTGAGGCGTGACTTAGCTTCTATTTAGTAAGGAGGGGAACCCTGTATGAACTTCTGTGAGAATAACTTGTTCCTGCACAGTTGCACAGACAGCCTGCATCAGTGGTCATGCATCGGCAATACACTACGTGGGGAGGCGCGGAAAATTACCTTGGCAGCATAAACAGGCTTCAAGAGAGGTGTACCATGAATCTAGTGAATGATTGAGCATATACAGTTATTTAAACTTGTTGACTGGCTTGGTAGATTTCGGAAGGGGGAATTATCTCGCAACTTCAATCCATCTGTGGGAGACGGGCATACTTGCAAATTTTGATGAGGCATAATGAAACAGAAGAGAGCAGTACCCCTTAGAAGTAGAACCCTTGCCTATAATCAAAAGGCCCCAGGCAATGATTGCTTGGCAGGTAGCATTCACCCAAACTCCGCCCAGGTTACAGCACCAGTTTCCAACCATCTAAAGGGTCTGAAGCAAGTAACACACTGCCTTATATATTAATAGCTGGCAAGTGTGGTCTTTACCACATAGTATTCAGTGAAGTGACAGGAGACTGACGTCTTCCAACCACCAGGCGTGAACGCCACTGATGTCGCCCAAGAAAAAAGGCATGATTTGATGACTGCCCGCTATTTTCTAGCTCATTACTCCCAGTCTCTGAACTACTTCAAACATCTGTGACCGCGAGAGTAGGTAAATATACAATCATAGCTCGCACGCAGCCTGTCGACGAGAGAGCATGGACTCAGGACAAGAACGAGACGGCATCCATATCACGCTCACTGTGCCTATTCCCATCAAAGACTCGATCGTTTCTGATATCACAGAACATCTTCGCAAAATCTATTCAGAGACCACCCTTGTCTCGACTGACGAGGACAAAGGGCATCTTTTCTTTCACTGTGATACCGAAGACCCCAGCATACGAGATTCATTTGGCGATCTATTTCAACAATGGCTGAACACGCAAGCTATCCCGATTCTCAATTATCGCTTAATTCGCGGCAGAATGTAAGGCGCATCCTCTATGCCACAATGCTCCTGCTGCCCGTCACGATCGCCGGGGAATTCTGCACTGGACTGTTCACCCATTAGTGGTAATGGCTGTACCCAATACTTCTTTAATCCCGGTAGTGAGCGGCGTCTGACAGCGTATCTGAATCGTCAATGTACCGGGCAAGAGATCCTTCGTGTGAATGGGGGCTCGGTTACATGTCTTCAGGCCCCCGGAAACTGGGGGGGTTACCTTATCACGAGGATTTGAGTAATATCGATGGGGACACATGTTGATATGACTGATGTTGTTCTTGTTTACTGGTAACTGGTACTCCGGCTTATTCCTTGCTGATCATCTTATTTACTATTTACTGATGTACTTAGTGCAGAAATTGCAGTATTTAAATTTTCATCATCTTACCTTGCAGGCTTTGAAGAGAGCAGAAATCACAGAGTATATAGACTGAATAGCCAGTTGCTATACCGGCTTTGGTGGATGGGACTGGAGATAGAGACTGAGAGACAACGACTAGACAAGCACTGAAAGCGTACCAACCCGCCAAACCCCGACTAATACGACAGCATTCTGCTTGGACCGGGAAGTCCAGCGAAGGCTTGACTGGCGGAGCGCCGGTAACGGAGGCCCGGTGCTCTGTCCGCTGCTTAGAACCTCCAAGATAATCTTTGCGTTCATGCACACCCGTGGGGAAGAAGCAGAGGTAGGGTACCTGAATTGTGCATATGGCAAGGGACCCTGGCGGGCTTGTGTTCGCGCTGAGATTGTGTCGATCGAAAGTAAGGGGACTTGGGTATGTGCTAATTGCTGGTTTGGTAACTGCGGGGTATGTAAGCGGGATCATTTGCATGGCAGGTCGGGTATAGGTGCTGGACTATACTTTGTGTTGTGATCTCGGTCCTGAGAACGAAGAGGGATTCTTCGTACAATGTCACCGTGAAACCACGCAGAGGTACAGGGCGAGTGTCGCGTAGGGTCGGAGGATAAACCTATCTGATAACCTTATTTGTTAGTCCTCAAGCCTCTCCGTTGTTTCTCTAGGGCTGTAAAGGAGACCTCTTTCTACAGGCAGAATAACTTTCTGTCTTAGTTTGTAGTTCACTAAACACAAGCAGCAACAATGTGAGCTCTTCCTGGGTGCTGATATTAGATGCACCTGGTTATTTCCGCCAAAATTCCTTTATCATCTAGATGTAGAGAATCAATGGCATCTATTCAGATTACAGGTCAGCCACAGGAGTACAAAAGGCAAGCAGTGTGCATATGCTGTATTGAAACAAATCGATAACATCTAACCAGGTCGAATGGCGGCAGTCTGCCCCTACAACAGACATTACAATTACAATATCCAAGTGGAGTAGGATAGCTAAGCCTGCTAAGCAACAGGCTAGTAAGACGCCATGACGTTGCCTGCGCATGGGCGGAGGAAAGAGCCGATCTACAGGCTGAGGAGCGCCGGACGGAGCTGAATCTCAACGTATCCCAATAGACGTCTCCATCTCCTTAGCACGTGGACTATCCCCAGGCTTTACTGGCTGATCTATTACGCATCTCTAGCGCAGAGGCTTGCGCGTCACACATTGGGCTCCATTGCTTACGGTGTACGGAGTACTTAAACCCGTCACCCCATCCTTCTTCTACCAGTACATCACACCACATTTTATATTGAACAAAGATGACAATCCCCAAGTACGGCGTCTGGGTCGCCCAACCAACACGCTACACAGCCGAGACCGAAAAGCAAGACCCAAAGTCCCCACACATCTACCTCTACTTCACCGACGGCACCAGCACCAAGCAGTACCAAGCGGCCATCAACGTCAAATCCACCGATAAGGACACCCGCCTCGTCTTCTGGCTTGACCGCGCCTTTTCTCATCCAATCACCCAGTTCCTATCCGCCCTCGATGAGGGTTTCACTCTCCTCAACAGCAACACCCAGCCGCAAGGCCTGGATTACATCCGCACAAAAAGCCTCCTTGACATAAACGCAGGCAAGGTCCTCCCGCACGACATCCCCGGCCCAAACAACGACATCCTCGATTCCCTCGACCCGATCCTTTCGACTGCGATTGCACAAAAGGCAAGGATGTATGTGTTTGGGTCGTCGTATGGGAGCGGGATCCACGATGTGCATATGAATCAGGGGAGTCAGCCGCAGTTTGAGAACGGGGTGTATGAGGATGGGGCGCTGCTGTTTGAGTTTGCGGACGGGCATTGGGAAGCGGTGTTTTTGGCGTTTGCGTCGCAGAGGATTCCGACGGATGATAATGGGGAGGCGGAAGAGGGGAGTAAGGATCTGGCGGGGATTTTGGGGAGTGATCAATAGTCTGATAGTAGTAGAGCCCCCTTTGGTTATGCGGTGTGCTTCTTTGATTGTGATGGTGGAAGTCCAGTTGGAGCGCTGGAGGTCTTGCAGCCGTTGTGGAGATGGAGAGTCTCTGGTAGTCTAGTCATGTTTTCTGTGTGTCTATTAAATCCAATTGACCTGTATTGAACGATCAAATGGCTTGTGTGTGTGTGAGGACCTGCGCACTCGATCCGCCTGCTGTCTGTTAGTTAACGACTTATCCTGTGTCAAGTCGTCAGGCTGGCTTCAGAGACTCCAACAACACAGCGACGGGCCCGGCCTGATACCCTCGCCGGATTCAACAGGCGAACTGGCGGAGGTAGGAAAAACTCTGCAAAGCGCAGATGTATCAGTAAGACACACCCTCTGCACTCAGTCCGCCTGCGAAGTCGAAACCTCAAATGTCCGATGTACGCCAATCTTAGACAAAGACCGCACAGGCACAGAGGGTGACTTTCCATTCAGCTGCTCCGTGCTCTCAGTCATGAAATCCGCGTCATCATTTCTCTCCGCTGAGCTCGTAGTTCCATGACGGACGTCCTTGAGATTGTTCTTGGTCGGGTCGTGGCGAGACGGCGACGTGTTGCTTTCGAGATCACCCAGGGAAAACTGGTGCTGACGTTTCCGGCTCTGGGGACCAGAGGAGTCGAAGATGCGGTAGGAGGATCCATTGCGACTGTGGAGGATGCGGAAGAGAGGGCGGACGGTGGCAAGGCTGCCGGCTGTGATGGCCAGGCCCGTTTCGATGTTGGACCAGATTGCAATCTAAATTGTTAGTATTCGGTATTCTTGGAGATATAGCTGCCTGTGAGCTCACCTGGACGGTTGCATCTATAATCTGTTAGAGATGGTCAAGTGTGAAAGTTTGAGGATGACTTACAGAGGAAATCCTGATCGCGAATGGTTTGGACGAATGGAATCCGGATTATAATGGCGACGCTTGCTCTGACAAGGATTAATACTGGTCCGTCAAAGTGACAGGTAAACTTACATGCATGCCATGCCCAGGAGACCCGCCACTGCAATCTTGGTGCGCTTGTTCATCTGCAGATTGCGCACGAGCAGGATAGGGAGCAGACCCACAGTCAGGTCAAAAAGCGCAGAAGAAACGCTGAAAAGGTACAGCATGATGATGATCGCATCCACGTATCCGCATTTGCCGGCGGTATCGCCGAGCATCCGGGTCCAGAAATAGGACACCGGCGAGCATTGGATCAACATGTAGACAAAAAAGATAAAGCCAACAATGACTGTGAGCGCGGTGACTGCGTACATGATCCGCCTATGAGTTGGACGAACCATGACACGCAGCAAGAAGATGGCCACAGATATCTTGCAGAGGATGGATGAGATGACATAGCCAATGTCGCAGAGGAACCAGTACTAGAGACGTCAGCTGGGTATTAGTCTGAGCCATTGAGGATGATACAAACCTCCATAGCGCGTGCTCTATGCTCTGGAGTCAAATCGACGAGATGCTTTCCTGTTCCCCAGAGAGAGCCTCCGATCATACATCCGGAGAACATGACATAGAATAACTGAAAGGTCAGCATGACTTCACTCCAACTCTTGGCAGGGAGAATACCATAGAGAAGATCATGACTGTATCATCCCAGCCAAACGCCTTGACAATGCATAATCGCACATAACATCGCAGGATGACCGCGATGCTAGCCACTGCCAGAAAAGCGGCCGCCACACCACGGACTGCAGCACTTTCGTCCACCATGACGCTACTGCAATGCAATGCAATCGAATAGAATAACTGCGCTAGACTCAAGAACCTGCGAGATCCGTGAGCGATCTGGAGCTATTGAGCATACTAAGACACTAGAGGGAAGGGCCGCTTTTGAATACTCCCGGACTCAAGGTCCTCGGCTCCTCGGCCCTGCAGCAATTAGGTTTTTGCACGGATTAATGCAATACTTTTGTGGGATATTTGACTCTCGTACCATGTTTGACCAGAACCATTTTTCGGGTCGCCACCAGTAGCTGTTTGCCTGGCGTGCGAGCTTTGCTGTTTGAAGGTTCTACGGTGGGCTGTCCGATACGGTTCCATGGTTAAGCCCCGATCTATGTTTTATGACCGAGAGAGCCCACTGACTACTCCGATCCAGATCCGCAACGTCCTGAATCTTGACCACTCATGCCACTCATGCCATTTATTTCCACGTGGCGAGTCCTATAATCGAGTCTTAGTCACTTTGGGTGTAGCTGAACGGAGCTGATGTCCCACAACCACTATTCCGAATAAGGAACCCTCTCCGTGGCCAATGGTGTCTTGACTCAGAAGTTTGCGAATGCGAACCATGGATTTGTGCGTCTGCTCGGCTGTGACAAGCGGCTATGGAATGTTGCTTGATTCCTGCTGGGAGTTGGCAACTGGAGATGATGAGCACTTCGGGCAGCGGAAGTAGATCCGACCGCACGATCTATAGAGGCGATCAATGTAATCGTCCGTTTCTTAGGTTCAGGGGCGGAATACGCTCGGGGCAAGATTATTAGACCCTGTAGAAAACCTCCATCAGATAAGATCATGAAGAACATTTTCAATGTGTACCGATAGAAGCCCTAGTTCTCAGACAAAACCCTCATAGCACTCCTGGTCGCTACTCAACTACTTTTCTGCCATTTCGAGAAAGATTATGCGCGAGGAATCTATTAAGCAAATAGTGAGCCCGGATACAAGCCGAAACTAAAAACAATGAGCTCAAAGACCTTGGCTAGCAGATAACAGATTTCTCAGGCCATCTTAACCAACCATGGACGTGAACCTCGCACGCAACCTCAAGCTCGGGGTACGGGTCTTACAAAGCGGAGACGGCAAATAAGACCTTAGGGCTATATCCTCGAGGGATTATTAGACCCTTCTTCCTTTTCCTCTAGAGCCTGACTGGAAGACCCTTATTGAATAGCAGAATTCCCCTTCTCGGAAAGTGTGGTGACATAATCAGATCCCACCACCTGATTGGCCTGTTCGGCTATGACATCACCGCCATCCGCACTAGACTCAATCAGGCCGTAGCTTGTATACAATCCCGACAAAAATAGAGCAGACGCAGGGATATCCAACAGACTGTTAGCGAGTTAGCTTAGCGCTTACACATGCAGACTGTTATTATGGTTGATACGATGGCAGAAGGGGGAAGGGATATAAGGGGATTCCCTCCTGCGAGTCTGGTTGTCTTGATGCCTCTTGAATAAGGTCAAAACAGCAATCGATTCAGGTGAGGAAATGCTCTTGTATCTGCTCTAGGCAAGATGTTAATGATAATGCAGTCACAATGGCGGAACTCTCCAAAGAAGCAATCATCCTTATCGTTATCGTCGGCTGCGTGGTTTCAGTCCTGATCGGCTACTCTATCCATTATATCTCCACGGGCGGCTTCCGCGATGACCAGACGGAAAAGGACATGACGTACGAGCAGAAGGAGTATATGCGGGGTTTGAGACTGAAGAATATGGAGATGCTGGCTGGGCAGGCTAGAGTGAAGGTTCCGAGGGACCAGGTGGGCGTGCCATAAGGAGAGACCTGCTGGACAGGTTATCGTCTGATGTGTTTAGCGAGAGGGTTGTTATTATGTTGTCCAGATGTCCTGAATGATAGTGAAACCAATCTGGAAAATTGGCATGCATTACAGAGCCATGTCAATAGTCAATCGGGACAATGTCATGGACCATTCGCCACGTCTTTGTCTTCTCGTCAAATCGATTCTGAGAAAACTTCAAGTAGATCTGAGCAGGACTCCGATTCCACTTGGAGATGTCTAGATCGCCTAATGGCCCGGGATCGTCTCGTGGCCGGAAGACACAATAGCCGTGGATTCTAGACTCCTCCGGTATCAGTGCCGTAGGGAGCGTGGATTTCTCACTCCCTGCGTTTTGTCCTTCTGGATCGGTACGCGGCCGAGTTAACTCGTCGTACATGGTGCTTTCATATCCGGATTCTTCCAATTTCATAAAAGCTTCCGCCAATATTGCGCCTGGTGGACACTTCCACAGCGCCTGCACTGGAGGTGCCTTTCTCAATAGCTCCAAAGCTCTTCGGCGCAGCCACGGGTCACGGCATTTGATAGCCGTCAGAAACAACGAGAGACCAGCTCCCATTTCAAAGGTGAATGGCGGTTGTCTGCCATCCGGGCCTGCCGACGCTTCGAGATGTACAGCGGACTGTTCAACAATGAGCCGGAATTGAGGCATATAGGCGTCATAGGCGGTCTCCAGCTGCTCGGTGCAAACGGCGGTAACGATCGATGTGGCAGCGTGGAAGGAAAGCAAGAGAGACCTCACGCTGCTAGGAAGTTGTGACGGATCAGACGAATCGACTAGGCTGGTGTAGGCGCGGTGCCACTCTGCCAGCCGGTTCTGGATATCTTCTTGTTTATTCTTGAATGCTGGGGGGATAGGGCCTCCGTGGCCGTTGCTCGCAAGATACCCCTCAACAGTGCGCTGGAAGATCATGCCCTCTGCAGCGAGAGCGACCATTGCGAGACGGGCCGACCTGAGAGAGGGGAATGTGTTTCCGATAAGACCCCGCATTTCTTCTAGTAGGCCACTCACAGGAACGCCTGAAATGCTCAGCGCAATTGTGCCCAGTCGTAGGAAAATAGGGAAGATCGTGTCTTCAAAAAGAGCCGAATCTGGACGAGAGCCCAACCTAGTCCCACCTGCCCGCAGCTCGAAGATGAGACTGACTCCCTGCTGATAAAGTCGTAGAGCCTCTTCCACTCTCCCCTGTAGCGTTTCTATGCAGATGAACAAGACGCAGCTAATCAATGCGATATTGATATCAACACTCCCCTGGTCAATTTGCCTGCGCATAGTAGCTAGCGAGCGCGAGTACCAGCGCAAGGCATCACGGTGGTTAGGACGCAAGGTCTGACCACTGTTGTCATTTCGCCTCAGCCAGACAGGATCGAAGCAGGGTTCTGAGTTCTCAAAGAGGGCGCTGATGGCGTTGACCGCGTCCCACACGGCAGGCTCACTCCGACATACCTGGGTGACAACGCCGCCCCAAAAGTCGATGTCAAGTCCCCCGGCAATGAATGACGCAGCGTGTTGGAAATAATGGGCGAAGGCCCGTCGCTCCCACCATACACTACTCGGTACGAGCGAAAGCGGACGGTTCGGACCCGGGACCATACTAGCTCCTGATGTTGAGGCATGACGCGATGGAGCAGGGCTATTGTATTCGCATTTGCGTCCCGTGCTGCTGCATCGGATACAGTTGGGCCTTTCCTCCCCGCATTTCACTTTACGGATTCTGGGATGATCAGTGTCGGCTGAACAACAGGGGTCATCCTAGGATTCGCACTTGCAAGTCGTACATCCGTCCCGCGAGCGAATGGGCACGTAGGAGCTTTTCGCCAAGCGGATCTTTCTGTCTTTCATTGTCCCGTGCATCAATCTTGGGCCATGGCTGATAGTTAGGGAGAACAGATAATGCCTGAGTCAGCTGTCTTAGGAACGAGAAGAACTAGAACAGACAGGGTTAGTGTCATCGCTGAACTGCTATTTTTATCCTCCTATTCTTTGCTAATATTATTATGGATTATTTCATGACAACTCTGTAATAGTAGTAGCCCTTTTCCCTCTTCTTGAGTTGCTGGTGATTGGCATCTAAAAAGGAGTCGACCGACCCCACCAGCTGAATATGTTCAGTTTTGTGAGGAGAACTGCGGTGATTCTACTCCGTATGTCCAGTCACCAGAGTAGAGATCTGGGGAGATATTCCTTACATAATGGTATTTGTCGTCCGAGTTTGGTTCATCTCTTTGATGACCGTTTAATATGATTCAAGCATAGGACATCTTGGGTGACGTCGTGGTGTTGTTCCCAAATCATACCCCACACTACTGTCGTGTGAAAGTATAAATTTGCAGATCTGGGGGGATTCTGGGGTAGGATGCTCCTTGTCTATAAGCATTTTCGCATCTGACTGCATGTAACTCTCTTAAGTAAACGTTACACCGCAGACACGAGTGGGGGTCATTTCCAAACTCCCTTCGTCGTTCACACGACAACCGCAAGAAAACAGTCATATCATATCATCGTATCTCATAGGCTCGGTCATCACAAAAACCACCGAAACTCCCTCGCCTTAGGCCCATCCCTCAATCGCTCCGTCGGCACCTCCTGCGCCCGCAAACGCACCCCATCCCTGCGATCCCTTCTCTTATTATCAAACCACATATAACACCCCAGCAATGCAGCCAGACACGCCCCCGTAGCGCCAAACGCCGCGACAGTCACCAACGCAGGCATGTACTTGGGCTTATCCCGCGCGCGGAACACGTTGCTACTCACCAGCCCCATGAGATTTGCCAACGGCACCCCGATACTCGTCAGCAGCACGCGGCGGCCCTCGTCCGCGACGTTGTTATTGTACCAGGTGCTCAGCAGGACGGACGGCGCTGACGTGCCCCAGGTCATCATGAAGGTGGCGAAGTAGGCGAGGCGAATCTGCGCCTGGACGTCGTCGATGGAGGCGTAGATGATGAAGCCGGTGAATGTCAACAGGAACCCGAGGACGATGAATGGGGAGCGCAGGCGTGCGGCGTCGGAGCTGAAGGCCAGGAGGAGGAGCATGACGGCGCCGGTGACGTTGGGGGCGACGGTGTAGAGATTTGTTTTGACGGTAGAGTAGCCCAGACGCTGGACGATCTGCGGAAGGAAGAGCGCGACGCCCTGGATGGGAACGCCGAGGCAGATTTCGATGCAGAGGAAGGCGTAAGTGGTGGGATGCTTGAAGATGACAAGGGCGTCGCGAAATCGGAACTTGTCGTTGACCACGGCGCTGGAGTCGACCTGGATGCGGTGGAAGGCGAGCGCCTTTTCATCTTCAGAGAGGAATTTGGCTTCGGCGACACTGCGCGGGAGGTACCAGAAGGCGAAGATGGAGAAGAGCACGGTGGCACCGCCTTCGATGATAAAAAGGTATCTCCAGTTGGGGATGGAAGAGCCCTGGATTTGGAAGACCCCAAAGGCGATCAGCCCCGAGAAGGCGTTGGCGATGTTGGAGGCCGCATAGAAGATGGCCAGCCGGCGGGCGAGCTCGCCGCGTCGGTAGAATGTCGTCAGGTAGTAGATGACGAGTGGGAAGAAAGGGGCTTCGCACATTCCCAGGAACCAGCGAAGAGCGAAAATGCCCCCAAAATTCTTTGTTGACGCCGAGAGCAGGGTGAAAGAGCCAAAGCAGAACATGAGAATGGGCAGGACGCGGGCCGGACTGTACCGTTTACCGAGCATCGCACCGGGAGGCGCAAAAATTACATAGGGAATAAAGAAGATGGAGAGCAAGAGGTTATATTCATTGGATTTGAAGTTGAGATCTATACAGTCATTAGTTCGGTCTCTTGACGGGCAATGTGGACTTACCCTTGCTCATTCCATCTGTCTCTGCGTTTCCCAGATTTCCCTTGTCCAGCGCGTTGAAAAGATCTGATCGATCAGTATCAGGATTTGCCTTCCAGTGGGCAGAACTCACACATCACGGCGAGAACAGGGAGTAATCGCAGGTCAAACCGGCGACAGAGAGCCCGCTCGGCCTTGTGATCGACAACTCGCACGACATCCTCCACCACTCCGGGTGCAGAGCCATAATTCTTCAAATTGTCACCGTTCTCATGAATAGACTCATTTGCAGTGGATGCTTTTGTATCGTCTCGATTTGTGTCGGACATTATATTCGACGCCATGATCCTATCGACGGTGACGAAGTTCAGGACAGATGCTGGAAGATATACACTACTCGACGCAAGGGATACACCAACTCTTTCGGAGGGTTATCAACCAAGGAGATTACATGCAAGGGCAATCAGATATATATCAGCACGATTGAATCATCGCTTATCATTTTGCTGCCCCAAAGGCAGAGTATCATCAGCCGCGCGATGTTAAGATAAGCAGATAGCATGGTAACACGAATCTTTGAAGATGTAACCCCCACGCTATTTCTCCGCATTATCCTCTGCAGAGATGATCAGTCATTCGTTGGATAGCACCTAGATGAGGGGAAGATGGTTGGTTGGACGAAAGCGGCGATCCTTGTGAGATGAGGTTGCATCCGTGAGGAGAAGTAGGCACTATCAGCACAGTCCCTCTGTAGCTGTAGCACTTGGTCTGAGCTTGTTAAATATATATGTTTCCTTACTTATAGCTCTGTCTTACTGTTTCTATGTTCTGGTAGTTAGCCCTTCCTGTATCAGCTAGTTTATGCTAACTATTTACCTTACTAAATTTCGCTGCCAAACGATGGACCATTAATCGACTCCTTTTCAATGGGTTGAAGCGACGCTGGTTTAGCTTGTACGCCAGTAACAATTCAGACAATTGAGGAGTATGCTTGAGATCCTGCAAGGCACGTTAACCGAGGTATACGTGCAAAAGAGAGAGAAACAACTAAGGCTAGATAAGGTTAACTTATAGGTGGAGTAGTATAGATTTATACCAGCTACTCGAGATTATACTTGGGTCATGGTTTTAAATATTCATCTGAGATATGTGATACTTTCTCCTGGTTGTAAAATGGCCGTGACAGTCCTTGTAGAGCTTCGATTGAACCTATTCTTTTTTGAAAATTTTTAGCACTTGGTAAGAAGGATTAGCACTGTAACCAGAAGATACTTTATCCATCACCATGCTCTTCCCCTCTAAACACTGCAGCAGCACGGGTCGCAAGAGCACCCAACCTCATTAAACTGATTCAGCAATCAAGCTGGTTAGACAGCTAGTTCTGTTGCGTGGCTCATAAGTCTACTATATCCTACTTTGCGTCCCTGCAGCTCCAAGGCATCTTCACTGAATCGCCCAAGCCTTCTAGGGGCCCTTCAAAGACTTTATTTCAGACATAACTGTTCTATCTTGTACAACTTGTATAACAGGACACACCTCATTGCGGTACCACTTGCACTAGGTAGCAGCAGCGTCTGCATCCAATGCTCCCAACGTCGATCATCTGCTTTCTTCCAAGGTCAGGCACCGAGGAGGGTTACGGGATCCTGTGCTCTTTCCTTCGCATATCTTTCCTTCCAGGCCTCTTCTACGTCGTTCCACTGTCGCTCTTCGTCGGGCCTCAGTTGGGCGGGAAACAAGTCACGCAGCATATTTCGCCCTATACGATGGTACCTTCTCTCGACTTCAAGTAAGGTGGACATTACATCCGGCTCCCCGATAACGCATTCGAACTCGAGAGGGATCTCGTAATTCTCCGGCCTACCAGACCATCTGGGCATATCCCTATTGTGAATCATCCCCACAGATCCAATGGCTAGTAGAAACCACGGGTTCGTCTTGAGCGCAGCAGCAAGACCTAAAAGACCGCCAGCAAAAACATTGCAAGCGTTGTGCCAGGACCCCGGATGACTTCCATATCATTACCACTACCTACGGCCAGATCTTCCAGATTCAGCCCGAAGCAGTTCCCCAGGATGATGGTCGCATGCTGAGTTCCATACCCGCCTGTCAGGATATAACCGTCCTCAGAATCACGGCGGCAGGGCCATTTTTCGCGTGCCCATACGGGAAGGGACCCGGTGATTAAATGACAGGATGATTCCGACCGCGGTGATCATGAGGATGCCCCAGTCACCGACAAGTCCACATGGGATGGCAGCAATGGACAGCTGCAGGGTAAGAACAACAGTCCCACTCCAGGAAAGGCCGTCTCGCACAGGGATCCTTGGCGGTTGGGTTTCGCTGGGCTTGTATACACTCACAACTAGTCCCGCGAATTTCGGGACACGCGCATCCTCGTTTCGCTGTGCCATCGCCCTCCACTCATAGTCTATAGGAGTGTGGAGTTTGTCAGAAGTTTGTGGATCCTTCCAGAATTTGAAATCCCGCATTATGTGGCCCAGAACTCAGCTGGTGTTGTCTCGTGTCGCTCCGGTCCTTGCGTTGATGACCCGGTACGGCGTATCCGCATCCTGCAGCATGAGGCGGTCCTGCCCAAATGCTGAAATTGCATAGGTGATCCAACCTGTTTCATGAGTATCGATATCAACCACCTATTGATTCCCAGAGGGGACATACCAAAGGGAAAAGCAACAGGTGTGAATCCACCGCCAACCAACTGCGTCAGGGCCCTCACAACAACATCACCACCCAAGATAAGTCGAAATGAAACTCTGCCCTCTTTTTCTGTTTGCATCTTCTTCGTGTTCCTCTCTGCTTCTCTCCCAGGGATTCGGCATGAACTACCTTGTGCTCTGTGATACCTTTCCTGGGCAACTCTAATAGATCTAGGCAATCCCTACTAGTAAATTAACGGAAAATGAGTCTACTAAGAAGTCTGTCTGTTGTTCCGTAGGACTTTTGAATGACCATTGGTGGCACCCTGTGCAACCCGCTCTGACATTGCTTTCCATCTATAACGATACATCTGAGTCGCAGGCTGGCAAACCATCTAATCGTTTCAACGCTTCAGGAGATATAGCTCGGGGAGGCTCTAATACGTAGTTCTCCGGTACATAGTGAACAGCCTCCATGAAGTCACCGTGCAGCGATTCGTACCCCATCATCCCAGGATTTCAGCTCATCAAAGAAACTCACCATGACGTCCCAAGGTGGCCTTTCGCGTGGATCATACCTCACCTTTTCTTTATAGATTCGTTCTCCTTCCCCGTCAGTGAACTCAATGAAATAAGCCAACCGCCTTGCAGTTTGCCTCTGGTACTCACAAGTCCCCTCTATCCATGCAGGAATCTGGGACTTGAGCGCCGCCGACGCATATTCAGCGGGGTCTTCACCATCAATGTGCCAGCATGGTAGCCCTCTAAACATTTCAATAGAGAAGATAGCTTCCTGATCTAAGTCTCCAGGGAAATAGATTATCAGGACCTCATAAAGCCTCTGTGGAGGGAAAAGCGGGTTTGCGAGTATGATCTTCCCAGCACCACGGATCGGCCAGGCCACTTCTTGGCTCCATGAGCGAGGTGCAAGGGCTTCATTCAATCTGAGGAAAAGCTCTTGAGGTAAGAAACTCCTCCCTGTCTCTGCTGCTTCTCCACTCTAGTAGTGTTTGGTTAGTTATTGGATATTTAGAAGACGGCATAGCAGCTTCTTACATCGAAAGGTTAGTGCTGCTTAGTGCTTACCGATAATCAACCTCTCAATTCTCGCTTAGTTCACGGGGACGGCCTCTGACGATAACGATGCATTCTTTGAGTTTGTGTATCTCCTGGAGGGTCGCAAAAAGTTCGTCGCTGTTTGGGATGACACCATTGGGTGGATCTTTGAGGATATGCATTCTACCAATTTGCGGCTCTGAGGTGGCCTTTCCGCTGCAGATGGATCTTTGGCGTTTGTTTCCGCGGTAGTGTTCCTGATAGCATGCAAGTCATTCTGTTGCTTTGCCGCGCGTTTTGTTAGTCTTCTCAGCATCTATTTCACTGGCATGTGTGACTGATTGAGTAACAAGGCATGGTGTGGCGAACCAATGAGGCGGCGCTAAGTACAGAAAAAGAGGTTGAGGAGTATCAAGAAGAGGTGTATTGGGGCACCAACCCGGAAACAGCAAAACTAACCACATGTAGTAGTTCACAAGTCCCAATATTACAACCCTCATTGAACTCCAGTGGTTCGGGTTCGGTCCGTAGCGTAAGGATTTGCGCGGATTTCGGTTTCCCTACCCCCAACCCGATTCGGATTCGGTGAGAACCATTGGTTATAGTTGTCTCAGATTTGGGGATGATATTTTGCTTACTAATTGTATGACTTTCTCGGATATTTGGATATAGCTAGATAGCCTACTATCTAGTCTATCTAGATATGAAGTATCGATTCAAAATACCTAGTGGTTGCTGAGATATAAGGGAAACACATCTCTATGACTGTCAGGGCTTGGTATGAAAGTGGTGGGGATACCTCTCACAACGCCTGTTAAAAGGACTCTTGGCCTTGCCGGCCTGTTACAAGTCCCCGGGGCATTCCGAATTGACCCACGCTCACCTACAAGACTGTCCGGAGTAGTAGGACTTGCTCCGCTTTCTCGGCTTTCCAAGTTGCTGCCGATCCGGAAGTTTTTAGCCATCTTTTATTGAGTAGCTTGAACCTGCGTTTCCATATCTCTCCTTCTATCACTACAGACTGGGTAATATTTCTCAAATCAGCTCTGTTCCCGCTCCCCTTGTTGAAGCCTTGAAAATTCATTGTCCATCTGGCCATCTCTGTGCCCTCGTCGAGAATTAGATACCACCCTCTTTCAACTGTGCCAATTCTCTTGAAATGGCCCGTATCCTGATAACCGGTTCTACGGATGGCTTCGGTCTCGAGGCTGCCCGTCAGCTGGTTCAGCGGAATCACACCGTCTATCTTCATGCGCGTAACCAAGAGCGCGCAGAGGATGCCAAGGCAAAATGCCCTGGCGCTGCTGGTGTGCTGATTGCAGACTTGACAAGCATGGCAGAGACGCGCAAACTGGCTGAGGAAGCAAACGCAATTGGTACCTTTGACGCCGTCATTCTTAATGCGGGATTACTTTACGGCCCCTTCCGCAAGACGCCAGATACTGGCGTGCCGGCTATGGTCTTCGTCAATGTTATCGCACCCTATATTCTCTCTTGTCTTCTCAAGCAACCCAAGCGTCTTATCTTTATTGCATCCACCCTACACAAGCAAGCCAACACGAACGTGAAGGATATTTTCTGGTTCGAGCGTGGAGAAAAAGAATTCCAGGATTTCCCAGCATACTGCGATTCGAAGCTTCATGTTATGCTTCTTGCGAATGCAGTGGCAAGGCGGTTTAAGGGCACTTCAGTCACGGCTGTGCATCCTGGATGGGTTGCTACCAAGCTTGGAGGTCAAGGTGCTACCGACAAGCTGGAGGATGGTGTCGAGACATACGTCATGCTGGCCGAAGGTGATTATGATCAAAGTCTCACCGGGGTCTATTTTGAACCCAAGAAGAAGATCGGTGAACCTCTTGATGTGACAAGGGACGAAGATTTGCAGGAGGTTGTCGTCAAAGCTTGCGAGGAGGTAACCGGTCTTAAGCTACCTTAGAAGCTTATTCGGCATATCGGCAGTCATTCATAATGGCAAGCATCTTCTGGAACATATTTCGATTATTCTAGAGCTCATCAAGATTCCAAATACGTAGGCCAGGGCTCTCACCGGACTACCTGGTGTCCTAGATGGAGGCTGATGTCCCAATCTCGGACTTGTTTGTCCGTTGTGTCAGAATAACTCTGCCCTAATGCAACGTAGCCTTTGCCGCGGCGCATGGCGCTTCAGAATAATGTGTAGTTCAGTATGGAGGACCATTCGAAAAGTTCTCACCATAGATCCATATAGTAAATCACTATGAATCTAGACTGGCAAGACACTTATATATCTGCCGTTCTTGTCTTATCTATGCGTCTATTAGTTTTCTTATCATGGTAGATGGCCACTATGTCATTGGTGTACTGTATCGCAACTGCCTGAAGTTTTGTACCCGTCCTTCTCTGCAGGACACTCTTGTAGATCAGTAAGATAAATCCGCAAATCAAGCCCATTTATACCTAAGAGCAGCATACTTTGAGGGTTACTGGACACGATCAAGCATCTCTTCTCCTCTTAGCCTCACTCTGAATCCACTCCTCCGCTCTGCCTTTCCACTTGTCGTCCCATCGCGACAGTGCAGGCCGACCCTCAACCACATCATCACTCGCCCATTGCATCCTCGCCTGATCCAAAGCCCTGTCCGTCTCATTATCGGGACAGACGATGTAGAACGACCCCCTCTCCATTCCTTCGACTAACTCCTCTGCAACCTGACTAGGAAACCACGCCCCCTCCATCTTCTTAACGTTGCTCTCGTCCGTAGGCCCGACATTCCCCATAAGGCCAGTCCATGTCCACCCGGGAATCAGCAGGTGCACCGAGATATGGGCAGTGGCTGGATCCGACCGCAGATCATGCGCCAGATGCTCGGTCAGATTCTTGATGGCTGCCTTGGAGGCGTTGTACGCCGGGTTGGCTGCTCCAGGCGGGTTAGTGATGCCTTGCTTGGAGCCGGTGATGACGATTGATTTGGGAGTTGACGATGAGGCGGTCATCAGCGGAAGGAGAGTTTCGAGTCCGTTCAGAGGGCCGAAGACGTTGGTGTCGAATGTCTATTCATTAGCTATAGCCAAGTATGCAGAGCGTATGGATTCACCTTCTTCCAGTACTCGGCGTCAGCCCATGGTTTCAGTCGTCCTGACAGCTCACTCTGCGCTTTGTATGATTTTCCGGCATTGAGAACGACAAGATCGAGGTCGTTGAATGTCGACTGGATCTGCTTTGTGACGTCCTTCCAGGCGTCCCGGTTACCGACGTCAATGGTGTAAACCTCTGTTTTCAGCGAAGAGTCGAGAGCAGATAGCTCATTTTTGGCTTTTTCCAGATTGGCGGTATCGATATCGAGGAGCGCCAAGTGCATGCCCTTGGAGCGGCAGAGTCTGGCGATGGCGAAGCCGACGCCGGAAGCTGCGCCTGTGATGAGGGCCGATTTCTGGGGTTGGAAGATGGCAGCCATTGTGTAGCTATTTGATCGAATTTGACAGAAGAAATCAGGGAGGATAGAGGGTCGCTGATATGTGGTTATATGTGATCATCTTGTACCCCGCATTGTCATCAACGGAAATAGCGGAGTTAAGTCTCGTTGCCCTTGTACCGTGGAAGATGATCTTCTGGGCCATATCAGTATATCTATCTAGATAAAGTTCTCCAGAATCACGGAGTGAACACCTATTTAAAAGCTGAAGAATGCACTCAACAGCTCCTGAGCAAAACGGATCTTCACTCGGTACAGGACCAGGATCAGGATGTCCTCAGCCAAGCTTCTTTATCCCGTCCGCAGATTACCCCGGACCAACCGGCTGAATTCAAATTGCGGGGAATGGGTGCATCGTCGTCCTGCATGGATAGATTATTGCCAAATACTTCATCCTGCAGCTGGGACCATTTTATCCGTTTAGCCTGTGGAGCAATCAGGGGACAATCCGGGGTAACGGAGTATTCCTTGACCATGTGTCTCTATTTAACATTGCCCTCCTCGATCGAGGTCATCCTTGCTATACGAGAAAGTTGGGTTGAAGTTGAACGAACCTGAAGCTCAAGATGCCTACATTCCTGTCTAGAGCAGTCGCTGCTCTTCTTCTACTCCTCCAATTCAGCACTGTCTGGCCACTTCCTCTAGACATATCCCTTGGCGGCAATGCGGGTTCAAGTCGTAAATTCCACTGGGTGGATATTTGGACGACCATGCCGCAACTGGTCGAGCCCTACAATCTGCCTCCCGCACCATATGTGAGTCTATCTTAACGTGCAATAACTTCATCTAATGCAGATAGAACTCGTCGACTTCGGTTTTCAACAATTCCACCATCCGTCAGACCATCCACATCACGCTCGATGCAGACAGCATCCGTCTGCGTCTCTCGAATGCGTTTGGGCTGAACGACCTGGAAATCACTAGCGTCGCGATTGGCTTACCAGTTGATCAGAAGACAGGAACAAGCGCTCTCATACCGGGATCAAGCAGAAAGGTTCTCTTCAGCGGCAACGAAGATATCACCATTTCGAAGGGAGCACTAGCTGTTTCAGATCCCATTGATTTCCCCGTTGAGGCGCAGTCGACCGTTCTGATTGATATCTACCTCGCTCAAGGGCAGCAGGGCAATGCCATCACCGGCCACCCGGGAAGTAGAACGACCTCCTGGCTGTCATTTGGAAACTACGTCGGAGCCAACAATCTCACCGATCCGTCGGTGATGAGCGTGGATCACTGGTAGGTCTTCACCTGAATGTATACTACGGACCCAGTTAATGCAGCGCAGGTACTTCATCAGCGCCGTCGAAGCGTCTCTACCCCCTAACGCGCGCAGCTTCGCCATCATCGGCGACAGTATCACCGACGGCAGGGGAAGCGACACCAACGGCAACAATCGGTGCGTTCTCCTTCATGCACTTAGTCGATGTGAATCTAGCTAATGAAGCAGATGGCCTGACCTCCTCCTCGCCCGCATGCAAAAATACCGCTCAACCTCCTCCATCGCCCTCCTCAACCAAGCCGCTGGCGGCAACCGCATCCTCGCCGACGGGCTGGGACCCAACGTCCTCAGCCGGCTTGACCGCGACGTCCTCGCGCACTCTGGCGTGCGCTACGCCATGATCTTCGAGGGGGTGAACGACATCGGCGTGGCGAGCGCTGATCCTGCATCCCAGAAGCTCATCGGGGATAAACTGCTCGTTGCGTTTAGGCAGATTGCGACAAGGGTGCATGCGGCTGGGATTCCGATCTTCGCGGCGACGATCACGCCGTTTGGGACGCCGGTGGGGTCGAATTATACACAGCCGTATTCAAGTGATGAGCGCGAGAAGACGAGGCAGCGCGTGAATGAGTTCATTCGCAGCAGTGGGGTTTTTGACGCGGTGTTGGATTTTGATAAGACGCTTAGAGATCCGAGGGCGCCTGGGGTGTTGGCCGAGGAGTTTGATTCGGGGGATCATTTGCATCCTAATGTGAGAGGGTATCAGGCGCTGGCGGATCACTTTCCGTTGGAGGTTTTTGAGCGGTTTGATTGGTAGTGAGCGTGCTTATTAATGGATTACTTTGATATATCTAGTATAAGTTGTTCCTATCTTGAACGCCGGGTTTAAGGTGAATAGTAGCGTTCAGCTCAGCTTTCTGCGGGATATTTCGTTCTGATATTGAGTACGACCACCAATGCAAAAAAAATGAATTCCAGATGCCCAGCCAGTGCAGTATCAAACTGATTCATGTTCGCTGTGGTTTGACTGGACGAAAGTGATCAAAAAAATTTTGCCCATACCCACAGTCTCCATATATGAGGCATGATACCACAGCTCCACAAAGTTCAGCTCGGCCCGCTCTCTTTCCTTCTTCCCTTTGACAACAAGATCAAAAGATTGGAATTGTGGTTGAGAAACCATCTATAGGTGAGATCATATATCTTTTGCTTGGTTATACTTTTTCTAAGAAGTCCTCATAAGAAGTCCTCAGCTATCTCAATCCGTTCCCATGGCCACTTCCAAATACCCCACCGCTCAATACACCTCCGAAGAATTTGTTGAAAGTAGCGGTGCCATTCTCTTTGACCTGTCACATGAGACAAAGCGTGTCTGTTTGATTCACTACACTGTAAAGGATGAATGGCTTCTGGCGAAAGGCCGACGAAATTGTGGCGAATCTCGGCTTGAAGCAGCTTTGAGAGAAGTGCAAGAGGAAACCGGCTACAAATGCCACGTTTATCCTGTTACAATGTCGACTCGTGCCCCCTCAAAAAATGAGGCGGATGATGTTTCGGACCATGCTCGGTTGTATCCTGGCCTTAGTGAGCCTTTCATGCTCACTATTCGCGAGCTGAATGACAAGTCAGAGGCAAAATTGATCTGGTGGTATATTGCAGCAGTTGATAAGAGCTTCAAAGGCAGCACACCATCAGCAGACCGCGATTTTAGAGCTGAATTTTTCACGTATGATGAAGCTTTGCAAAAGTTGACATTTCAAGATGATCGCAACGTCTTGACAAGGGCCATCGCTTTAGTGGAAAGCTCATGATACAGTATTGCTTATTCTCTATGACCATAGAGAAAGGTCAAAGGTCGTGAGAATCTGGACAATCTATATTGGAACAGCTTTTGATTCTTAAACGCTAACTAGCAAATCAAACGACGACATTTGGGTGCCACTTTGCTCTATTTCCTCCCAGCCAATACAGCAAAATTCGTAAGTACAATCTGATTAAAGTCGGGTCCTACTCCCAGCCAAACATCAAATTAATAAAGGAGTTAACCATCCACTACCAGCGGCTTGAGGACTGATTGGTGTAGCATATCCCAGGCTTTCCCGCACATCGAACCTCCAAGGTCAGAGGAATTAGGGCAGAGTACTACTGGGATAGTGCCAGATTCTAATAATCCAGGCAGTACAACAGGATATATATGCATTACGATATATAACTAGTAACACTCAGCCTGGTGCTCCTGACCTATATAATTAGGTGCCAACCCCCAATGGTCCTCTTACTATGTTGTTGCAGCCCCATTAGTCTACAGACCACCTGATCTTATTTGGAGTAACTTTATGAAACATCACCCTAGTGGTCTGCCCGTTGTTTCCAATTGTCTCAGTCAGTCTGGCCAGTAGTGCGAGTGAGGGCGCGAGAGACATGCCCTCAATACACAGACGTTAGCCTCCGGGCTGGTCATGCATGGCCACTCACTATTAGGTAGGGATGTGGCTGCGGAAGCCGAAGGGGGCTAGATGGCCTAGGGGGGCATGGGGGGCTAATGTTATTTCTAGCATGGGGGGTGGTGGGAGCAATATAAATGACACTGATGGGGTGTGAAGGAGCCCTCTTGTAGGGGTTGCAGGCAACTATAATTAGTCTAGGAAATATGGACTCTACACACAACACTGTTATCAGGATGGCACTGCCAAGCACCCTTTAGACACCAGATGAGTGAACTAGCTGAGCCAGAAGTATCTCTTTGGCTGGTACAATTGAACAAAGAGTGTAACAAGGTGAAGGTGGTCTGAAAAACTCCCCATATCATTAAACAATCTTCGACTAACGGTCAGTTAGAGCCTAAGAGATTTGCCACACAATTTCCCAGAAAGCTGCAAATGACACAACACAGTGACTTCTTGCCATGTGAATTCTGTAGATGAGTTATTTAGTGCAGGGATCAACGTTGGCGGCCAAGAAGAGTGTTGGTCAGCACAGAGTTCGTTTCAATGAATACGAGTTTCTTGACATCAAATTGTCGAATCGCATAAGTTTGCGCAGAGTTGGGAATCCCAGAAGGGCAGACCCTGATCACTATTTAAGCAGACAATGAGTGTTTGGATGTATGCCTATCCTTAGCTTTTGCACCATCCATATTCCTCCCCCCTTCCCTTCCCAAACGATTTTCCCAACTTGACTATTACCCAAGATGCCTCTCATACCGGTTTCTCTCTGGAGTCACTCTATCGGTGCTAATTCATGGAAGGTGGCCATGATTTTGGAGGAACTTAATGTCCCTTACACCCACAAGTTTATTGAATTTCCTGAGATGAAGCAAGAACCGTACGTGTCCATTAACCCCAATGGTCGCGTTCCTGCAATTGAGGACCCAAATACCGGCATCACTCTATGGGAATCCGGCGCAATCATCGAGTACCTGGTCGCTACGTACGATAAACAGAACACCATTAGTTTCACGGCTGGCTCAAAAGAGGACTATCAAACCAAGCAGTGGTTGTACTTTCAGGTGTCTGGCCAAGGACCATATTTCGGCCAGGCAGCTTGGTTTTTGCGGTACCATTCCGAGAACGTCCCTAGTGCTATAGAGCGCTATATCAACGAAATTAAACGTGTCTCGCTTGTTCTGGACGGGGCGCTGAAGAATAAGGACTACCTTGTCGGAGACAAATACACATATGCCGACGCCGTCTTTGTGCCGTGGTTCACTATCATGACTTCTTTCACCGACGAAATGAATCTCGATGGAAAGTTTCCTAATGCACACGCCTGGTTAACTCGCCTGAAGACCGCTCCAGCGATTGCAAAGGTCCTTGACGACTGGAGCGGAGCCTCCGGACAAAAAATGATGTGAATTGAAATCGTTGAGGGACTGGAATTAAGGGGCTTAAAGAACACATCATCTATCGGATGTTAAAAGGCTGTCACAGGAGAAGAATACTGTTATCAAGAGTGGAGCAGTAACTTACTACATCCTCCTATTAGTTTCCAATGTGATCCATGCTTCTTTGCCATTTACATGCAACTTCTTTGCCGTTTGTATATAATCCTTTACGCGATAACTCAGACCAGTTCACTACGATTATTGCACAGGACGTTGCTGCCTTCGAGGAGTATTGAACATCACCCTTAGGCATATGCCTTAAGCCTATTAAATAGGCTTATATAAACTATAATTTTATATAAAATATATAGTAATTATTCCCTAACATCTTAGCAGCCACTAGGTATTGTAAGTTAATATTTATATACTTAGATAGCCTAGATTCGGGGCTATGTAGTGATATAAAAGTCATTAATAAAATCCTAGGACCTAGGATTTAGTAAAAAAAAAAAAAAACATAGTTATAACCAAACCCGTAGCAGGTCTGGGGTATAGAAACCAAACCCAAAATGATTCCCTAGACTTGCCCCTGACCCGACACCGCTGCGAGTTCGGTGAGGGTTCAGTGCGATTCTAGCAGGTCGGTTATGCAACTCTATTTCTGCGCCACCGGCTAGGAACCTCTTAGCAGTCAACTTCCGGCCTGCTTACAGTAAGATAGGAGTATAGGGAGGAAATAAGGTAGTTATATAGTAATAGGATAAGGTTTCAACAGGGTATCAAGGCCCAAGCACTTCCTAAGGGTAGTAGGTAAAGTAACCGATAAGAAGAGAGAAATATAAGAAATTACTAGGCATATAACACTTATTACCAGGTTTGAGGTGTATATATATAATCTAGGTAATTATTGCTATGGTACAAAGACAGATCCTTTGCAGTGGCTATCCCATCCCTTAGGTGACGTAAATACCGGGGCCACGCTGTTATTCAGTGACAGGTTGATCAGAGTATTGCCTGTTACCGTTAGATGTGTCCAGTCTCCAGTCGATCAGAGATCGGCTCACCATGAGGTTTATAGTCAGGCCATCCATACTTCCGCAAACCGTTGCGAGGATCTTTGGCAAAGGCAACCCATGCACCTAGCCATGTTAGACTTGGTCTCCAGAGTCCGAACTGCGACTCCCTACCTTGGATGTATTGGCTAGCCTTCACCTCCTGCGGAGTAGAAGGAATATTCAGCGGGGACATTTTATACGTCCCAAACACGATCGGCACTTCGCCTGCCTTCGTCAATCATTGCACTTTCGTGTTCTGAGATACTCACTTGAATGGTATGCCCCAAGCCACGGCACCGGACTCAGATTGCTCCAATTGCCATGGTACAGATACCTCCATGTCGGAATCCCTTGTTCGACTTTGAGTCTGGGGCCATTAGCTCAAGTCCTGTACAGGAAAGTTTGGCTACATACAAAGCAGAGTGCTGAACAGGACAGTTGAACGTCGTTTGTGTACTCGCAAAGATCGCCGTCTCGTTTATCGACGAAGAGCTAAGATTGAAGAACGCCGCGCCTTCGCGATCATTGTTCCCGATGAGAGCGGGCTAACATGTCAGGCAAGTCCAAATTCAAGAGAAGGATGAACGAACCACACGCGCACATTTGCCCTGTTTAGCTCGCGCAGGGTAGTCTGCAAATACAGTGACGTTGTCCTGCACCGGAGCGAAATTGTATGAGCCTGAGGATAGCTCAGTGAGGATTTGTTTAAATGGTTTCCCCTGCATGCAGCGCAGCGTGCCCCTGCCGGATCCGCAGCCAAGGGCGGTCGATAGCTTATCCCAGTTTTGGTGGGTGATGTCGGCGCTGGTGATTATGTCTGCTGCGCCGGATTCAATGGCGACGGCGTGCACGAGGGGATTGTCGGGGTACTACGCCGTGGGTTAGACTTGTTCTCGGAGTAGGAGAGACTAGAGACTACCGCGTAGGTATACATGTCCACCGAAGCTGCGCCGGCTGACTGCCCGAACAGCATGATTCGAGAGGGATCACCGCCGAACTTCTCGATGTTATCGTGGACCCATTGGACCGCTAGTCTCTGCTGCTTGTTAACCGTGCTCGATGTAACAGGGAAGTGACAAACCTGATCCAAAAGGCCGACGTTCTGCTGACCCTGGGGTAGATCGGGGGAGTTGGGATACCCGAATACCGTCACGCGGTAGCTATACCATGAGTACTGCACTCCAGATGGTTAGGCAGGTAGACCTACTTGAACGTCACAACAATGATATCCTCGTTATCCTGGACAAGATTGTTCCCATCGTAGAATGTAAGTGCCGTACCCCCCTGCACAAACCCCCCTCCGTAGATATACATCATCACCGCCTTCTTCCCCTTGCCCTTCTTATGCTTGGCCGCGGGCGCCCAGACATTGATGGACAGACAATCCTCGGATATATCTGCCGTGTTCCACGGGTTATACGGCAGCACGGTCCAGATCGACTCATTCGAGAATGAGAACTGTCCGGGACACGGTGGGCCGAACGACGAGGCGTTGAACACGCCATCCATCCTGGATTTGCGCACGGCGGGTGCGAATCGGCGCGCGCCAACTGGTGGTTCGGCATAGGGGATACCCAGGAATGTACGGACAGTCTCAGCCGAGTTGTTGTAGAAGCCGTGGACGATGCCGCTAGTTGTTTCGACTTGGAGCTCTGAACTCGACGCCACAGCCAATGCCGCAGAGCCTAGGAGGCAGGAGAGAAGTACTTTGAGATTCATCATGGGTAGCGTGCTGGTTACAGGGACTTGCGGCAGTGGGAAACGAAGAAAGTCATTATACCCGTCGCCTACCGGCCTGACCTAAACACCGGTCATTGTTTCATCCCATTCCCTGCCTCTGTGGGGAAATCGCGGAGAAATCAATGAATACTCCGCATACCCATGACGAAAGGATACAAGATATGGAGTACATTATTTCTAGTCTACCTATTTACCGGCAGGTAGAATGCGGGGAGCTGAGCACAAGTGAAGCATCACTCCGTGCCCAAAGAGGAAATAATCGGCAGCCGGGAGGTCCGGCTCAGCGAGTTTCGGCTGATATCAATTTGGCGGGGTTCCTTCATGGACATAAGCTTGAATTCGTCAGGATTGCAGTAGCTTCTTTGACTCTTCTAAAGCACCATGGTCCTCTCTACCAGGACATCATGGACCGCTTCGAAGAAATGGTACAGAGATCCGGCATTGTATGCGCCGACAGGCTACAAAGAAATTTTGTGATTCATATGTAGCTATCATACAAGCTGATGCGAGGAGGAGTTGCCAAAATAGGGTTTCTATTCACAGCAGATATAAGTCTAGATGATAAATGATATATGTCAGCATAGAAGACCAGCCTACAACCGTCTCTGCTTAGCCACTCCCCTCTTCTTCAACGCACTCGTCTCTTGCCGAGCAATCGTCGTCCCCGGCCCAAAATCCGGCTTCCCGCCCAACGTCCCAAACTCATCGCCAATATAATTACTTGGCTTAACACCAGCCGCAAAAGTCTTATTCCAACCGTCCAGAATACCCTGCACAACCTTAATCCCAGCATTGTAGATATTCTGCAGCGCAGGCCCAAACGCGCCCTGGTCCGCATACAGCAGATTATCAATCGCCGATTGACCAGGATACGGCCTCTCAAAGTCAGATGCCGTCCGCATAACGATAATCCGGGAGAAATCCACGCGCTTGTGCGACGCCGCACGCAACAGCGCCTCAAGTGTCGCGTTGTCTTCCTGCGCGGTGCTGCAGTACACGCCTGTCCCGTTCGTCAGAACACTAATGGTATTGTCGAAGACGTCGTCGAGGATCTTTCCGCTGAAGTAGACGTCGCTTGTGGTGACGTCGCACTCCACGACGGAGGGGGCTTGGGTGCCCGCTGCGTAGGTGCCATTGTCTGTGACGTACTTGGCGCGGTAGGCCTTGGATGTGTCGGAGTCGGCCAGCTGCGCCGTGCGGGCGAAGGAGGCGGCTAGTGAGCGCAGCTCGGCGTTGACTTCGAAGACTTCGGTGCCGTAGATGCTGGCTGGGTATTGGTCGGGTGCGTAGGCGCCCTGCGGGATGTAGGGGGAAGTGTAGTTTGGTCCGAGGTCGCGGATGTCGATCTCGTACTGCAGGGCGACCTGCACGGCGTACCGGGCGAAGGTGACGCCGCCAATGGTGGCGACCTTGGGGTTGACGCCGGCGATGCCTGCGATCAGGAAGTAGGTGTGTGTGAGGTCGAAGAGGGGGGAGAAGGCGATGGAGGAGACGGTGATGGCTGCGTTGATTTCGCCTTCGCCGGTGATGAGCTGGCAGATGCTGTAGTCGGCGGAGCAGTAGACGTCGGGATAGACGGGTGAAGCACCAGGCACGGTGATGTTGTGCGCGAAGAGATCGAACTCGGGTATGTTCCACCAGACAGCAGCTTCAGGTTTGAACTGTGCATGTGAGTAGCCGTCATCCTTACAACCCGGATAGAAATACGTAGACATACCATAGAGACGATGAACACCTTGGGCGCGATCTTATACGAGGGATGGTGGGCTACTGGTGCTGGTGCTGGCTTAGGGACTGCTGATGCCAGCACACAGCCAGCAAGCAGCAATCCCGTCGCAATTGACTTGACTAGATGCATTTTGAGGCCGTCGCCCGGTCTGAACTTCGTCGTCACTCTTTCGTACTGCACTGAGAACCAACCCGTCACGGCATCCCACTCGGTTATATAGCTGCAAATTCTGCAGTGAAAATTGCGCGAGATGAGCTTTTCATGGATCTCGGACCAGGACAGTGGGCCCGATTCCACTATCGCGACTTTTTCAGAGAGATCTGCATTGCTAGCGGACGCCATTACTCAACGGAATCCATTCTCTCGTGCTTCTGGGCTGGATCGTCGGTGGAATCACCATCTAAGGTGTGCTTATCTTCGTATCAGTCAGATCTTCAATTGGCTTTTTACTTTGAAAGAGTGGGGAATAGCACGGCACCCGCCGGTATGCGAACGGCATTTATCATGATTCATGACTGAAGATAGATAACTCAGCTAATCAACGAGATATCAGGACGAAAACTTATCTCTCCTTAGTCCTGCAAAAATACTTAATCTATCTGGCTCTAAGAGTGAGGTAACTCTAGCGATGATAACTTATTTTAACTATCTTGCACCAGTAGGAGCAGATCCAGACCTAGATATATACTGATTTCATGTAAATAACTATTGCAAGCTCTAATTAATGCCTGGTAATAAGAATTTGTGCTCCATACTTGGATTAGATTTGCTAATCCTCGCCTTGAGTGGATGATGAACATCATTCTTAAGCATATGAAGCAGTATGGACCTACAGGTATATTAAAAGAAAGGAACCAGAAGTCCACTGATAAGGACTCTTAACATCTACTTTATAGATCTGACTTGGCTTCCTCCCCCCGTGCACCTCCAACTCTTCATCGTTGCATTAACCTTACTATTACAAAGAGACACTGGCGCAAACAGCATATCCAACCAGCAAATACTGACAATCTGAGCCAATAGCCGGATTCCATCCATATGGCCGCGCAAACATGACCCCGAACTGCGTCTCAATTGCGCCGCAAGAGCCGCCATCAGCTACAGTATACCAGGCGTTCAGTTGGATGCCACCCCTGTCTGGGTAGGACTGGATGGCCCACTAGAGGTAGTTGTGCTAGATGTAGAGGACGAGGCAGGCCCCTTCACGGAGTGCGCGCGGCCAGCCAGACAGTTTGGGAGAAAATGCGCCATCGCTCAGTGCGTGGGTCGTCCTCTCCATAGGTCATTGCTCGGTGCTTTAGTTCTTTTTCGAAAGCCATCACAAAGTTGGGTTCCAATAGCTTCGAGGAAGGGCTTCCTTTTCTTAGCCACAGTCTGAACATTCCTGAGTTCAGTCCTCTCTCTTGGGAGGAGTGGATGCAGCACAGCTTCTCTGCACAAACCTGTCATAGAATGCTTGAGGTTTCTCATTTTAGATGAAGAATATCACTGAACAGGGTTTACTATATTGAGCAATGCCAGTTACATTTACAAATTATCACAGTTGAACTAGGTCATGCGCAGTTATTTCTCATAGGGCTAGAGCAAATATCAAGTACCATTAGTAAGGAATCTAAGTTAGTAGATAGCATTAAAAGGAAAAGGTTGGATACTAATAGGTCTAGGGCAAGCCCCTTAGAGGGCCTGAATTCTAAAGCACGCAACTTCCTTGCAAGAAAGAATAATAATGCTAATCTTTTATTAAACCATGCCATCTATCTATTTGTATCACCCATAACCCCAATGCTACTAGCAGGGTGCTATCATCTCAGGAGCTAAGCAACCACTTACAGGCTCAGTGTAAGTTATTCTAAACTTTAAGAGCCTAGAGCACACAGGTTCTCTAGAAGACCTGTCAATAATATTTCAAACTACTGCATATAGCATTATGAAAGCTTAAGCTTGAAACACTTGCGAAAGTTGCTATTATGGCTAATTACCATGACTGCAGGCACACTGTAGACAGCCTGGCAAATATATGGACCAAGCGCCCTGGAGGAACCACATTCACGACATGTTCATTAGAATTTGAGATCTGTGATTATCAGTTGTCAGGTGCTGTAGTGTCAACTCCTAACTAAGTTCAATGAAGCTGCCTCAACAGTCATGCCTTAGAGTAACAGTTAGACCGCAGGAGAGGTCTTCCCAATCCGCAATGACATCACTGTAACAATGCATAAGCCGTCAATCATGCCTGACTCAGAGTGGAAACCAGGGCCAATGAATGACTGTAGACGGGGAGCGGATCACTAACCCTAGTCTACAACTTCATGAGCCACATCATAAGCTCCATCGAAAGCTGCAGCCATGGGCCGTGGTTTTAATGTAGCTCAAGCACATATGGGACTATCACAAGCAAATGCAGTCAAATGCTCTGGTTTCCCCAGGGCCTGAATGGCCTTCCCAAATTGATTCCCTGTGCGAGAGTATTGTCATTCAGATCCGCTGGATGGTAGGGTCCGTCATCGGATCATACAGGATACCAGCACAAGTATCTTCAATCAACACTCAGATTGCTATTTAGCTGGTCAAACGATAGCGAGACGTATAAAGAGATCGGTCTTGACACTGCTAAGATCAACCTGGGATTCACATATTACACTAAGTAGTTCATGACCAACCCCAACTCTAACTGCAATAAACACCCAATTAGATGTGGGGTTTTGGCCCTGGAGAACCCTAATAGTTTAGATACAGGCACATCAGGAGCCTTAACCTTAAGAAAAGCACAATAGCAGCTGCTCTAGGTAACTTGAAAGTCTCTATAGATAGAACCTATAGCTTTTCTAAGGGGACCAAATACCCTGCTAGTTCATACTGCAGCCAGTATGATAATTAGTATGCTTGCTCTTCTCCTTTCTGAATAATACAAACTAGGCTTAATCAGTAGTACTAGTAATAACTTCTACTTAGCAGGCTATCTCTCTAACTATAGTGAGTGCAAGGGCATCTCAGTCATTAAATCATGGTGCCGTGCTCTCAAGGATGGTAAGACAGATAAGTAAGCCAGCAGGAAGTACTACTAGGACAAGCAGGCTAGCCTTTTCCAGTCTTAGGATACACCTACCTTGATTACTGAAAAAATCAATGAAATTATGGGTGCTAAGAAGACTGGGTGGAGTAATAGAATTGAGTCTGGGTGAGGAAAGCCTGAGCTGGGACCATTTAAAGGCCATTCAAGATGGTCTCAGAGGCAGATTGGTTAACTAAATCTCTCAAGCCTCGTGTGCCTGATATTGTGTGGTTTATGAGACCTCCATATTTAGTGTAAAATAAAGAATAAAGAATGTATTCAGATAAGCGGTCAGGGTTTCGGGCTTGTATCTTGGGGTGTTTCTTTGGCTATATATCCATATATATATATTGACCACTGCAGATGGGTGCGTTTGACATGAAGGTCGACAAGAACTGAAAGGTCTTCCAGCCAGGCGGCATTGATTGTCCCTGTCTATCTGGTCTTGCCTTAGTCAATCCTACTAACATTAACAGTGCTAGAAAAAGTTCATCTAGCATTCATTGGTTGCTGAGAATGTCAGCCATGTCGATGTGCAGGCTATATGACTGCTGCCCACATCCATTGCGTGATAAGCAGCATGTCTAGTAGACTCATCCCTAGCAGCCATCATCATCCAAAGTAGGCGCCTTATTTCCCACAACTGATTAAGCTAGATGGTGTCCGTCCCCGTTAGCAAGCCTAACCGCTTCCAGCACGTTGTGACTCCCTGCTGGTGCTGATTCTTGAGTTGCATTAGAATAAGCCCAGCAGCCGGTAAACCTCTATCACGTGATACAGACCCTAAGACCAATCCATATGAGGACATCATCAACATCGGAGCTAATGGCTCACTGATTGAATTCTACCTGGGCTTTGAGGCCGGGATATGTAGCACAATGCGTGATGTACCCAAAATCGGATAGGCAGGTGAGTGGAGAATCTGCATAGGTCTTGCAGAGGACGGGTCCGGAGTTGGTGCTGCCTTGATGGCGCAGGCGGCAAGTCAGAATGAATGGAAAAATAGCCCGATTGATTTGGCATATTCGAGGAAATATTCAATGTATAACATGGCTAGATGGATCAATCCTTTTAGGCTCCTTTTCGGATATGGAGCCAATTTTGTCTTGCTACAGGTAGACCTGGTAATGCCCCGTCTATCAATCGGAAACGAAAATCATACTTCCATTATCTAGGGATACCTTTTCACAGTCAATCTGATAGCCAATGAATACACATTTGCCGTTGCATAGCCTTGTCTCTTGAGTCTCATTCGCCGTAGCCTCACCCGACAAGGCTGAGCGATGCCTTTACCTAGCCGCTGCATCAGTACCCAGACTAACAGCTCATAAAGTCCTTCTCAACAACTATACGAAATAATCATCCAAGAACACCAACCACCTCAGAATGTCAATGGACACACCCCATCCCATCCGGCACGACTACACAATCGCCTGCCTCTGCCCCATGGGCCTCGAACAAGCGCCCCTCGAGGCCCTCCTCGACGAACCCCACCCCAGCCTCCCCACCAGCCACGACAAAAACAGCTACACGCTGGGCCGCATAGGCGCCCACAATGTCGCCATCGCAGCCATGCCCGGGATCGGGAACAACAGCGCCGCGTCGGTCGCCACGCAGCTGGTGAACGACTTTCCGGGCGTGCGGTTTGCTCTCCTCGTCGGCATCGGCGGCGGGGTTCCAGACTTGTGCGAGGGCATCGATATCCGGCTTGGGGATGTGGTTGTTAGTAAACCGTCGGGACGATGGGGCGGGGTGGTGCAGTTTGATCGGGGCAAGGCACTTCCAGACAGTCACAGTCGATTTGAGCGGACGGGGGCGCTTCAGCGGCCGCCGGATGTGCTGCTGGGGGCGGTTGCGAGGCTGGAGGCGCGCCATCGGCGGGTGGAGAGTGAGATTCCGAGGTATTTGCAGGAAATGGTTGAACGGTATCCGAAGATGAAAGAGGGGGGTTATACGTGCCAAGGCGCGGAGAATGATGTGCTCTTCCGGGCGGAGTTTGAGCATGCTGGTGGGAAGGACTGCCGGGGCTGTGATCCCGGCGAGATCGTTGAGCGGGAGAGCAGGCTGCATCTCAGCCCGGTGGTGCATTATGGGACGATTGGATCGTCGAATGCGGTTATCAAGGACGGTCGAGTGAGAGATATGCTCAGAGACGAGTTGGATGTGAAGTGCGTGGAGATGGAGGCTGCTGGGTTGATGGAGTCGTTTCCGTGTCTGGTTATACGGGGCATCTGCGACTATGCGGATTCACATAAGAACAAAAGATGGCAGCCTTATGCTGCTGCGACGGCCGCTGCATATGCAAAGGAGTTGCTGTCTATTATCCCACCTTTGGAAAGAGTGTCAGTGCCACGGGCCAGGGAGGGAAACAACCATGCTCCGCCGCGAGGATCTACCAAGATACTCATGGGAAATACCGGGAATTTCATCAATGGATCCGTGTCTGGCGATTTTGTCGCTGGAGACAAAGTCAATGGGGACAAGATACTGTGGGGTGAAAGATGGTAATCATCATGGAGAGAGATTGGCCATGTATTGAGAGTCTCGAATGAAGTATGAACAATGCACACTATCTACAGGATCGGCCAGCGTCGATCACCGTCCCACAATCGGTCTGAAATTGTCTGATTACGGGTTTACGACAGCTGATAAACATGACCTTTACAGTGGTGGTGATCCGACGCGCCTGTAACTCGTTGAATAAACTGGCGAAGTGACAAGACCATCCATACTCCTTTGCCTGGTCCGCAAAAGCCTCCGTGTCGATCACCAGGTAGATCTCGTTTATACCTCCTAGGACTGAGCCCAATACGCTGCACCAGTCTTCCGCAGTAGATGCATCCCGAATTCTCCTCGCGGTTAGTGAAGCCCTGCGTTCGGTGAACGTCGCTGGGTTCTGCTGGAGGATCTGGGAGACAAGCTCTTTCAAGATATCCACGACACCATGCGCATGCTGTTGCTGACTCTTGGCCTGAAGGACCCAAGCAACAATACTCTTCTCTTTCCGGAGCAGACATATCATGTCTGCAGCTAAGTCTCTGAGCAGATGACGGGTAGGAAAGGAGCCTTTGACAAGGAGCAGCGATGAACGAGTCTCTGCTGCCCAGCCCTGCAGTCGCCGAGATCGTCGTAGAGAACAGGTTGTATCGCCTTCCTTCTGCCGTCGAATTTTGCACATTATGGCATAGTAGCGGAGAGTAGCTTCCGGATCAGCCAGGGTCGGTATGGTTAAGGATGGAAGTATATTAGAGAGATTGAGGCCGGGACCTCCTTTGCTCGTGTCGAACGTGCCGGTGTAGCGTAACGTGTGGAATTCTGTTGATATCAAATGAATCAACGGTCAGTCGGGTAATCGGTCAGTCGAAACACCCACCTTCGAGGGCGCGTCTCGTTTCCGGTAGCCCGACAACGGTGTGCGGTGACTTCGAAAGGTTTCCCTCAGTCTCTGTGAGAATCATAATCGAGACCAGTTGACAGATTCTCTGAAGGTCTTTGGAGATACTGCTGTCCGAATCCTTTAATCCGAGCTGGCTTACGATCGCGGGATCGAAAATGATATTGCGCATTTCAAGCGTGATCTGTCAGAGGGCTGGGACATTAGATGATGACCGTGACCCTATTTTCAATGCAGGATCCCGAGTAAGTCACCTTGTTGCCCGCAACTTGATCTCCTCCAATCTGATCTCCCACGACATTCCCGTTGACCAGGTTTCGAACATCGTGAGTATGGATTGCAACGCCGTCCGCCATATAGGACAGCGCATGGACTCATTAGGTTGAAAAGAGGCAGAACTAGGTGGACAATTCGGCAATCGTGGCTATATCTCGAAGTCAGTCCACTTCGGTATGTGCACAGGCAATCGATTGCAGTCAGGCTGACGTGGTCAGCCTTGCTTTCCCGTTCCGGCCAATGTGATAGGCGATCTCATGCAGAGAGGGAGTCAGTGGCCAATGAGGGCGAATGAATTAGCCTCACTTTGTGGCTGCTTTCCTTTTCATTCAGATCGCCAGTCGGGCGCTTACTGCAGCCAGCCCCTCGTTCCGCTCTCGAAGTTCTATCGTCTACCTGAAGTCTGGACACTGCGGAAACTTGATCAGCACAGCTTTCCATACCCCTGCTTCCTACTGGAAATAACTTTCCACGAGCTCGTGGGGCAGAGTCTGACTCTGCATGTCTCGACCATCGCATTCTCGGTCGGATTTTCTGCGGTATGCCCCTGGTGGCCTTGCCAGGTCGTCTCGTGGGTCGGCAGACCATCGTCTTCCGGCCGAGCGCATCCCTTCAACAACTGAGCTACTGACCGAAAAGAGGGGAAAGATAAGTCACCCTGCGCGAGAGAGAGAGGGAGTATCAGAAAATCAATGCGACATCCGGCGACGGCGGAGCTACACTAGACCTAGATTCACTCGAGGAGACTAGAGGGATCGTACCAGGAAGCCCAGACAATAAAGAGGAAGACGAAGAGGAAATGGAAGAGGAAGAATCATCAGAGTACAGCGAAGAAGGCGAAGACAAAGAACAGATCCATGATTTTAGGGGTGTGTTGGTACAAGGAAGCCTGAACAACAACCCCCTGAACCTCTGGAAGCATACCACCATATCCGAGGATAGAACGAGTGAAAGCGGCTGGAGAGCAAAACAGCTGGCCATTGTCCTTCCACAAGTCGCTCGAGATTCTTCCGACCAGACAAAGAAGTCCATCGCGGAGCGCGATCTACCTTACTTCAACCCAATGGATCATATGAGTCCACTGGGTCCCTCTTCTTCCCAAAGAAAGTTGCCTGAAAAAGATCTCGAGGCGCATTTAAGGTGGACAGGAAAGGAAAAGTCAAATTCAAAGGACCGGGGGATCTCTGATTTTGGGCCTGCACAAAGAATCGCTCAAGTTTCGAATCGCTCAGAAATCGAGGATCAAGAGTTCCCCAGTGCTAGGAACAACGAAGAGGAGGTGCCCACTGGATCAATGGGACACTACCAATTGCTTACAAACCGCATCCAGGCACTCGAACAGGAGAACATAATACTGAAGAGCTGGATTGATCCGGATTCAATTCATCGAGGACGGCCCTTTTTCCAGATTGTGTATCGATTCAAGGGCGATGATAAAATCTTCTTCAAGCCACCCTCATGGATGCGGGAACATTCCGTGGAAGGTAATCGGTACACTCTAAAAGGAGGTTCGCTATCAATGAAGGAGACGGAGTACTTGAAACGAAGCAGCAATCTTGCTTTCGTTATTTTCCAGAGCTATACCGTCGTGACGGTGGACGACCGGACAGAAACTCCCATTCTGCCAGGTCCTGAGGCCGAAACCGTCTTGTTTGCTTCTGATGAAATGAGACGAGCGGTTCAGAATTATTTGAGCAAACAGCCGGACTTTGAGCAACTTTTCCCGTTGTTCGATGTTATGGGGGAAATTCCTTCCCCCTACCTGTTTTGGTACAGCACTCGTTCATCGTATGACTCTGTCTTGCAAGTACTTCCGTCTCATCAGAGAGCCCTGGTCGAGTTATTTGGAGAGTGGGTGAATGCCAATTACGAGAAAGAATATGCACATGTGAATGACCAGATCGAGAGAGGAGTCGTATCTTGTCGAACGATGAAGTACCTGGTCAGGCCAGGTGATCCCCTCGTATGTCAGGAAACGAGTCTGCTGCAAGCCTATCAGGCTACATCTTGGGCTAAAAGTAAAGTCACATTGAGGGATACTGGCTCCAAGGAAGGTGTGGGCGGCTTTGACAAGGTTTGGGAAGTGTCAGCCTGGTCCTACGAATTCGATGGCGTCTTCTACCAGAAGACTGTCCATCTGGACATTGAGCTCGATGCCAGAGATCCCGATGAGGAAGTAGCACTGAGTGCCTTGAGGGTGACTCTACTGGATCACGCCAGTTCGGACATCAGAGAGAAACTCGAACTTCGAGGCAAGACGTGCTGGGCATGTCGCAAGAAGAGATTTATTTCTTACAGGGGAGGGGACGACATTGAGTCACTCAGCAATGTTTGTGACCTAGATTCTTTTATGCATAATTTCTAATAGTCATCCAGAACAGCGAAAGGTTCATGGTTGACTTCCCGACCTACCGGCAACTGCATCCACCCGAACATCCCCTGGTTCGCAAGAAGCGCACAGAGATACCACCGGAGCGCCTGGAGGCTGACGACCCGCCATCGGCACCGGAGATCTATCTATTCCCATCACGTATCGTAGGATACAATTTCCGCCGGAAAAAATGGGGTAAGGTAACCTCTGTTGGGCTCAGATGCTACATGCTCATTTTGATTTACAGTCAACCTGCAGGTCGACCTCATTCAAGAGGTTGAATGGAACAAAAAGGCCTTTGAAAGCCTCGTCATTGACCAGGAGACCAAAGAACTCGTTCAGGCGTTGATTACGAACCGGCTTGTAGCCGAGAAAGGAACCGACTTGATTGAGGACAAAGGTAACGGGCTGACAATCCTTCTGCACGGGGGACCTGGGACTGGCAAGACATTTACCGCCGAAAGTGTAGCTGAACTGGCCGAGAAGCCTCTATACAGGGTAACGTGCGGCGACATTGGCACCCAACCGGAAGATGTGGAGAAGTACCTCGAATCTGCTCTCCATCTCGGCAAAATCTGGGACTGTGTCGTGTTGCTGGACGAGGCGGACGTGTTCTTGCAAGAACGTACGTTGTCGGACCTGCAGCGCAACGCACTGGTGACTGTTTTCTTGCGTGTTCTTGAATATTACGATGGTATTCTGATTCTAACATCCAACCGTGTGGGCACATTCGATGAAGCATTCAAATCTCGCATTCAGGTCTCCCTGCACTATCCCAACCTCAATCGCTCGCAACGACACAAGATTTGGCGGAACATGATCAATCGCTTGAGGACACTCGAGCAGCCTAACATCGACTTTGACGACATCGACTGCTATATCAGCGAGCTAGCCGAGCAGGAAATGAATGGCCGTCAGATTCGTAACGCCATAACGACTGCCCGCCAGTTGGCCAAGTTCAAGGACAGGAACATGACACATGCGGATCTGAAGCACGTCATCGACGTTGCTGGGCGATTTGATAAGTATCTCTATGATGTCAAGGAGGGCTTTACGGATGATGCCATAGCCAGGGACTCTGGTCTTCGATAAGCCAATCCAGTGTCCAACAGACGTACTCGAGGTTGGGAACCCATATATCTCGTTGAGGAGAAAACGATCATGCACATAATCAGCCAAAGAACGGCATGTCTATGCATCCATTTGGTTCCCGCGCACCCTGGCTGTATCATCAGGATAGAGGACTATACCATGATTTGTACTTACTCTCCTTTTGTACAGAGCACATCAGAAGTTGGGATGAGCAAATCTACGGATTTATATATGAACCCTTGACCTACTATTGCCTTGATGTGCTAGATAGCCTGGCATGGGAGTATGAGTATCGTCGTCCTCCTCATCTTCCACTCCGTTGAAGGCAGCCATATCTGCGTCAAGGTTAACTGGTGTACTTACCCATCAGAGCCGGGACTTAATCTCCGTGTCTGATGATTCGTGCTTGAAGACTTGTTCAAGGATAAGCTGAATATACGAAGCATTGGAGTGCGGCCTCAGAAGCTGTGCTCTTTGCTGATATACCCTTCGACGTAAATGACCACTAGTAGCCTCTGTGCTTGAGCTCGTTGTAAGAGGGAAATGAAGCAGGAATATAGTGGCTTCTCCCAGGAAGAAACTAATTAAGGGGTGAGGATAAGAGCAATGTGCCGTCTGTCTTCTTCGCTGATAGGAATTGCAGAGAGAAGGATGCAGTCACTTCGGGCCTCTTCGGTTTGCGAGTGATTTTGTCAATTTCTCGGTGTCCTGGAGAAGAAAGTGCTTGAGAAGTGTCGCCGTCATAACACGAATAAATTATGGCTCAAACTAGTGCTGGACGAGTTTATCCACAAGTGGGACAATGACAATCAAGCGCAGAAAGCCTGCAGCCTTTAGCTCTCCTTTATTGCAAACCACGCTTTCTTCGTAACTATCATCTGATGGAGCTCGGCTTTAATCCGACATTGCCGTTAGTCTCGGTCATGAGCCCTATAACGGCCTCGTCTACGGCCTTCAATTGGCGCATTAACCTATTGCTACATAATTAGTCCGGCACACTTCCTGTCATCAGATAACCTCGATCCCTCGGCCTTTTCTGAATCCGGGGTTATTCCTCGCAGACAGGGAGTGCAGGCAATCTATGTGAGGATGGAATGAAGAGCTGCCCTCGTGATTATTTCTCTGTCCACCAATCGGAGCGACTTTCCCTAGATCCTCATATTGCTTTCTTCATGGGGTGCATGGCTTTAATATGTTTGTGGCTGAATTGGCTGCGTAATCCTGTGGGGTGCCGAATCTCCACCCGGATAGAAGCTTGGTAACATCACTCGAGTATACAAACAGACTCAAGTATATAAACACGTCGAGGACTGCTGCTTGGTATAAGACAGACTCAATTTGTTCAAGTCAAAGATGAAGTACCAGGATCTTCTTGCCATAGCAGGCTGCATCGCCAGCGCCAGCGCCGTCAGTGTCTCCGGCGCTGCGGAGGGTTTCGCCAAGGGCGTCACTGGTGGTGGGAGTGCAACGGCCGTCTACCCCAGTACTACTGCCGAGCTTGTGTCCTACCTTGGGGACAGTGAGGCTCGGGTGATTGTATTGACCAAGACGTGTGTTCTGGGAATATACCATCATTGTACGTGGATGCTGACTGTTGACCAGATTCGACTTCACCGGTACCGAAGGCACGACGACAGGGACTGGCTGTGCGCCTTGGGGAACTGCCTCTGCGTGCCAGGTGGCAATCAACCAGAATGACTGGTGTACCAACTATGAGCCTGATGCCCCCTCGGTATCTGTCAGCTAGTGAGTGTGGCCGGGTTTCTCAAGAGCACAACTAACGACTACAGTGACAATGCCGGTATCCTAGGTATCACCGTCAAATCTAACAAGTCACTGATCGGATCTGGGTCCAGCGGTGTGATCAAGGGCAAGGGTCTGCGGATTGTCAGCGGTGCAAGCAACATTATCATCCAGTCAGTTTGCCCGTAGTTTGTGGTCAAAAGGAAATAACTGACACTTGCAGAAACATTGCTATCACTGATATCAACCCCAAGTACGTCTGGGGAGGTGACGCAATCACCATTAACAATGCCGACATGGTTTGGATTGATCACGTTACGGTCAGCTCCCCAAGTCCAATAACGTTTGGCTCATTCTGATGCATGGTAGACTGCGCGAATTGGCCGCCAGCATCTCGTCCTCGGCACTAGTGCTTCCAACCGGGTGACCATCTCCAACAACTACTTCAATGGAGTCAGTAGTTACTCCGCCACCTGTGATACCTACCACTACTGGGGCATCTACCTGGACGGGTCCAACGATCTAGTCACCATGAAAGGCAACTATATCTACCATTTCAGCGGCCGCAGTCCCAAGATCCAGGGCAACACCCTTCTCCACGCAGTAAGCCCCTCACCTTACTTTGCAAGCTCAAACTAACCGCTCAGGTCAACAACTACTGGTACGACTCCACCGGACACGCCTTCGAAATCGGATCTGGCGGCTATGTTCTGGCTGAGGGCAACGTCTTCCAGAACATTGATACCATTGTCGAAAGCCCCGTTGATGGACAGTTGTTTACCTCGCCCGATGCCACCACGAACAAGGTCTGCTCGACCTACCTGGGACATGTGTGCCAGGTCAATGGATTTGGGAGCTCCGGGACCTTCAGCCAGGCGGATACGGGTTTCCTGTCTAACTTCGCAGGCAAGAATATTGCCTCTGCGTCGGCGTATACCGCGGTGCAGAGTACCGTTCCCTCGAGTGCGGGACAGGGTAAGCTCTAGTTTGGGTGTGGTTTGTTGGACGGAGGGAATGAAGAGGCGGCGGCCTGGAGAGCTGCGCTCTGGTTATGTACCTTAGCTGTGACATCTAGCGCTATACATGTCTAATGCTCTTCGGTCAGGAAGCCATACATATGTCGTACAAGTATTTGGATGAAGCATACTGTCTTCAAACCTCGAACTCGCCTGGGGCTCGTAGCGGCGAGGACGACCGAAGTCTGGTGAGTAACCGGCGAGGGATTTTTCAAGAATCGAGCCACAAGGGGACATATTAGGCGATTGCTTGACCATGGTAGTGTCACTTGCAGATTGACAATGTCCCTTTTCACTGCATATGACGGAAAGATCGGCGATGTTGAGACGCAGACGCCTGACCCATCGATACGGAGCGACAGTACCATCAAATATCACAGCCTTAATAATGTATTGTCCCTCAGAGAACAACCGGAGCTTTGGGACTGTGCTTCCGTCTTTCCTTTGGGTCAGTTGTTGAAGCATTGTGTCGACACCTCCATCCCCTCTTGGCGTTATCAGCGATAAGATAGCGTTATCAGTGGCGGTGCTCTTGTTTTCATGACTGACTTGACCAAATCTAGGTAATAGTTCTATTGCGGTCGCAAGGAGCAAGTCCTCTGATTGGAGATCTTAATCTAATAACATTGCCTCTATCTTCATTAAGATCTGAAAAGCATTGTGACGGCTCATCCACTAGGTCGAATGCTTGGCTCAATAGAGTAATGACGGCGTGTCCCACCAGGACAAGACCAGCCGGCCGATATGACGCATGTGGAGCTCCAATTCTGACATGCTGATTGAATGCTCATCATGGCAGATCCGGCTCGATCGCAGCGAGTTCTTTTTAATCTAAAGCACTGGAGACAAGAAACAGAGATGACACCACGTCATGCACGTGGGGAGAAGCCACATGACGTCACTCCATGTCTCCCTCTCCCTTTTTATATCCATGGAACTGTCCAACGGTTGAACTAGATGACAGGCTTCAGGAACAATAACCATACTTAACAGCATCCCAACTTAGGCGTTGACGTGGAACACACTCCCCTCACTCCCACTCAACAAAATACCGATTCATCTAATCGCCCTGTTAGAAACACCCAGCGAGTGTACGTATCAGATTGCTCGATGGTTTCTAACGTCCATATTGTTGACCCTTCGTCTACAGTGAAACCCCTCAGTCACCATGCCTTCCATGCACGATCGTATCCGCGAGGACCTCCTCATCAAAGAGCGCGCTCTATGGACGGCCTTGACCTCAGCAGACCCCGGGCCGGCCATTGAGAAACTCTCCCACCAAGAAGTCAACATGATCTTCCCTCAAACACCTATCTTAACTCTGGAGGGCGAGAACAAGGTCAAGGATGCCGTCAAGCCACCCTTCCACCGATTCGATACCTACTCTCTGGACGAAGTGCGGGTGATCATCATCGATCTCATGGCGGGTACGGTTACATACAGGGTCACGGCTACCAGAGGGAACAAGACGTACCGTGCAAATGGCTCGACAACGTGGCAGCAGGCTTCGGATGGAGAATGGCGGATCATTTGTCACCAGGAGACATTGGTATAGTGCTCAGCGTGAAGGGTTTCGGGGCAGTTCTCTATTTCTTATATTTTTGAGGTCATGCTTCACGTTATTATAATTGCTTGATACCGACAATGTGAGCGATGTATGTTCTTTCGTGGTTTGATGGCTGGATGAGCTACGAATACAGAGTTCTATAACCGGTCATCATGAGCAGCAGGCGTAAGTATTTCAGAGGGTGAGAGAAAGATGAGACTACCTAGCTAGGAAGGTGTATACAGATAACTCCAGCCAGGTCTGATATTGCAGGAATCTAGCAGTAGAAGTATGATAGACAATTGATCTTTGTCATCGAAATCGCTCGAGATATATGATATATATACATATATATGATGGTGTACTTCCGCCAATATCGACTATTAAGCACACTTATAATTCTTTAATAGCAGAATCAATCATGGCACAGTCTCTGTTCTATTACGTATTGAAGAAATCTGATGTTGGAAGATCAAGATTATGCATTACCTGCGGATTGATGTTATGGCATAGGCAGTGATCAGACCAACATGATGTGATTGTGCGACCATCATTGCATAATACCTGCAGCCATTTCCCACAATTGTACGTAAAATATATCATTGCTCTACTACCCTCAAAATGCTCATCATTGCTCTACTACCCTCAAAATGCTCATCCAAAAAAGCAGAACTGAGAGATATATGAAAAGAATAGCCAAACAAAAATGCAACGACCGGGATCGAACTGGTGACCTTCAGATGCCTTGATTTGATGCCTTGGGCATTAGATCAAAGCTCTATGTTTAGCATACTTCCATCTTGTAGTTAGCGACCGAGGCTTCTGCGGGGCTTTTCTTGCGCTGATCGATGACTCAATCGGTCAACGTTAGCCAATGTCATTGACTCATAAGTTCAAACCGGCAGCTTGGGTAGTGCGATTACAATCACACCGATTATTTGAGACCATTGAGATGAAAGCACTGATTAAACTAACTATGCAGTGGAGCCCTTGTTCGCACATCGAGTGGGGCCCAACCCCAGCAACTCGCTATCATAATACGAACCGGCGCTGCATCCCAGTCACTTGCTAATCCTCAGAATTTTCTGTCATCTCCAGACAATGTCTCTTTCCATTTCTTCTCTTATCTCTCGCATTCACAAGATTCATGATGAATCTCGCCTCCGTCCGTGAGGCCAAATGGGGCCAGGAATGGCGCTCCTCCTCATGGTTCATCGTCACCGCGATGGCCATGGCCCTGTTCACGGGTGGGTTGGGCGTATCCATTGATCATTGCGCTCTGAGTCTAGCTAACGCATCGCAATCAATACCTAGACACATTTCTATATACTTTCCTCGTCCCGATTCTTCCATATGTGGTTGAAGATCGCCTCGGTTTAGACTCCTCGCTGACACAACGCATCAGCTTTGCGTTGCTGTCCGAAAGTGCCGCTGTGGCCGTCGTGCTGAATCCGTTCATTGGACACTATGCTGATAAGTCGGCGTCGAAGCGAGTCTGGTTGCTGTCGGCGCTGGTGGCCGCCCTCCTGGGCTCGGTGTATCTAGCGCTAGCAACGTCGGGTGCGTGATATGTTCATCGAATGCGAGGTATTCGTCGACCGCAGGCTGACCGGAGTGGGGTTCGTAGTCGTCCATATTTTCATCGGCCGATTTATTCAAGCTATCGCCAGCTCGTTCATGTGGGTAGTGGGGTATGCGACGATCGCCGACAGTGTCGACTCGAAGCGTCTGGGTATGATATACGGGATCATCTCGGTGGCGGCGGCTGTAGGCATGTCGGCGGGACCGATGGTCTCGGGTGTGCTGTTTAAAATAGGTGGTTATTGGACGGCTTGGGCTAGTGCATTTGCGATCCTTCTTGTGGATATTGTTTTGCGTTTATTGATGCTGGAGAGTTCGCGGAGGAAGAGAGGTAAGCGATGGACCCGAGATTTTATGTTTCAAGGTCTCATCAGGCTCGTTTGTAGAGAAGCAATCGGATTCTTCCCCTGCGGATGACGGCCCACACGAGGAAAACTCGCCGCTCCTCCATCCAGACAACGACACATCAACCGCCCCTCGCGCCACGGCTGCACCCGAGACAGTTGAAGAGAAGACAGGTCTACAATACTACGTGTACATGTTTCGGCACCGTCGATTCGTCGGCGGGGTCCTGGGGTATTTTGTCTTTGCGATACTGATGTCCAGCTTCGACACGACTCTTCCCCTGCACGTCCGCGATGCGTTCAACTGGGATAGCATGCCCGCGGGACTGATGTTCCTGGCCTTGCAAGGTCCCGGCATTGCGCTCAGTCCGCCTGTTGGCTGGTTGAAGGACCGCGTCGGGACACGGATCCCCACCTCGATTGGCTTTCTGGGTCTGGCCCCTCTGCTGTGGCTGCTAGGGATGCCAGGGGATGACCGTTTCCCATGGGCAAATGAAGGCCAGAGGGGGCAGATTATCTACGCTATGGGCGTGACGGCCGTGGGAATCGTATCGGTTCTACTCAATGGGGTTGGCGTACTTGAAGCTACCGGTAAGTCAGCGTGAAACATCATCAGCAGTGGTGCAACTCCTGATCTTGATAGCGACCGTTGAGGAAATTGAAAATCGGCATCCTGGCATATTCGGACCCCATGGCGGATACTCCAGGGCCATGTCGATTTGCAGCCAGAGCTGGACCATCGGAGCTTTCTTTGGACCAATTCTTTCGGGCTATATGGCGGAGCATATTGGTTACTACGAAATGACCAGTACGATCGGTAAGTCATGACATGGAGTACTCTGTGTGAGCACTGCTGATTGTCTTTAGCGGCAATATGCGCCGCTTCCGCTGTCAGCACTTACTGGAACCTTAGGCCAAAGGCGCATCTAAACCACGGGGGCCTTGAACCGGACCCGCTTCCGTGATTTAAGTCGTAGTCATTCTGTGAGAAAGACAGAGTATCCGTACGCGGAGCAGATAAGTGGATAGATCGCATGGAGCTCCACCGTGGACTTCCTTTGTCGGTGACCTGCAGCATCATAAACGATGGATCAAGTCTGGCTTGTTATTGGGACTGCTCAAAACCAAATAGAAGCATGAATAGACATGATGACTCTGAACCAAGGAACGATACATGACTTGACTTACATTGACTGATAAAGTTGGGGTGGTACAACCTCCGGACTTCCCCAATCTAGTCTATCGAACCTTTGAGAGACAAGAAGGGACAGGAAAGGAGAAGACCATTGGGTCTTAGTCTTAAGGCCTGAGACTAGCATTGTGTCCTCTGAAGACTAAGGTATCTATGGAGTAGAATAGATGAATACCTACCTGGACGCTTCGACTGTTCCGTAGGTGCCTCGGCATCAATCCACGAAATTGAATGACGGGTCATGGACCAACTCGGCGCAGATTTTATTGATCCTTTTTCCTGGTCTTTAGATCGATAGAAACAGGAAAAGTTGCCCCAATCTTGTTTCACGCTACGGAATGTGGACTTAGGGGGTGGGCCGGAACGGCCGGGAGAAGACGCATCGAACTTTTGCCCCGTCAACGGCCACGTTTGGGTGCTGTCAGTGGTCAATATTCCTAGTCTAAGAGGTCTGTTTATGTAGCTAACTCAGTCTGGCAGAATGACAGACGAACTATGTCGTACTAACTATCTCGTACTAAGAGAATCCCGGCAATATCGCATGTGCCTGAAGAAAATTTCGTCAACCCATGGATGCAGAGAAGTGAACTGCACAAAAGCATCAGATGCGGTTATGATGTAAATTTCCCGAGAAGTCTCCATTCCCGGCCGAAAATAAGTTTGGTTTCTATTAGCTTTTAGGTTTTTACCCGTCCCATTGTTTGGTGTACGCTGTATATCTGCGGATGTGACCTGTCCTTGATCACCGACGCACCGACGCTCTACGGAAGCTCCCCCGGTTTCGAGATCGTCTTTAGATTCTAGACTAGCTTTTGCGTGACTTAGACTAGATAGTCTCGAAGTTTTTCAGAGGTCGTTGTGGCAAAGCTGACTGACCTGCTGTGATTTGGTTCTTTGTCCGTGGAGAGAGTGACGCTATTCCGTACTTCCACGCTACACTACTTGATAAAGCTACTCAGTCTCAACGAGGCTAATCATTATTTCTCAACGAAAATCTGATATTCTCTAGTCCGGTTGTCGGATGGCAATCGGGATATGAATCACGGCAGCCCCGCTTAGAGGGTCTCGATTTATCTTTTTTTTTTCCCTTCTAAGTGCTAACGTTTGACTCTTGACAATTCGATCGTACGATACCATAGTCATACTCTCACACCATGCCTCCTCAAAGGATTCTAATCGTTGGGGCCGGAATTGCGGGCATCGCTAGTGCTCTGGCCATCTCAAAGGAGCTGACCCCATACGTTCCAGGCCTGAAGATCACCGTCTTTGAACGCCATGACATCCTCTCCACCTCGGGAGGCGCCATCAACCTCACTCCCGTCGCTCAGCGTCACCTCGACCAGCTTGGAGTGCTCGCAGAACTGGACCGTTTGGGAGTCGAAGGCGGAGCCGACGTTGATGCTATCCAATTCTTTTCCTGCCGGTCGGGAAGATCGCTGGGGTCTATCGACTTTACCGATCATCATGGCCAAGGGTACAGCGGATACAAGGGTCGACGGGTGATGCGGATTATCCTCTCGGTAGCGATGCTAGCAGTCGTCGAGCGCACCCGGAATATCGAGATCGTCTTCGGCAAGAAATTACTCAAGGGCGAAGAGACTGCCGACGAAGCCATCCTGTACTTCCAGGACGGCACGACGGCAGTGGGAGATCTCGTCCTCGGCTGTGATGGCGTGCACTCAGCAACACGGACGCAATGGGTCGCGCCCGAGTCTCCGTCCGAGTACACGGGGATCTCGTTCCTGCAGGGTGTCGTCGACGCAAAGACGCTCAAATCCCGCACCCACTTCCGGTCGACATCCATGAACATCTCCCGGCATGGCACGCTGCTGGCGAGCTACTGCGACCGCGAGCAAGAGCAGATTTTCCTTGCGGCCATTGTGCAGTTCGCCGAGGAGCTGCTCCCGCGGTTCCGCATCGAGGCCGGCCAGGACTGGCGGAAGCAGCATGCCATTCGAAAAGCCCTGCAGGAGGAGATGCAGGATCGATTCGGGAAGTCCGGAATCCCGTGCATCCGTGAGATGATCAATTCCCCGACGGACTGGATGTTGTACCCGGTGTACCAGGTTCGGCCTGGCGGGCGGTGGCATACCCAGCGAGCGATCCTGCTGGGAGATGCAGCACATGCGGTATGTTCTCTCAGGTCAGGGATATGTGCTCAAGCTAATCCTCGTATAGATGCCCCCGCGCGATGAATCAGCCGCATATGCGCTCGATGACGCGATTGTCTTCTCTCGCATTCTGGCTCGATACCGCGATGAACCACTCACGGAGGCATTCAGAGCGTACGAAGACCTCCGACGGGAGACGGTCAACGAAGCGTTCAAGTCCGCTCGGCGGATGTGGGAGAAGCACAAGGACATGGGTCTGTTGGAGGGCCGGCTGCGCGAGTGGACGCTGCCTTTCTATATTCGCAATTCGAAGGAGGCTCGCGAGGCAGCGTGGGAGTTTGACGCGACCAAGATCAGCATTCCCATGCCAATGGAGGAGCAGGAGTCGCTATATTCGTTTGAAAAGGATTATCATTTGTAGCGGGTGGGATTGGGACTGGAGTTCTGTCGACTGGTGTTGCATATACCTTGGATGGGCAATTGGAACGTATTGCATTGCATTGCGGGATTTACATTTGGATATTCTCATCGTCCTATTCGGCTGTTTTGAGTGTTGTGTCTATAGATTGCATATTTCTGGTCTTACGTATACGAGAGCGTTGCAAGAATAATTGTACCATTCGCTTAAGGATCAACCACATCATCGCCAGAGGATAAAAATTTCTGCCAATTTCCACGAGTCAGTCAGGACAGTCAGGATCCGGATTCTGGCTTCACTTGGCAGAGCCCCTGTTTCTTGTTGATCCGTAATCTTACAGGATCCTGCGGCGCTTCCACACTTCTTCTGATATGGACAGCTCTGATGTCGACATCAGCATTGACCGCGGATTCATTTATTGTCGGACATTCTCTCTATATTGCATCAATTCCAATTCCACCTGTCGCGTAGATTCCCTCGCGTTGATCATCACGATGGTCATGGGACGCAACTCTGCGGATCAACAACCTCGGACGACGATCTCGTCACGATCAGATTCGTCAAGGCCTCATTGTCCGGGGATGTCGGAGAGGTCTGAAAGCAATTGATGGAAATATTGTTGCTCTGATGAAAATTTCTCAACAGCGTCGACTTTCATCATGCACGCCCCCTATCACGAAATGCCAATACGGCAGCTGAAACCCCGGCTTTCTTGGCAATGAACTGCCCGGACAAGCTTTGAAACACCACTCCGTCATTTGTGGATATTCTACGTAGACACTCGGGGACTTGCTGTTGCCGGTCAATGCTGGATACCTCCATCATGTGCGCTGGCATCGAGCGTCATTCCGTCGCTGTCCGGACGCTTCTACCCCGCTGAATCCCCAGCCTTGGCTTCTGCATCGACGATGATCAGACCCTGTGGGAGCTTATTCAAGGTATATGCCGGCCGCCGATGGACTTGGCGGCTGTGCTTGACAGGGATAAACACAATGCGATGCGTCTCAGCGGACGGAAATTATCTTGTGCAATATATCATCATCATGGCCGAATCTGGAGTCGTGTGACGCTGATCGCTGGGGAGTCCGTCCACCTATGGAGACGGTTCTTCCATTACAGTGGTTCTGGATAGGTGCCGTGGCCAAGAATGGTCGCCAAGAGGACGGGTGTCTGGCCTGGTGTTCCAGTTTGAGCAGTGTGTCTGAGATATACGCGTGCACTGCCCGATTAGGAAATATATGGGGGGCATTCCCCGAATAGGCAGTACAGGGGCTCCTAGGGTATATAAAGCTCTCTGATGCCGCCTGCGATGAGGGTTTGTTTCAGTAGGCTCAACAGGCTTGGTCTTGATTCTTATCCGCTCTCTTCACTTACTTTCCTTCACTTTATTCTCTTCGCTCCTCAAGTCTGGTACTTGCTTTTCTTTCAACTTAACAATCATGAAGCTCCTTGCTACTCTCGTCGCCTGTGGTCTGTCTGGACTGGCCCTGGCTGCTCCTACAGCTACTATTGATTCACTGCAGAAGCGTGGCCCCAACGATGTATGTCTTCTACTGAGATCCGTTAGAAGAGGCTAAAAGCTGACGTGACAGGCTGCCTTTGGTTACGCCAGCTTGAACGGAGGCACCACCGGCGGTGCCGGCGGTACTACGACCACCGTCTCCTCCTACGCAGCCTTCACTGCTGCCGTCTCCAGCGACGCTAAGAAGGTGGTCTATGTCAGCGGCCCCATCAACCAGAGCGCCAAGCAGGTCAAGGTTGGCAGCAACACCAGCATCATCGGCAAGGACTCCAGTGCTGTGCTCGAGGGATTCGGCCTGTACGTACAACCTTTGCACTATAGGGACATGCATGACTAACGAAGAGCAGGCTGGTCAAGGAGAAGTCCAACGTGATCATCCGCAACCTGGGAGTCAAGAAGGTTCTGGCTGAGAATGGAGATGCCATTGGCGTTCGTATGTCTCCCTTCTTTTGACAATGTACTCGACTAATTAATGACAGAATACTCCAACAATGTCTGGATTGACCACGTCGATGTCTCTTCTGACCGTGACCACGACAAGGACTACTACGATGGTCTGATTGATGTACGTGCTGGTCAATCAGAAATGAAATGACGATACTGACAAATGCAGCTCACCCACGCCGCCGACTACGTGACCATCTCCAACAGCTACATCCACGACCACTGGAAGGCGTCCCTGGTCGGCCACTCCGACAACAACGGCGGCGAGGACAAGGGCCACCTGCGCGTTACCTACGCCAACAACTACTGGAGCAACATCAACTCCCGTGCTCCCTCCCTCCGCTTCGGCACCGGCCACGTCTACAACAGCTACTTCGAGAACGTCAGCGACGGCATCAACACCCGCGACGGCGCCCAGGTCCTCGTCGAGTCCAACCAGTTCGTCGGCTCCAGCAAGGCCCTCTACTCCACTGACGACGGCTACGCCGTTGAGAAGGACAATGACTTTGGCGGCGCCAAGAACACTGCCCTGAAGGGTACCCTGACCACGGTTCCCTACTCTTACTCTCTGGTTGGATCCAGCAAGGTCAAGTCGGCCGTTGTTGGAACGGCTGGTCAGACTCTGAAGTTTTAGTTCTGCCGAGATGGAATAGCTGAGATGGGTGTGAATAATGGTATGGCTTGCTGCTTGTACATAGTTGATACTTCTTTCACTCCTTCGTCTGCCAATTTTACATACTAGCTTGATTTTTACATTTCTGTTCTATGGACACTATAAGGACAACATCTTCATCGTGGGTAATTCAGCCTAGCCTGCCCAGCCCGTCGCGGGTCCCATCTACCCCTGTCAGTTCTCCGGCTATTCACTAGATACTATAGGAAACGAAACATACCCCTGACAACACGGAATCCTTCCAGCCACACCCCACATCGGTCCCGTCGGTGATATCATGCAACACCTTGTGCACATACAACACGGAGCAGACGACAACCATTCCCATGCAGCTGACGGCCTCGACGGACGGAGCGAAGGTGTCGTACACCTTGCCTCCCGTGCAGTATTGGCCATACGTGCGAGAGCCGGGTGGAAATGGATCTCGTGTAATTGCAGTCTTACATTGCTCTACGGCCAGCTTTCGTTATCCTAGATTTATCTATCAACAGGCTTTCCTTTTTCCCAATCTAAAGGATGAAAGGACTGTCTCAACTCTTTCGGATTGTCGCTCAAGCTGTCCCCTATGGCCTACAAGATTAGCAACGCTCTTCTCAACTAGCTACCAGGCAGGAAGAAGTCATCTGCAATTGATATGTTTGCATCATCAGTGTCATTGCTCCTTCTAAGGCGCACTGACGGATTCTCGATGTCGCTGAATCCTCGAGGCGGAGGAGAACCCGCCGAAGCTCGTAGATGCGCATTCGAGTCTATTGAAATGACAAAACTCGAGCTGAATGCCTGATCGAGACGATGGAAGCAGTAGGTATTTCCGCTATATCTGATTCGCCATAAATCATGCCTTCTGGGCTGCTAATTCCGCCATCAGATCAGCTCCACCGCGGGAATCTTTCCGACCCCGCTTTGTCTCGCTTTTCTTCCCCTCATCATCATTTAAGTCTCTCTCTACAGTCGTACCTCGTTCATACAACTACACAATGGCTGACTTCTCCTCAATCCCCATCATTGACTTTGGTCGACTCCAAGATCCCTCCACTAAAGAAGAAACCTTGGTCCAGCTGCGGGAAGCCATTTTCCTCGTGGGATTCCTGTACCTCACCAACCATGGCATGGAGGTATACAACTGCACCTCATGATATGTTACTGTATTGACTAAATCAGGAAATTATCAAAAAAGCACATGCTACCCTTCCCGACCTCTTCGCGTTGCCCGCCGAGGTCAAAGAAAAATGCAACATGATCAATTCTCCCTCGTTCGTGGGATATACCCGGCTGGGCGCGGAGACGACGGCCAAGCAAACCGACTGGCGCGAGCAATTCGACTTCGGGACTCCCGGCATGAAGCAGTGGTCGCCAAATGATCCGATTTGGCAGAGGCTAGAGGGAGACAGCCAGGTATGCGTCACCTCTTGAAGCTAGTAGATAACTGACAACGTAGTACCCCGATTACCCCGGTGCCCGAGAACTGGTAGAGGAGTACATCGCCGAGTCGGCCAAGCTGTCCAAGATATTCATGCGCCATGTGGCCGAATGTCTGTCGCTACCACCGACCACCTTTGAAGCGTTCAGGGGGAGTATGGACCGGCTCAAGTTCATCAAGTACCCGCAGTCCCCGCCGGGGTCGCAGGGTGTCGGCCCGCACAAGGACTCGAGCGGGCTGTTTACGTTTCTGTCGCAGGATGATACAGGCGGATTGCAGGTACTAAATAAGAAAGGCGAATGGATTGATGCACCGCCTATTGAGGGGAGTCTGGTGGTGAATATCCAGCAGGGATTTGAAGCTATTACGGGGGGTGTCTGTACGGCCACCACGCATCGGGTTATTGTATGTTGTATTTCTTCTTGTTCGATGTCAGCAGCTAACATTGAATAGGCACCCACGTCAAAAACAAGATATAGCATCCCCTTCTTCCTGGCGGTGCGGATGGACCTCACCCTAGCCCAGCTGAAAGAGTCGGCAGCGCATATTGTGCAGCGGATCCCGGCATCGGATGATCGCAAGAAGAGGGCAGTGGATGTGCCGAGCGAGTTTCTGTCGCCGTTGTACTCTTGTGTAAGTCTCTTGCTACTTGTTCACTTCGTGGTCTGACTGGTCTAGTTCGGGGAGGCGTATATGCGGAATCGCATTCTGAGCCATCCGGATGTAGGCCAGAAATGGTATCCGGAGTTGTATGAAAAGTATTCCAAGCAGGTATTGACATAGAGGGCCAAGGCCGGCCAATATATTACTATCCTCTGCTATTATCCTCCGCTATCCAGTAGGACTAGGACGAACGGCGATTATTTCTGGATTGGGCTGATTGCGCCCCCATTCCGCACGAACGAATCAGGCAGGATTCAGCAGGTTACGCGAAGGCCTTGCGGGATCAGCATCCAAAGAAGAGACCAGACTGGCCAGTAGACATGGGTTGGCGCTTTAGTATCAGCAGCTAGTGCGCTAGTCGTACAGCTAAGCATGGATGATGGCCGTAGCTGACATCTTCAGCCCGCTAAGCGGGTCTGTGCCCGAGTCTCATATAAGATAAATCTTACACATCCCATCCCATTTCTCCTGTCATCCTACGATATCCATAAGAGTCCATCAATATGGCCAAACCCGCTGCCCTCGGGCTACTACTATGGGCAATCCCCGCGTTGGCCGTCATCGCGACCGTGAATTCCCCCTGTCTGTCCATTTGCGGAGGCACCCAGAAGACAGTCGACGACGAGCTGATCTGCAACGATGGCGATTACAATTCGACGGTGAAGGGTCTGACGATGAAGAACTGTCTCCTTTGCGAAAGTACCAGTACTACCTACTCCAACCAGTTCGACAGTGACCTCTACTGGTTCATCTGTAGGCTATCCCTTGAATCACATCCACATACCTCACAGCGGCACGTACTAATGATATGGCGTAGTCAACCAGAAATACACCATCCAAGTCTGCGTCTATGAGAATTCCGCCTCGGCTTCGCTTTCCCCCTGCGAGTCGCAATGTCTCCCCCTGAAACCCGTCTTCGAGACCCTCTGGTGGAGCCACAACGTCTCGCTGTACGACTACTGCACGCAGAACAGCAATGCCTTTCCCACGTACGCGAGTGGCTGCTCCGAGTGCTTGAGGGGCAAGGCTGGCTCCAAGGTCCTGGGCAATTTCATGGATAATATGGCGTCGGCGTGCAAGACGCAGCCGAACGCCACCAAGGAGGAGACGGTGACTCTGGCCCGGCCGTTGTTTGACTTGAGTGTTGCGTCGAATTCGACTGCGACGAGTACGGCTGCCACTACAGCGACGGGGACGGGTACGCCTACATCGTCGCCGATTTCTACATCATCGTCGTCAGGTCTATCGGCGGGTGCAGCAGCGGGAATCGGGGTCGGCGCTGGAGCTGGCGTGATCCTCGTCGGGGCGTTGGTCTGGGTTCTGTTCCGACGACGTCGTCGCGCTGCACAGCAATCGCAGATGTATCCTCCTGCTGCTCCAGGAGGTCACGAGTATGCCCAACCGATGCAGCAAGAAGCGCCGCATGCGCCTGGATATCCGGTAGAGAGGAATTCTTCGAGGCTGGTGGAGGCGCCCGACACAAATGAGCAAAAGCCAGGAGGAACATGGGCGGCAGAATTACCGTCGAACCCTTCATAGATTGCCGAGTAGTAGATGTAAGAATATCGATTGAATCATTAACTTTGTGAATGTTGGTAATTCTGACTGCGCCATCCCATCTCGTGTTGCTTACTGATTGTTCTGGGCATCAGCCATGACGATGCGGGGTATTTGATGATCTTCATCCTGCATCCTTCAGCTTCATCCTCACCAACCTCTATCACAGTCAACATGATCCCCGAATCTGCTATTACTGCTCTCAAAAATCAGCTCAGGTCGGCCAAGGTCTACACTCCCGACTCAGAAGGCTATCACAATACGCTCCAACGATGGTCCGACACCGGCTCTAAACCAGCGGTATGCCTCGCCCCTTACGTCCACACAAGGATCATTCTGACGGTTGACAACAGGGAATTGTGGCCATGCCGACTGATGCCGAGGATGTCCGCGCCGCTCTCCTCTGGGCTCAAGAGCATCATATCGACCTCGCCGTCAAAGGTGGAGGCCACTCGGTCGCTGGCACCAGCTCCTCCGACGGTGGCCTGGTCATAGACCTGTCCCTCATGAAATCCGTCTCCGTGGACCCAGCTGCCAAAACTGTTACGGTCGGCGGGGGCGCCACCTGGAAGGAAGTCGACGAGGCCGCTGCCGAGCACGGGTTGGCCGCCGTGGGAGGCACCGTCAACCATACAGGCGTTGGCGGCCTTACCCTGGGCGGCGGATATGGCTGGCTGAGTGGCCAGTACGGTCTCACCATCGACAATCTCCTGTCTGCAACGGTCGTCCTGGCCAACGGACAGATCGTGACAGCATCCGCGACCGAAAACGCCGACCTCTTCTGGGGCCTCCGCGGGGCCGGATACAACTTCGGCGTCGTGACCAGCTTCACCTACCAGGCCCACGAGCAGCCCAACCCCGTCTACACGGGTCTGCTGGCCTTTCCCCCGGATAAAGTCGAACAGGTCATCGAGCAGCTCAACCACACCCTCGAGAACCCGGACCCCCGCAGCGGCGCGATCTGCATCTTCGCCCAACCCCCCGGCGCCCCCGTCCCCATGGCCAACGTGATTGTCTTCTACAACGGCACCCAGGAGCAAGGCGAGACGCGCTTCGCGGGTCTGTTGGCACTCGACCCCGTCGTCAACACCACAGCCATGATCCCCTACTCGCAGCTCAACACCCTGCAGAACCCAATGGCCACCTACGGCGGCCGTAAATCCTTCAAGGGCGTCTTCTTCCACCCGCCGCTGGCTCCGTCGTTCGCCCGCAGTATGCTGGCCGACTTCACGGCCCGGCTGCAGGCGGAGCCCGACCTCGCTGCCTCGGCGCTCCTGCTCGAGTTCTACGATATGCGCGCCATCTGTGCGGTGCCGCGCGACGCGACGGCCTTTGCGAGCCGCAGTAGCACACAGAACGGGCTCATTAATCTGCGGTGGACGGATGCGAGCAAGGACGGGGAGCACCGGGCTTGGGCGCGCGAGCGGCAGGCGCGGTGGAAGGCCGAGTTGGACGCCAGGGTGCAGGAGGGCGTCCCGCAGTATATCAACTATGCCGAGCGTAAGTCTTCTTCACACTTTACAAACGGGCGTCTGCTAATGATGGTAGCGGGTGACTCGGTGGTGAACAACATCTACGGCGAGAATCTGGGGAGACTGCAGGAGCTGAAGGCCAAGTATGATCCCAACAATGTGTTTCACAAGATGCATCCGATCAGTCTATAGACTAGTATTTGTAAATAGGAGCATGCACTACATAATCATATACTTGACCGTCTTGACAGAAGTCCACCCCTCCAGCGCCTCCTCGCCCATATCCCTGCCGAATCCGCTCTCCTTGACGCCACCAAACGGCGCGTTCGCGCTGAGCATCGCCCACGCGTTGACCGTCACCTGGCCCGACTCCAGCGCTCTGCTCACCCGGTGCGCGCGGTTCAAGTTGTTGGTGAAAATCGCCGCGCTGAGGCCGTGCAGGGTATCGTTCGCCTTGCGGATGACTTCCTCTTCAGACGAGAACTTGGCGATACTCTAGGATTCCATTAGCGTTAGCACAGCTCCCCTTTGTAGTAGGTAAGGGTAGGTGCTTACCGCCACCGGCCCGAAAATCTCCTCCTTCATAATGGCCGCATCCTCAGCCACATCCGCAAACGCGGTATTCTCCACAAAATACCCTTTCTCGCCGACCTTCTCCCCTCCAAACAGCAGCTTCGCCCCGGCCTCCTTGCCCTGCGCAATATACCCCAGGATCCTCTGATGCTGCGCCCCATTGACAATCGGCCCCTTGGTCGTCGCGGGGTCCAGCGGATCACCAGCGACACCGGGGTTCTCTTTTGATGCACGCACATACGCCTCGAGGAACTTGTCGTAGATCGTATCCTGGACGTAGATGCGCGACCCGGCCGCGCAAATTTGCCCGTTATTCGCGGTAATCCCGATCCGCGTCCAGAGGAGCGCGTTGTCCAGATCGCAGTCGTCGAACACGATGGAGGGCCCCTTGCCGCCTAGCTCGAGCGAGACCTTTTTCAGGTTCGTCTTGGCTGCTGCGGAGAGGATCTTGCGGCCCGTAGCGCTGGAGCCCGTGAAGGAGACCTTGCGGATGGTGGGGTGCTCGGCTAGGCTCTGGCCTGCGGGTGAGCCCAGGCCAGCGAGGATGTTGACTACGCCGGCGGGGAAGCCGGCTTCGATGATGAGTTGGGCGAGCTTCTGTCCGTAGAGAGGGGAGTTTTCGGAGGTTTTGATGATGAGGGAGTTGCCGGTTGCTAGTGCCGGGGCGAGCTTCCAGATTGTGATCATCCTGTCGCCATCAGCTACTGTTCCGTGTGCCTGGAATAGAGGGTAGGGGCATACAATGGGGCATTCCACGGGACAATGGCCGCGCAGACACCCAGCGGCTCGCGGAAAGTGTACCCCACGCCGCCTGGAATCTCAAGTGTCTTCCCGTCGATCTTGTCGGCCCAGCCGGCGTAGTACCGCAGGTTTGCAACTGCCTGGGGGATGTTCATCCCCATGCTATCGGTGTAGAGGATCCCTGCATCGACAGCCTCGAGACTGGCGAACTCCTCGGCATCACGCTCGATCAGGTCGGCAAGCTTGAGGAGGAGTCGGCCGCGCTCCGGGCCGGGGGTGGTCCTCCAGGTCTGGAAGCCGGTGGTGGCTGAGGTTACGGCGCGATCGACATCGGCGGCGGTGGCGGCGGAGATGGTGCCGAGGGTGTTTCCTGTTGTTGGGTTCTCGACGGTGAGGGTCTCGTTGGAGGAGGAGGGGGTGAATTCGTTGTGGATGAAGAGGCCGGTGGGGACTGTTCTTGTTAGTGCGTCTCCTCTGCTATGGAGGGGTATAGGTACCGGTAATTTGGCGGCCAGCGGCGCCGGTAACAGTGATAGTGGACATTGTTCAGTAGTCTTCTCAATGAATCTAGAGAATGGAGAATGCTATGAGGGGCTGCTATGAGGGACGGCATGTTTATATGCTCCCCTGCTACTCGGACCGTTCCAGACGGCCATGGGTATTCCGAACCAATTCCGAGTGGCAGCGGGAAGGGATCAACAACCGTTGTCACAGTTCTCCCCTAAAGGGCACTAACTACCGTCGATCAGGAAGGTGGGGGGCGAATCCCAATGTAGTAGGGTTATTTTAAAGCGAATGCTTGTTATCGCAAGCAATCAGAATCATCATTTGAATCAGCGGTCTGCGAACGGGCTTGGCAATCCGTTTCTCCTCGTGTCGGCAGGTTGACAGGGGCTCTGCATCTAACCCAGAATGTATATAGAAGAGAATATGGGCTAACATGAATAGGGGAGTTTGAAGAGAGGTTATGGATGGCAGAACTTAACATGTTCTAGTCTGAGACATTCTACACTGTTTTAATGTGCAGGCAGGCACCCCGCAGTATCTACATATATGGCTTCACAACCGTAATGCCCTTTTCAGCGAGTGAATTCCTACAACACAACCTATTGACATACATCTGATCATGTAGGCTGCTGAGCCTCTATTTTCATGCACTCTTATCCAACGATTTGCTGTGCCGCAGCTTGAGTAGTAGTCGCCTGATGCACAGTTACAGCCTTGTGTATACAGCCTCGTTTGTAGGAATATATATTCAATCAAGAATTCCAGTTACTATGGCAGAGCAACTACGACTTATCACAACTAATCTTACACTATCAAAGTTTCTTTCTGTAGCAATATGCAATCCATCCCATTCAACCCTAACTTCTTCCTCCAGGTCAATATGAGCCACTTTGCCAAAGACTGTCCGCCAAGGTACCTCTTTCGGGTCCACGCTCCCCTCTCAGCAGGACAGAGCAGCGCATACGCTGTCCGATCCCCGGCAGCATTGTACGACCTTGATGAGCAACTGAATGATCTATTTGCCATGGCACCCTTCGAAGCAGCAGACTCGCTTCTATATCACCTTGAATGGAAGTGTGATGCCGGTTGCAATCTGATGAGCTGGACTACCTCTCTGCTCGTTGCACTGCAGTACGGCCTTCATCGCCATCGAACGGATAAAGATAATCCTGAGTTCGAGGATATCTTTTTACTCATGATCGATACACGCGACTTCCCAGAACGGACCTTTATCAAGGATTTGGAGGCCGTCAACGCTTTGAATACTCTTGAGATGCAGCGGATGAGACACTGGGATGATTACCTGGATCTCCGGGACACTGGTTATTTCGGAGAGTATCTCTCCCAAGGGGCTTTGAGAATCCACGGACGATGTGTGGAGGTCAGCTTCCAGACGCTGATTAACCTTGGTCTCTTTGAGCTCTTCCCTCCACTTGCTGTTGAGGCTGAATGGGAGAAGTGGGCGAGGAGGGTAACTGACCTTCGCCAGCCATTTTACAAAGGAGAGACTTCGAGTTCTACCGCGAATGAAGTGCGGACGGCTGTTCGGATTGCGAGAGATAGCTTTGGAGGCCGCTGGACGTTTCCTGTTGCTGCTATGTTGCTTGCATTCAGGCCTCGTGCGGTCAATGACCTGGTCATTCTTGAGGGATTCAAAGCAGAGTTTTCAAGTAAGGTGACCCTAGTATGTCTGGGAGATACTAATGAGAACAGAGGATGAAATACAAGAGTTGTCGTTGCATGATATCCAGATTGATTGTCATGTACTGCCTGATGATCGTGCTGGCCTGCCTGAGCTCGTTCAGTTTAAGAAGCTCGTCAATGACGTTCATCGCCATTTTATCGGGATGGATATCAACTCGGAGTTTTGGACAGTACGGTGGCAAAATGCAGATTCCTTCCATTAATGTCCTTGCTAGCTTTCCCTGCCTGGTCTTGCGCAGAGTATAGACAATTGTCTACTAGGATAATATGAACAAGCATGTCCGTCCATAAGATCAACCTACTGCTACATGCGATCTAGTATTCCCGCAGACATGCTGTTATCATAGCTCATATGGCCTATGTAAATCATCCAGTACCTAAGCCCAAATGAAGGGGAAAATCATCTCCACGTATCAGAAACCGTCACGGTCGTTCCCGCACACCCAGTTGGCACCGTATATGACCGGTTCGGATCACTTTCCCACACGATACTCCCAACCGACTCCTTCTTGAAGAACTTGTACTGGAAGGAAGTGCCAACGGGCAAGGTCACCGTGGCATACCATTCAGGGTTCGACGAGGTGTATTTACTCGACGAGAGGGCGATCGCAGAACCCGTGTCCCAGTTGCCGAGTTGGCTGATTGAGCCGGTCAGGTAGATGGACTCGCCGTAGGTAGTTGTGACGAGTTCCTCGAAGAGGATTGGGAGGGCTGTGCCGGATGTGCACGCTATCGTTGTGGTCGCTGTCGTGGTCTTGGTGGTACTGGTGGTGGTTGTCGTGGTGGTGGAGACGGAGTCACCACAAAGACCACTTCCACTGAGCCATGACGAGGGCACGAGAACTCGGGGCAAACCGGATGCCATTGGCACGGCGATGTTCCCGCTCGAGTCCACTGTGAGAGTGGTGCACGTGTACATCTCGACGAGGGTGGCGCCAGCAGAGTATCCCGTGCCGCTGAGGGAGAGGGTGTACGAACTGCCCGAAGATCCCTTGTTGCTGAGGACGGTGATGACTTGAGAACCAGCGACTGAACCCTTGCGCATAGCGAGAGTGTTGGAATCGTAGTAGAATGGATTATTCTAGCGATATTAGCGTCGAATGCAAAGGCGCGATGAGAAATACCTTGGCGGTTATGTAGCCTGAGTCTTTGGAGATCGCCAGCTTGCGGATCTTGTTGGTAGAGGCGATCCAGCTGTACAGCGTGGCGCTGGTCGAGTATCCAGACAGCCAGATAGCCTCGCGGTTGGCCGGGTCTGCGCCACCGCTGTAGTGCTGCTCTTGTCCTGCGTAGACAATGGGGATCCCGTCGGAGAAGAACATGAAGGAGATGACATTCTTGGCTTGCGAATAGTCGCTCGTATACCTAGGGAGGTTAGTTGCATTCAGGGAAAGGAGCCAAGGTCTTACGAGGCAAATCGGGGGTTATCATGGTTCTCGATAAAGTTGCCCAGCAAGGTGGGATCCGCGCAGTCAGACGCAACAGAGCTGATCATGTTGTACAGATTGCTCATGCTGCCGCTGGTGGATTCAAACGCGTAGAGAAGCTGGTAGTATCTGCTCTAGTCAGTATCTAAACCGCACCGAGATCATAATGCGCACATTGGATAGTTGAGTACAGCATCCAGGTAATTCTGGTAGGGACAGGTATACGAGGGATCACCCGAAAAGACCTCGCCGACACAATAGACGCCAGCAGCGTCATTGTAGCCGGGCCAGAAGTCTTTCTCGACGTGTTTCACAGTATCGATACGCAGACCGTCGACTGTCTCTGTCAGTATCATCCATGCTCAGGGGCGGCTTACTGACTGGAGTAGTTGGCAACCAATCCCTTCACCCAATCGTACCATATGGTTCGCACTGCCGTTTTAGTCGTGTCAAGATCGGGCAGTGAGACCGTAGTATCTCCCAGCCAGCAGTCCTCTACATTAGTCTGGTTGCTGTAGTCAGATATGAGACAGTATGGGTGAAAGTAGCTCAAGGAGCCAAATGGAGTGAAGACACTGTAGTCTACCGAGTTTCCCGCTCCGTCGTAGCCCTAACCGGTCAGATTGTAATATACAAGAGGAATCTGGCTTACCATATGGTTCGCGACCACATCGACCATCAAGTACATCCCACGCGCGTGCAGAGCGTCGGCCAGATTTCTAAGATCCTGAGCCGTTCCATAGTTGGAATTGACCTCGTAGCTTCCTGGGTTAGTACGAACATGTAACCCAGAGAAAGCACTCACATGTTCTGCTGCCAGTACCCATGGTACGAAGTACCATCGCCGGTGTTCTCATAGAACTGCTCAGTTACCGGGGTGATCCAAATGGCAGTGAATCCCATTCCTTGGATGTAGTCGAGCTGACATCGTTAGTTTTGACTAGCAGAACATCGGAGACCATACATGATTGATGATCCCCTGCCAACTACCACCGCAATATAGCTGCGAACGTTAGCATGTACTTGAACAAGCTCGATAGGGCACAAACTCTTTGCGTGACATCGCAGGCAGCGGTTGTGGAATTGTCTTCCCGGCCAAACCGATCGGTCAGGAGGAAATAGATTGACTGACTGCGCCATTCGGCTGGGGTCAGGGCATGGGCAGCCTGTCCGAGCAGGGACAGAGATAGCGGGAGGAGTGACGAGGTCCACTTCATCCTGGCAATGTGCGTCTGCAGCGTGATATCGTATCATACGAAAGATTTCTCAACAGCAGTTACAGACTTATATATCCGCGCTACAGCTAGTAGGCAACGACAATTCCTTCCTAATACGCTACGGATGTCCAGTCCTGCGCATTCACCAGCGACGATCATTCCAGCGCCTGGTCTGACTGATGATATCTTCATCGCCGTGACTGCCGTCGGACGTGATGACGCGTGTTTCGACTCTCGCGCCGATTGAGTTTGGCAATGCCGCTTCTAAAGCCCTACGTTCACGGCAATAGGTTGGTGAGCCCGGCTCTAGGGAGGCAAATATAAGCCGGATCACACGGAATTCCACTAGTTAGCTCGGCAGTTGTGCAGAAGAAACGCACGTAATCTCTCTGAAGTCTGCATACCACTTGTTAGTGTAGAATCAAAGGGCTGATTCGTGGAATCAGCAGAGGAATTGTCGGCGAGCTGATCCCCACACCCGGCTAAGCGTGTGCTAAAGGGGTAGAAAGAGCTAGTGGGCAGTCTCTCCACATTCTGATGGAGGGATACTAGGTCAAACACGGCCTCGTACATGTAGATTTAAGCGACCGGCTGACAGTCTGCTCGTGGTTAGTTGTGGTGATGTAGAAGCCCTAACTCTAATTTCTTCGGATAATAGAACCGTCAGAGGATTCACTTACCACCAGATTAGACAACCTACAGGTGAAAGAATGTCAGACAGAAACCGACACGGAGCTGAGATCCGAGATTTGAGTGTCCATGCCCAACCAAGCAGGGGGCGGCGCAATTGCGGGGAATCTTAATATCGACGGTTTCTTGGGTTTCTTCAGGCTTGATCCGAATTGGCAACAAGTCCGGCGCTATAGTGAATCCTCTGAATGTCTCATGGTCTCGCCAACTTTGAGCAGCGCTTGTCCGTGAACCGACTTGTCCGATCGATTGACACTTCTGCAGTCTGCATATTGCCGAAATTTCCCCACAAGCCAAGTTGAGGTGAATACGGGCTGATGAGAGATCGGAGGCCCGTCTAAAGGCGGATGATAGGGATGGGATGAGCCATTTCACCCGGCCCCGTTAGCTTCGGATAGAAGAACCAGTCGGAGCAGCGGAATACTATCTAAATCTCCGTGAAGGAGTTGCCTGGTGCTGCTATCCTATTGCGATTCCACCTCCAATGTCTCCCCCAGGATATCAGACCTATCGAGATCGACGGAAATCTCCGTCTCGACATGGGATCAAACGCACTATCACATGCGGAATCCATGTCCTCCCGTTGCAGATGGACCCCGTGGGGAACCTGGCTCTCTTTGCATGCCATCTGGAGGCGTTGGCATACTCTTGGGGATTCGCATATGCAGAAATTGTGAATGAATGAGATCATGGGTTCATTTCTCAGTCCAATCAGATTGTTAGAATGCTAAGAAAACAGCCGAGCAGAAGATACAAGAAATCCACTCGCCGGAAATACATTCAAGACACACGACAAGACATGCAGAGTCAAAATCTATAAGAAGAGGGATCATACCCCGGAGTTGCCCCTTGCGTCAGGATTCAGAGCGATCAGTCTCATCTCGCCCCCTTTACCCTCATCTATCTCACCTTTCCCTGGCGAATCCGTCTGTCACCAGCCATGCCTCGCCTTTCCTACGCGCTCTGTGCGCTGGCTCTCGGCCATGCTGCCATTGCGGCTCCTCAGTTGTCCCCTCGTGCTACTGGCAGCTTGGATACCTGGTTGGCTACTGAAACTACGGTTTCGCTGAATGGTATTCTCGCCAACATCGGCGCCGACGGTGCTTATGCGAAGAGCGCAAAGCCTGGCGTGATTGTTGCCAGTCCCAGCACCAGCAACCCAGACTGTGAGAACCTTCTGAACTGGCCCTGTCGGACAATCATTGACATATCTAGACTACTATACCTGGACGAGAGATGCTGCTCTTGTCACGAAAGTCCTTGTCGATCTCTTCCGCAACGGCAACCTGGGTCTGCAGAAAGTTATTACTGAATATGTCAACTCTCAGGCCTACTTACAGACCGTCTCTAACCCGTCTGGCGGTCTTTCGAGCGGAGGTCTCGCGGAGCCCAAGTACAACGTCGATATGACCGCCTTTACCGGAGGCTGGGGCCGTCCTCAACGGGATGGTCCGGCTCTGCGTGCCACGGCGCTCATCGACTTTGGCAACTGGCTGATTGTATGTCCACAGTATATGAGAGAGGACAAAGTTCGCTGACATTCACAGGACAACGGTTACTCCAGCTATGCTGTCAACAACATCTGGCCCATTGTGCGCAACGACTTGTCCTATGTGTCTCAGTACTGGAGCCAGAGCGGCTTTGGTGAGTCCCGCCTCTATGCTAGAAATCTTCATGCTTCTGACTTTCATTCTGCTTGACAGATCTCTGGGAAGAGGTGAACTCCATGTCCTTTTTCACCGTCGCTGTCCAGCACCGTGCCCTCGTTGAGGGAAGCACATTTGCTAAAAAGGTGGGAGCCTCCTGCTCGTGGTGTGACTCGCAGGCCCCGCAGATCCTCTGCTACATGCAGAGCTTCTGGACGGGCTCGTATATCAATGCCAACACTGGCGGCGGCCGTTCCGGCAAGGACGCCAACACCGTTCTCGCCAGCATCCATACCTTCGACCCCGAAGCCGGCTGCGACGATACTACTTTCCAACCCTGCTCTCCTCGGGCCCTTGCCAATCACAAGGTGTACACCGACTCGTTCCGCTCGGTCTACGCGATCAATTCCGGCATCGCACAGGGTGTCGCCGTTTCCGCTGGCCGCTATCCCGAGGATGTCTACTACAACGGCAACCCCTGGTTCCTCACCACGCTCGCCGCTGCCGAGCAGCTCTACGACGCTATCTACCAGTGGAAGAAGCTCGGTTCCATCACCATCACGAGCACCTCTCTCGCCTTCTTCAAGGACATCTACAGCTCCGCCGCCGTCGGCACCTACGCCTCCAGCAGCTCCACCTTCACGGCCCTCATCAACGCCGTCAAGACCTACGCAGACGGCTACGTGAGCATCGTCGAGGCCCACGCCATGACCAACGGCTCCCTCGCCGAGCAATTCGACAAGTCCTCCGGGACCTCCTTATCCGCCCGCGACCTGACCTGGTCATACGCCGCCCTCCTAACCGCCAACATGCGGCGCAACGGCGTGGTGCCTGCCCCCTGGGGCGCTGCCTCCGCCAACTCCGTCCCCTCGTCTTGCTCCATGGGCTCTGCCACGGGCACCTACAGCACCGCGACGGCCACCTCATGGCCCAGCACGCTGACCAGTGGCTCGCCGGGCAGCTCCACTACCACTGCTGGCTCCGACACCACCACCACCAGTAGCAGCACCACGACGACGAGCGCCTGCACAACCCCTACCTCCGTGGCTGTTACCTTCGACGAGATAGCCACAACTACCTACGGCGAGAACGTCTACATCGTCGGCTCCATCTCGCAGCTCGGGAACTGGGATACCAGCAAAGCAGTATCCCTGAGTGCGTCCAAGTATACCTCCACCAACAACCTCTGGTACGTGACGATCAACCTGCCGGCTGGCTCGACGTTCCAGTACAAGTACATCCGTAAGGAAAGCGATGGCTCGATCGTGTGGGAGAGTGACCCCAACCGCTCGTATACGGTGCCGTCAGCTTGTGGGGTGTCGACGGCGACTGAGAATGATACTTGGCGGTGATCTGTCATAGCTATAGGTAGTATATATGACTGGGGGTTCGCCTCGTTAGAATCAAGACTATGTCGTTCCGAAAATAATACTATGCTTGATATTTGACCAGTAACATGTGAACTAAAAATATCACGGCGGTCCGTAGTTCTGTTTCAAATCAGCATACAAATGTGACACGACACATCCCAGTCTGACCTGCATGACCCCTGAGGTCTCGGCCGTCAATCAAGTTCGAGTCCATGACGAGTCAGATTATATTCCAGACTATATTCCGCCGAGCATGCAGATCCCTGTGCGTCATGGCACATATCTTTCCGGGGAATGTCCCATCCCTGGCATGTGTACATGGTGCATTCCGACCCCTTTTTGCGCAGTGATACATCATCTGCACTCCAAGCTGTAGACTTAAAGACGAAACTCTCACCTGGAAATTCAAGATGACACGCAAAATGCTCCTCGAATTCGTCCTCCTTGTGCTCGCCCCCTCCGTCGCGGCCGCAACGCCCACAACACGCGCAGAGACGGCCCTCGCTGCGCTGCAGACATGGTACAACACCACCAGCGGCATCTGGGATACCTGCGGCTGGTGGAATGGTGCCAACTGCATGACCGTTATTGCTGACCTGGCGGATGTGGACGACTCGGTGCGGGACGTTGCGGTCGGTGTCTTTGAGAATACGTTTGCGGTGGCGCCGAGATCGAATCCCGCGCCGGGACGGGGAAATGACACGTACAACGGGGCGATTAAGCATCATCAGCCGCAGGATGTTAGTGGGCAGCCCACAGGGGTAGATGTCTCGCAATGGTTGGATGGAGCGTACGACGATGATGCGTGGTGGGCGTTGGCGTGGATTGCGGCGTTTGATGTCACGGGTAGAGAGGAATATCTTGATCTTGCGGTTGGGGTATTTGAGGAGTTGGTGGGTTGCTCGATTGTTTTCCTGGAGGAGGTTCTGACAGTGTTTAGAGTAAGGTGTGGCCGTCCAGATGCGGCGGGGGCATCTACTGGGACTACACGCATACCTATGTCAACGCCATTGCGAACGAGCTGTTTCTCTCGCTCGCGGCGCATTTGGCCAACCGAGCGTCGAACAAGGAGTATTATGTTGGCTGGGCTCAACGCGAGTGGGATTGGTTCCAAGGCAGCGGGATGATCAACGAGAACCACACCATAAACGATGGGCTGACGGAGAGCTGCGAGAATAATGGACAAACCACGTAGGGAACAATCTCCGCAATCGAGATCGAGTGCTGACAAAATAGATGGACCTATAATCAAGGAGTCATCCTTGGCGGACTGGCCGAGCTATACCGCGCCTCTCCTAACGAAACATTCCTCGAGTCAGCAGGGGAGATTGCTCGAGCGGCTATCGCGGCGCTGAGTGACTCGAATGGGGTTATGCATGAACCCTGCGAGCCTAGCAGCTGCACGGGCGACAGCACGCAGTTCAAGGGGATCTTCATCCGCAACCTGCGGCTGCTGCACAGTGTGGCCCCGGACGAGGAGTACTCGCGTGTTATTACAGCGTCTGCCGATAGTATCTGGGCGAATGATCGCGATGCCAATAATAAGATGGGGGTTAATTGGGCTGGTCCCCTTGAGCAGGTGGATGCTTCATCTCACAGTTCGGCTATGGATGCGTTGGTTGCTGCCATTGGATTGTGGTAACCCATCAAGTGGAGACCATAAAACAGAGACAGAAATGCTTTAATAATAAGGGTGAGATGCATGTGGTGTCTGGTAGGCAAGCTAGCCCAAATACATAATTTGTCGTCCTATTCCACGTATTAAGCCATCATTGTCGAGTAAAAGCCAGGGAACTCTTGGCTGGCAACTTCTGTTATCAAGGTATATCAGTAAGCCATTACATGGATGACTTCCTGTCCTATGAGAGAAGCATACCTAGGAGATGGGGATGTAGATGTATCGGGATAGAGACAGTATCCAAATGACACGTGATGAGTAGGATTAGTCATGTCGACACCTGATTGGCGGGCCTGAGAGCCTGAGGCAGTGGATCGGCCCGCAGCCAAAGGAAGAACGAAAAAATAATACAGTGATGGGGCACGACCAGTCCAGACTCCAGGCGGCTTTTTCTCCGGGCAGTTATTCGCTGCAGTTGATCCGCTGTAATCCCTACTTCCAAGGCAGAGTCAGTGGGAATCCACAGCTGCCCCCGATCTGGCCTCCTTGTCCCGTCGTCCTCCTCGGTAAGCGACCAGCTCATCTCCATCCAGCATTATTACTCAGATTAGGATCCGTGGCCCCGAAGTATGGATTACCGTTGTTCTAACGGCTATCCAGAATCTGATTGTCTGATAATTCTGGACTCACTCGGTTATCGGATTACTCGGCCTCGTTATTATTTGTTCCAGACTCAGCTCAGTCTGATAGTTAGTTGCAGAGATCCGTTGCAACAGAGTAATCGCTAATCCCGATTAGGACATCTCATCTCCAACTTCTTCTCCATCTCCTCTTTTTCCTCCTCTCCTCTCCTTTCATCTTCTTTCTCATCTCTTCTCCTCCATTTTTTGCGTCAGAATCAAAACGATGAGCTGAGCCGGCCTTCTCTGGACGACCAGCCCAGAGTTGTCTCCGGATGCGCATCCCAATTGCCGTGCAGCTCGGCCTGCTGGTCCTTGTGACTGCCCTAGTGGGCCTGGCCGTGCTGTCCATCGCTACGGTGAGCTCTCTGATCGCCGATCATCCTTCAGGACGGGACTAATCGTCGCAGTGGGTTAATAACTACAATTTTGTGGTCGATGTCCAGTAAGATAGCAGTCTTCACTCGCCTCATTGGATGTTTTTTCTCTAAGTACATTATCCTCTAGATCCGAAGGACTCGAGCTGGTCGCAAAAATCAAAGCCAGCCAGATCGCTTCGAATCTCAAACTTCTTGAATCGACGTGCAAAACCATCGTCACACGACTGCTGATCCAGGGTGCTCTCGGTCGTTTTTACAATGGGAACTCGAGTGATTCGAACTGGACCTCGTCCGTCACGGATGTGCAGTCGGCAATGGGCAGTAACAATTACCTGGACCTCTATCAAGCCATCATTTTCTCTCGAAATGGCCAAGGAGATCGACACGGATTGCTCAATGTCACCGCCAAAGATATTGCCCAGATCACTCTTCCCTACACTTACCCGAATGGCACTGCTGTCATGCTAGGCGATGAGGGACTCGGTTACCCGCCCGCACTCTACCCTAATCTGACATATTCCGCAGCCTCCGACGGCAGCACCACAACCGATGTGTACGCCTTTTCGGACTACAAGCTGGGACTTGACACCGCTCTTCTTCTTGGACCGCTGCCGATCAACAGCTCCTTTTCCCTCGTTTCAGTCACAGTGCCCATCATCAATAATACTTCGGCCACTGACATTCTTGGATACATGACGTAGGCAGTCCTGGAAGAGAGAGACACTAGATATCCCCTGCTGACCGCGTACAGGGTCGTCGCCAGTGCCGCCAATTTGCAGGCCACGATCAACTCCCGCGATGGCTTGGGCCATAGTGCCCAGATTCTCCTGCTCGGTCCATCCCGCGCGCCCAATCAGTTCGCCCCCGACGCCTACCCGGCCACAGCGACCTCTCCCCCGAACGTGGAAGGACTTTCTCACGCTGAAGTCCACTACGTGTTCGAGCCTACTCCACTTCCCGGTCAGAGCAGCAGGCACGGCGGCAACTTGAGCATGAACAGCTTTCCTCTGTCCAGGTATCCGCTGGCATGGAAGCTCATGTCGAAACCGTGGGCGGAGACCAACAACTCGATCAGCGATCTGTCAACCAGAAACGAACACGGATACCAGGTTGCGGTCGGCGCGATCCGCCCAAAAACACAGATGGCCCAGTGGATCCTGTTGGTGGAACAGACACAGGCGGAGGCATTCGCGCCGATCAACAAGCTCAGGAAAATCATTCTGGCGTGCGTCTTTGGGACGATGGGATTCATTATCCTGATCGTTCCTCCGCTCACCCATCTGGCCGTGGCCCCGATCCGCCGGTTGAGCGAGGCCACTCGCAAGTCGATCGAGCCCCCGTCCCAGGCCCCGCATAATCGCCCTCCCTCCAGCGGACCGTACATTGTAGGAATCGCCGAGGCGGAGGCGGAGCCCCGTACTTTTGATGACCACATGGATGAAAAGGGTTTCGTGGCCTGGGTAAAACATTTCCGACGAAAGGACCGGCCCAACAGCGCCCACAGCAATGGCAGTGGCCATCACGCCAGAGCTTTCCAGATTCCAGGCCGAGTGAAGGAGCGCAAGCATCTCATCACAGACGAACTGACGGAGCTGACGAGCACTTTCAACGAGATGTCGGACGAGCTTTCGATCCATTACCATCGGCTTGAAGAACGAGTGGCGGAACGAACTCGCGAGCTGGAAGCCGCCAAGTTGGCCGCGGAGACTGCTAACGAGAGCAAGACGTTGTTCATCGCCAATATCTCACACGAGCTCAAGACTCCGCTGAATGGCATTTTGGGTATGTGTGCAGTGTGTATGGGCGAAGACGATCTTCCAAGGATCAAGAAGTCGTTGCAGGTTGTTTACAAGTCGGGGGATCTTTTACTGCACCTTTTGAACGACTTGTTGACCTTTAGCAAGAACCAAATCGACCAAGCAATTCGGTTAGAAGAGCGGGAATTTAAATTGTCGGACATCCGGTCTCAACTGGCGGTCATTTTCCAGAATCAGGTCCAGGAAAAACACATCGACTTCAATGTCAACTTCGTCGGCGGAGATACCCTTCCGGCAAAGGGCGATGGCTTCCAGGAGAAGACGTTCCTACCGTCTCCCCCCGCGCTTGGTCCTCCAGGGACTGGTCGGTTGAGGGACATGGTATTATGGGGTGATCAACATCGCATCCTTCAAATTTTGATCAACCTTGTCAGCAACAGTCTCAAATTCACGCCCGACTATGGCAAGGTCGAGGTTCGCATCAAATGCGTCCGGGAAGCGGAACCCCCGGGCAGTCCCAGAACCTCTCTGCAGGACTCTCGACGCAATTCGCGACTGCGATCCCGACCACCGTCGCATGCCAGTTCTCAGCCACGTGATCCTGTTGACGGCCTAGTTCAGGAAGAATATCACACTCCCGTGCTTTCGCAGTTGCGAACTCTGATCTTCCAGTTTGAGGTCGAGGATAATGGTCCTGGCGTTGCCCTCCATTTACAGAAGCGCGTCTTCGAGCCCTTTGTACAGGGCGATCTCGGACTGAACCGAAAGTATGGAGGTACCGGGTTGGGGCTCAGTATCTGCGCGCAGCTGTCTCGCTTGATGAATGGAAAGATCACCCTGGAAAGCGAGCCGGGCAAAGGCGCCTTGTTTACTGTGGAGATTCCGTTGAAGTTCGTCAAGGAGACCGCGCCGAGTACCCGCAGTTCCAGTGCCGCTGGATCGCGCACTCCGAGCGTTTTTTCGCTTGACGATCTACCTGGTCTCGCGCGACCGCCGTCCAATACTGGCTCTGTTGGCTCTGTTCGAAGCGATCCGTTGACCAGTTTTGAGAAGCAGGATCTGCAACCCCGACTGGTCGGACTCAGCCAGCCGTTCTTTACCCCTACACCGTCATCCCCCGCACCGTCGACTCCCCGAGCTCCTCCAGCTGATGGAGCCAAACCGGAAGTGAAAGACAGTACATCTGGCAAGGTGCGCGTGTTGGTGGCTGAGGACAATGTAGTGAACCAGGAGGTGGTTCTTCGGTCTGTCACCTTCTACATCCTCTATATCTCAAAACAACGCTAACGCCTTCCAGAATGCTTCGGTTGGAAGAAGTATATGATGTAACGGTCGTCAAAGACGGCCAAGAAGCCTACGATACCGTCAAGGCGAATATGGAAGAGGGCAAAGTATTTGACCTTATCTTCATGGACATTCAGGTATATGCAACATCACTATGTACAAGTGCCGCAGCTGACACAGGCAGATGCCCAACCTCGACGGCCTAGAGAGCACCCGCCTCATCCGGGGCATGGGCTACTCGGCGCCGATTGTTGCGCTCAGCGCTTTCTCGGAAGAAAGTAATATTAAAGACTGCATGGACTCGGGCATGGACATGTTCATCAGGTATGTCTACCTCATCTCGACGAAACGACTTGACTAATGGAAATAGTAAACCTATCCGACGCCCTGCCCTGAAGCAAGTTTTGAACAAGTTCGCCACGATCCCGGAAGAGCCGGAGAATGTGTAAGATTCGTAGCCTTTGGCAGAAAGCCAATAATGGCTACTACCTTTCAGGCGTACAATGGGGGCCTGTCATGGAATTTCCAGATGTTGGAGTCCATCTAACTTAGACATAGCTGGTCGGATAGAGACAATCAACAATGATAATCTGAAAATATTTGCAGAGGCTCTCTGCAGTAGTCTCTACAATGTGACTTTTGATTCAAACTGGATCTTGTAAGACGGAAAAAAAGCCGGCAATTCATCAAGGAATAGCACTTTGCTTGAAACTCACCGTCTAGTTCTCAGCGTTGAGATCTGATGCTGAATCTACGCGACGAAAGACCATTCATCAAGACAGCCTGAAACTATATTGAGCTCCATGGAGTCTCAGATTTATAATGACATCGTTATTTTCCTACAGAGATATCTTCATTGTTCTGTGACTCTTCTACAAAGCATCTTTGCGATAATTGTCTTACTGTGTGACAAAGGATGTCTCGAATCTCCCATACACAAAGCCATTGTCTATGCAATTTTCAACAGATAGTTGTCTAGGATATGTCTTAGACTATAGTATAAATGCCTCGCTGTCTGCAGAAGAAAAGCAGCTCATCAACTACCTACTCAACTGACTCTACAGCATCTGCCATATCAAGATGAACAACAACTTCTCCAACAACGCACCAAACAACAATCCCAACAGCCTACCCAACCTCAATAACGGTATGGGCTCAACCTTCTACACCAACATGAACAACACCATGAATAACACACCCACTCTAGGAATGAATTACCTAACCGCAACCCCTCCGCCAAACACCAGCCACACGCCCATGGAACAACCCCTCTACACATCCTTCAACTACTGCATCGTCTTCTCCAACCTCCCCGACCAGCCCTGGCCATCCTACAACCTCCTCCAGCAATGCCTCGACAAAGTCCGCGCCCGCGACGCAAAAGTCTACTCCTCCATCGACGCGATCCAGCGGTACAACGGCGCCAAAACGGGGGATTTGATACTGTCGTTTACGGCTGCGGCGGCGACGGATGGGGTTATCTGGACGAGTGCCGAGGGGGTCATTCTGCATCAGATGAGGCATTGGGATCGGGATCGGAGGATGAGCGGGTGGGCGCTTGTGGGAGAGTTTGGGCTTGCGCGGTGAGTTTTCCATCTTTTCTTGACTTCAAGTCTTTGGTTGGGTTGGATGGTTGGTTTTTGGATCTGGCTCTGAATGTGTGGTGGGGAGTGGTTGCTGGGTGTTTATTTCTGCAGGAAGGGGAGGAGAAAGCTGTCTGGGAAGGGATTTGATTGCATGTCTGACTGTGAGTTGAACTATGGAACCTGTCTGTTGAGGATAAAGTGCTCATCATGATCCACAGAATCGGACAACATTCGGGAAATTCAAGTGTAAGGAAACTGATCCCTTAGTCTGTCTCGTAGTACACCTCACCCCGGAGCTATAGAACGGCCGTTGAGAAACAGAAGCGTTGAGAACCCAGAACACCTGGAGTCCGAGGACTTTACATATACTACATGACGCTAAGAATGGCCTGAGTGAGTAGTTCTTCAGACAAACCTACAATATCCAGAGGACATAGAAGCATCTTACACTTACATTCTCTAGATACAGAACCACTTCTTCTGCTTCGACGTGCTAGATATTTCCGCCGGCCAACAACTTTATCGACAGTCAAACGACCGGAAAGTCTTGCAAGAATGGCATGCAGAGTCGAAGAGATTCTGCAGCGCGGCGCAAATGGGGGGACATACCATCCTTACGATAATAACCATGGATGACCACATGGCATATATTACTGCCCCAGATGCGAATATCCGCAAAGCCGGTCTATACTGTTCTCTTTGGATCGAAGAATAGCCTTGAAGGCCCAGAACGCAAAACTACAATCAGTCATTCGCTGCTGAAATATGCAAACCTGGTAATTGCCTGGATGCTGCAATAAGGGCTGGTGGACTCGAAGGATATATTGCATGGCTGTCATACCTCCAATGCTTATGCAGGCTTTTGGCTTGCAATGGCAGTGGTAGATGAGATTATGATCTTTCAAAACTACTCGACACTTGGGAGCTATCTATACATTCCGCGTTCGGGTTTTGCATCAATCAAAAGGCAGGCTGAGCGTCTTCTACTACCGCATGAGGTTAAGGATATGCGACTTTGACATTGTTCCCTGATTTTTCTGGATATGTTGTCAATGTAGCGTTTTCGTTGAGGGGGAGTCAGATGCACAGATACTCTAGAGAGCCAAAGGTCAGCGGTACTGCTCTCACAGCTCGTGGTGAAGCGTATCCAACGAGCAATAGTATTGAAATATAATACCACTAGGCTAAAGACGCGTCCGGACTTGATTCCTATCAGTCTAGGGTCTCATAATTATATTTTCAACAAATAGCTACGCTGCCAGGACGCTGGCTCTCTGCCAGACATTCCCAGGGTTGGGTCTCCTAGATGAGAATGACTTATCTGATTACCCTTTTCGAAACATGTCCTGTTTCTAGGAAAGGTTCCGAGTCAGGGGGCAACACAAGTTTGACAACTGCATCCATGTTTACAAGCAGAATGAGAAAAGATGCAAGATGGAATAAAGACAGGGCGGCCCGGCAGGCTATAGTGTTCCAAAGCATAGAATCCGTCCTGTGCGTATTTCCGAGTCTCTCCATCAAAACGAGACCGTGTAGGTCTATTAATAATCAGCTTATATGACGTAGCTTTGGAGAGTTACATCTCAAAGCCCTTGCGACCGTCGACCTTTGATGCTTTTCCACTCCGGGTATATCTCCCCCTGCCCTCTCATCCTTCAGGTGAACAACACATAGAATGCCATCACAGACTCTCAGTCAGCACTAAGTCTCTCCAGGAAGCTGAATAGCTGATTTAACCCGAGAATTAGTAGGGTTACATCACTTGTCATGAATGTATATACAACCAGCCCTAAATGTAGCAGGTTTTGTTCGCCCTCCATTTTTATCAGGATATATGGAAGATATACAAGGTGGCTCAAGCTTTGGGTTGTGGCCTATATATATAGTTGAGGCACATCCGTACCAAAGCCGTTGAGTGGGTGTAGCCCGCATGATCTTGGCCCGGACAGAAAATGCTTAACCAGACATAGGAACCCCAAGTCACGGCGAGCACCCAGGTATGGCTAGATCAGACAGTATTGATAAAAAAAAAAAAAAAACTCAATAAGCACTACCATAAGACTGCATTAGTGGGCTGATGACCGGGATGAAGCAAAAAGAGGGACTTAGCAATTTAATTTCCACGCTATTATAGAGGAGAGCCTCTTCTGTAGTACAAAGACCCTGCTACGGCTGTCATTCCGGTCTCTAATAGTTCGTATACGAAGTGGCCTATCATGATAGATACTCTGACCCGCTAGGTTTAATCCTAATGACAACTAGTCTGTGTAAGCAGTGATCCTTCGGATGTGATTAGGCCTGCAGCTATTTTGGCATGGGTATCTCTGGTTTAGTCATTTGCGGAGGCGTGGGGGTGATGTACCTTTATCATCATGGCGTCTAGTAGGACATTATCATTCCAGCTGCAGACTCATCTGGTCACCAACCCTACCTACACCAACCAACAATCCCAGAGCAGTCATGCTGGTTGGTCTGTTGCTTTAAAGAGGACTTGCGCTTGAATGGGGCAAAACAACCCACTCTATTCATCTTAACAGCCACTTACTTACACTCCCAGTGTCTACATGCCAAAGACCTTGCAGATGTTGCAAAGATGGACAGGACTGGGATAGCTTCACTTTGTACTATGCAGTAATTAAAGGGTATGGACACAACTACATAAGATATACAAGCGCCTAGAGTTCTGCGAAGCAGCTTAATCAAGCTTGTCAATACCTGGCTCAAGAGGTTGTAGCCTGCTTATGGGCTGACTTCATGCGGCTACTGATATCAGACACAAGCAGGGTTCTGGCGCTGGTTGGTAGCTCTGGGACGGCCAGGGATCGGAGAGACTTACGCTGCTTCGCTGGGTAGCTGGTGTTTAATCCTAGTAGAGAGAGGGTGACATTACGGCATCGCAGCAAAAGCGACACCGGTGAGTTATGTTCCGTGCATACCTACATGCTTAGTTTAACTCGACTATAGGCTAAATGCGTCTTGCATTGACCAACATCGAAGTTCTTGTTCATGTTAGCGCAGCGGTGGTAATCTCTGCAGCTCTCTTGGATCTTTGCACAGCTCCGTGTCGAGAAGGGATCGCTCATGGAAACTCACAGCCTGCGTCCGATCAAGGCTGCGCGGAGGATTCTGCCATGGAATTGGCTCAGGGTCTAGATTGCTGGCAGGATGGATGCTATAAGCTTCATTATCTTTGCAGGGAAAGGATGCCGCAGCAGCGTTACAAAAGAACTGACAGAAATATGTAACCGCGCTTGTACCAGGCAGTGATTTGTCCTGATATAGGTGAGGTCAGTTCCGCCATCAACGGCCCCATTGCAATACGAACTGTCCACTCACTGGCCAGGAATCATATGTACGCGTTGAACATAGGGCGTACGCCGAAGTAGTTTAACCTAACATGGAAATTGACGCAGGTGAGATGTAACTTGCACACCAGTGTTGACCATGCATGACACGCAAAGCCTCACAATGCAAAGAGAAAATAAATGCAAGAAATTCAATGAAAAGACCATATGGCTCATAGAAAGAGCAGCTCCACTGGAGGTCATGGAAACACATAAATACTTGCTCGTTGCCCGCTCATTCTCTTGAGTCCTCCATCATCAACAAAGAAAACATCCACTTCAAGTCCCTAAGCACAATTTTCTAGCTATATCAACCATGTTTGTTAAAGCTTCCATCCCTGTCCTCGCTCTCTTCGGCCTTGTGGTATCTCCCTGTTCCCCTTGTCTGCAATCGTTGTGTTCCATAGTCAGACATACTAAGTTGCTCTCCAGGCCAAAGCCAGCCAGTCAGTCATCCCAGGTTACAACGTCGTCGACATCGAATGGCAGGTGCAAGTCACTGCTGGCGGCCCTACTGTCAATGTGACAGGCACTGTTGAGGAGGTCTACGCTCATCTCAAGACTCTCAACCCTGGCTTTGAGGAAGAGTTCCCTCCTGTCGCCCACAACGACGTCATTGAGGCTCGTGGAGCTGACTACACCATGCAAAGCTACTATTGCCACGGTCCGTGGCCCACCTGTAGCTGGTATCGTATTCAGCAGGGCGTCAGCTACCTCGACGGCGTGCCTGGACGACCAGTACGTCTCTCTACTTCCCAAGGAAGCTTCTTATTGACGCATTACTATAGTCCCAAGGTCCGGGCCCCGGCAGCTGTGGTCGTGTAAGCTGCTCTTACAACTCTGCCATCTACTGGTGCAACGACGTGAGTGCTTTTATCAGTTCCTTTTAACCCATCCATTTAGCATAAGCGGATGGCTAACCAGAGTGGGCGCCGCAGAACAACTACCAGTACACCCTCAATTCATTCTATGACATTGCAAGCGGTGCGAACTTCATCGGCCAGACCTGTCTCACTGGAACCGATTCAACCTCCGGTCAAATCTTTTATACCGACAATTGGAACGTGATTGTCCGTGCCGACAGCTGCTAAGTTGATCATATCCTGAGCACTTTAGCTAGCAGGCTATCGGGTGATGACCTGCTGCAATGCTCGAATCTACCTGTTTATAGCGGGGGTATGACAGTTGCTTCACCAGATATTAACGACTTAGTGGCGTTTCTTGAGAATACTAAGCGTGAGGAGAAAAGGAGACAGTATGTGGTTAGTTAAGTTAGTGGAGAATGACACCAGCTGCGAGGGACGTGCGTGCAAATTAGTCAAAAAGCCTGTAAAGGATAGGCGGTCTGTAGGGGGTTGTTGTTGGTTAGGTGGAGTGGCATGGTTAGTAGATCAACTACAAGAGGGACCTGGCAGTGTGTGCTGTTTGAGAGCCCGGCTAGAGGGGCTTACAAGTTATATTCTGAGGAGCCATAAGACGTTCAGACGGCTCCACCTCGATTTCAGTGTTGAGTTAGGAAGCTTTCGCTTTTGTTGGCTACCTATTAGGGTATGGAATCTTATGCTAGAGGTGTACCTCTACTATAGAGATATATATCTCTATTACTTGCCTAGTTTAGGCCTATAGACTAATAGTCCCCTTACTGCTGTATGAGAAAGGCGTGCACGCATAAGCAGAATAGCTGACAATTTGTACGGCAGTAATCCGTGACCAGAACTCAATGCGTTTGAGGTTCTTCTATCGAGTGGCTAGAGAAGGAGGCACATTACGCCAATGTGAACATCTGGCCATGCCAACCGTAAGCTCTATTTAACCTCCTTCCAATCCGTCTTGCGACTCGAAAGGGTATCTTCGCAATAGGATGCGGCTCATGAATTTGAATGCTGCGCTCGACGTCCAGATTTCTCGGCGTGAACTGCCAGACCGAGCCATAGAGCTTCTCCACCGTAAAAGCCGTGGTGCCCATAGCGTGTAGGAAATCGTTCCCCGGGATCTCCCCGGGCTGAGCAGTTTGCGAAGGCTGGTAAAATAGTGTGGAGAAAACTTTCAAAGACCGCTTGTCCACTTTGAACGTTGGCTGTACATCATACCCATTTTCGGCGGGCAGGTCGGGTTCGACGGCTTTGTCGGACATGGTAGGCCTTCCTTGAGATTTAACCCTCTTCTTGGGCAGAGGCGCAGTAGCCGGCTCGATGGTTTTCTCCGTCCGATGTACCAGCTCAAATTGGAGATCTGCCATACTCTTCTCCAGGTCTTTCACTTTAGCGGGCTGCTTTTCCGGCTCTACCCAGGCAGGTGTCCTTTGGAGCCTTCCAGAAATCCTAGTAAGCACCTTGTACACAGCGTTGCGTTGAGTCATTCCACGGGTCACTGGCAAATGCGAATCCACCGCACGCCAGAACGCATCCAGATTCCTCTCCGCAGCTCTCATAAGTTCGACATTTTCACGATTCCGTCGCTTTTCGGCCGGGTAATGGAATCGACCATCTTCGGGCGATCCAAGTTTGGCTAGAGAAGTTCCCTCGAAGCTTACCAGGTACTTGTCCCAACCGCTGGTTAGGTTGCTGTATCCTTTCTGGATTCCATCGCGCCGTTCGATAAACCCATTTTCGAATGTACTCGCCCAGGGTTGGTAGAGCTCAATTTGATGAAGACATTCGGAGATAACTGCCAAGTCAGAAATGACGCTGGCAACCCGGCTCGAGACGAGCTCCTTGTTTTTGGGGTCCATTTGAACGAGACGTTCGAGCTCATCCATGAGCGTTTTCCGACCGGCCAAAAACACCACGTTGCTATCCCCCCAAAGCGCTTCAAGAATCCAAAGCAGCCCCCCCTGGTTCTCGGACCTTGATACACCCGCCCGGGATTCTGCAATCATCTTCGAAGTGCCCGACTGTTGTGGTTGCCGAACAAAGAGTGATCGCAATGGAGGGGAGGCCGGAGCTGCTATTTTGAGCTGGTTGGCTGGACCAATAGCAAATTGTTCCAGGGTATATTTCAGCTCTACAAACGCGTTATAGAGGGCGGTAGGCAGGTCTTTCTCCGGCGATATCCTGTCATGATATTTGGAAAGCAGCTGACGCAGGTCGGCAACCAGAGGATGGAGCGTGGACCAGATCTCCAGGTTCATGTAAGCTTCAGGGACGACATTTTGGAGAACCCGGTTCCAGAATAATGGGTGAACATGTGGTGCCAATGTCGGATGCGGGTTGCTGTTAGTATCTGGGATAACTTCGACACGATGTTCCTTGTACTCATTGACAACGTCTGCAAAGTATCCGGGGTCCTCTCGTAGCGCTATAAGATGATCCTCCTTAGCCGAGCGTTTAGCATCGATAATGTCTTCTAGAGAGGCCAAGTCCAGCTGCGCGGGTAGACGGTAAGGCGCGTCCGCTGCAACTGCAGCCAGGGAATGCCAGTCCCCTTCATCTTTAATTGCGGGCTCGGGGAGTACAGGGAAGTCCTTGATCAAGGCCGCCTCAGGAATATCATGAAGAATTTGATGGGTACAATCTAAAAGAAATTTGTAGATCCGCTGTTGTATTTCCAGAAGTACTAGCCCATGGCCGGGGTGGAAACCTTTACCATTATGAAGCCACGAAGATGCGTCATCATCATCGTCCCATGCAATCAGCTCTCCGTATGTTTCTGGCGTTGTCCGACCAGTGAACATCATCGTATGCAGGTTGAGAAAAGCAGAGCGAATAGCCCCTGTGCCATGCCCAAGATGTGGAGCATGGTAGTCTGCGTGCGCAAAACAATGTGGCTGGTGCCGCGCGCGAGCATTGAGGAGCAGGAGCAAAGGTCTTGTCTGTTCCAGGTCTTCCAGATTGATACAAGGCCACATGTATGCCTCCGTCGACTCTTGGCGACGTCCCTTTTTGAATGCGTCAAAATCTGGCCTGTGCATCTTGGGCATGTTTGGCCACGCGGAGAGAAGGATGTGACGACGCTTAGCCTTGGTCTTCTGGCGCCATCGTTTATGAATCCGTTCTTCATGACGTTCGATAATCTTATTCAGGGTTTCCCAGTCGGCCAGGATTTTTGCCGCTCTTTTGCGACTTTCTTGACGGACCTCATCTGGAGTCGGGTAAGATGTTGGTTTAGGAAGGCTAGGACTGATGCTATCGAAGAAGTCCGCTGGATTGCTCCAGTCTATATCGCGAAAGGCAGTGTTCTCGTCACTAACAGTCTCTTCACTGAAGGGATCAAATCTGTACGCAGCATCAGATCCAGCCATAGCGACAAATATCGTGAAGTTGAGCAGTATTGTGATGCGAAGCGGGATCAAGGGGCAATGTTGATTGAGAAGTCGCGACGCGTATGTTCAGTGACATGGTACACGTGATCCAATCCAAATATTTACTCTCTTTCTGCATAGAAGAATGACATTAAGCTCGATGAGTCGATTTGGAGTGGTAATAGTATCTCAATGCCTCCTGTCTGACCGGAATGCATAAATTCGAAATACAATGCGACCTATGGTTATATCTAACGTAGTGGATGATCTGCATGTCCACATTCCACGTTGGATAAAAAGTCTAACGGATCAGGAATCTGTTGTCAGAGATCTTATTGGTACGTCTACCTAGATACTCCTTAAACCACGTTATCAAGACATCCTAGCTCAGTTGATCGTCCACGTCCCTGCCACCCCACATCAGCCATCAAAGATACGGTCGCTTGGCTCCTGTAGCTCCAAAGAAAGTAATGATCAACCAATCAGCTCGCATAGCTCAGTTGGTAGAGCGCATGACTAGTAATCATGAGGTCAGCGGTTCAAATCCGCTTGTGAGCATTTCTTTTTCTTTCTTTTTTAGGCTCTTGGTTTTATATGGTCAAGAGGCAAGACACTAGATGATACGTCTGTTCGAATCCGACTGTGAGCAATTTCTCCTCATCTAAAAACAATGATAATGATTGTACTTTAGTTACCTCCGAACTTTGTACCTGTGATGATACATGACACACATGGAGACTTTGGCTGAGTCAATTTCATACTTTTAAAGGATCAATCAATGGATCTAATTCATCCTGTGCAGGTGGTGATTCGTGTTCATTCATTTCTTCATTGAGGACTTGAGCTTGAATATATCTCTACGAGCATTGTCTTACATCACTGCAAACTGATGCTTTCTTCATTCCGCAGCCTGGCTACTAGCCTAGAGCAGCCAGAGCATCGTACTGCTGCTTGGTCACGGACAGCACCGAGCCATGTCTCAATGCCCCCAGGTTACCGCCCGAAGCAGGGGTAAAGGTTCCCGAAGTCACATCTGTCGACACCCAGGGCGACAAACCAGTGACACTGCCCACCTTGTCGCAGACCAGATACGCCTTGCCGGGTTGCACGTTGTCCCAGAAGGGATACGGGCCCTCGAAGTGGGTGCTGTCCTGGATGGTGCCCGATGGGGTGACCCAGTTACCGAACAGGCCGTTGCGGCTGACCTCGACCACGGGGCCGGAGACCTTGCCGCTGACGTAGAAGCGGACGAAGGTGTTGTCGTCGACGCGGAGAATGCTGAGGTCGATGATGGTGCTTGTCTTGTGGTCAATGTAGGTTTTCGGCTTGGTGAAGGTCTTGAAGTCGCTGGTGTGGGCGTAGCGGATGATGTCCGTCGTGGTGGGACTGCCGGTGTGGTTGGGATCGTTTGCTGCGTACTGTATATCGTCAGTATACCTGATCATTGTTTGCTGCTGGGGATACTTACGAATCTGGATGCCCAGTGCACCAGGTATTTTCCTGGAGGCTGTTAGTCAAACTCAACTGACGAGATGTACACTGCGACATACCGGCTTTCGGATCCCAGATTGCATCCGGCGCCCAGACCATGCCGGCTGTCGCATCCTCGACCGTCACGAGTCGCTCGTTAGTCCAATGGATCAGATCCCTGCTCTCCCAGATGAAGATGGCCCGCGATCCGGTCCGAGTCGCCTTGTCCCAGTTGGTCTACCAAAATCAGTATGTCCTAAAGCCTACATGTAGGGGAACGAACCGAGTCAATATCCAGATCCGTTCCGATTAGCCAGTACTTCCCCTTGTCGCGGCCTACGCCCTCCACGATGGAGACATCCCGGACGGCCTTTGTGCCCAGGGTCGGGGAGACGACGGGCTTCCCACCGTTGATCGGCCTGAAGTCGAGTGGATTACTGTTGTTACTCAAGGCGAGGTAGACGCTCTCATCCTCAGTCTTCCAGTAGAAGTCCAGGTAGCCCACTTTGGTTGGGTCGGCTTGGTGGAGATCCAAAGGGAGAGGCTGGGGGAGGGCCATAGTAGGGGCGAGGAAGGCAAGGATACCCGCGCAGATCGTCGTGAGGTTCTTCATCTTTTTTGCTTGTTTTCTGTGAAGCTTTGCAATTGACCGAACTGTAGTGTACCTCTGGCTTTATATATTCGTTCTGCCCTATTCTATCGACTATCGAGTTATTTCCCCGGTGGTTCATCGACGTATCCACAGCACGACACCCAACTGACGATGCCCAGACTTGTCAACAGAATATGCAGCAATCGGATAATTCATAGCCGCCATAGCATTTTTGCCAAGCCGAGCGACAAACAACAGGGTAAGACAAACAATATCCGACATCCCCGATTCTGCAGGGATTCCCGCCAAAAGACAAGCTCCGGCGGAGGATCGTCGCAATTATACCCCGCATTAATCGTTAAAGCAACCAAACAACACGAGAACCGCGGTCTGGAGAATCGTCGGATTATGCCCGTTTGAAGGAACTGATCATATGTGAATTAACGCCACCTCTATCATTCCGGGTATCTGCCCGGACGCCCCTTACTCCATCACAGGGCAGTTCCGCCATATGCACCTTTGCGCTTCCATAGGGGACGAATTCATTTTGACCGGCTCGCCTTGGCATGTGCGGTTACTTTTGCGGGGTGGATTGGGTGCGTATTCTTGTTTCAGCTCCCACCGGATCTCGCAGACTGTTGCCGTGGTAGGTGCTCCTAGAGCCCAGACAGGACTAGGACAGAGCTCCGTTATCCCATTATATCATAGGGAAGAGGGATCGGTCGCGTAGGCCCAGGAACTGGGCGGATGAAGCTCATAATCCCGTATGTTGCCCGGAAGGCTCGGATAAGCGGGCTGGGAGGTTTGTGTGTATTGCACTGAATCGCGTAGAGCAGGTTACCGTAGTACATGGCTACGGTGTCGTTAGCGCGGCGTTGCACGTGGACTTCTGCAGACAGAGCTACGATGACTGCTGATGAGCCTTGATCCAGGAGGATCTTGAGCATGCCGGTCCGTGTATTAGGTGCTGCGCCACGAAGAGGAGATCCATTAGCTGAGACGGTAAGGGAGGCTGACCATCCTGGGATCCGTACGGAGAAGTCGAATGGCCCGTCCGCGTCGACGGTGTACACCAGCCGCTGGGTAAACGGGTACTTGGTCTCACAGATGATTCTCACCTGCGTCCCTGACTTCGTTGACGTTCTGGACACTCATTGGGCCAAGAAGCGCGTGTGCTGATGCCGTTCTGACCCTGCAGTACAAACTTGTGACAGCCCTGCGGATGATTTACAGTGCAGCAAGGGTTCGGGTCTCAGCCCGGAGATCCGCTCGTCGCCGATGATCGACCCAGAAACGGTTCCGTGGTATCTAGAAGTCCAGTTGACAGCTCGTAGTGCGCTCGTAGCTAGTCTTTCGTCATACATCAGGCGCTTAAACACCGCTCCGTTCTTCAAGCCCACAGCTACATTGACTCCATGCTCGAACGATCGTTCGCGTCGGTGATGTCCGGAATAGTGTCAAGATCATCCCTGAGGGAAACTCCATCCGTATACCAGTGCTCCCAGTCCAGAGCCTTTTCATGAAAGATGCGCATGCAATCCAAGAGCGTCTGGCCTTGGCCCCTCGGGTCTCATTCATACAGCCACTGCAAACTAAGCACTATATCCGCCGCCCGAGCGCGCCCCCACCGATCATCCACAATAGTCCTCAGTCTGCTGGACTAGACCCCGGTAATTGTCGGATAGCATGGAGTGCCTCGATCAACAAACCTGTGCATCGCATCCAGGATCCTCCCCTCGAACTCCGTCCCCGCCTCCGCTTCTGCCAACTGGCTCAATCCCAACCACACGGGCGATCGGCCCCAGCCATCCGCCGTTCTGCTGATGCGATAGGACATAGTCAGCGACATTGCGGACCTGGCCCTTGAGGCGCTGGTCGTCGGTAAGATACGCCAACGGAACCAGCCTGTTGACCAGTAAGAAAGGCTCTCATCCAAGTCGTTGTAGTCTGTACCACCACCGAGCCGACGGCTGTATGTGACTATGGGATAAACGTCATGCTCGTGGCTTGGGAGTCCGTCGGCCATGAGATGCAATTGATCTAACACCCATCCACGCGGCTTGGTGGAGCCGAGAGGCAGTGGCCCGAATGTATGGGGGAGGACTGGCACGTTGGCTATTCTCGTCTCATCGATTGGGAGTCGCGAATGCTAGCTGACTGGCAGCAAGCGTGAAAAGCAGACATATCTGTGGCCCTACGGTAAGAAGGTGCATGTTGAATATTCCCCTTTGGTGAGGCGTTTTCTGTGGTACTGGTCGACGACTGCTTTATAAGAAAGTAATGAGCCATAACTGCAGAGCCTCGGCATTGGAATGTGGCAGATGTCCTTGGAGAAATGCACAACCCTTGTGGGTGGAACTGCCGAACAGCACACTGAGAGCATTGCAGTATTGTTGACACCGGATAGACTACGTTTGATCTAGTCCTTTCTAACGGATGTTCTTCCGCAGAAAGCTGACCTACAAGTAGCTATGGAGTAGAGAGGAGTACTGAAATAGATAGTTTATGCTCTTAATCGACGCATCCATTCGACTATTCGTAGATAAGTATCCCAATGATTATGTGGCTCCAGGAAAAAGCAATAAGAAAGAAGTGTTTCCTACCAAGGTAAAGAAAAATAAATATCTTCAATCCGGGGCTGTCCTGATTGCGGTGCGGGGAAAGTAAACACTAAAGTCAGCACTAAGATGTTACTACTACGACTGTCCTCAGCGCATAACTGTGACAGGTATATCTATCTGATTATCAATCGGCGATAGGGTAACAATGGGATTGTTGATCCCCAGAAATGCAGGGAGCCGATGTAACCTCGACAACCACAGCAATGCAACCTTTGCTAGTATTTAGTCCGTGCAGAGTCAGCCATTTGTTCATGGAGCGTTTCAAATATGTATCTAAATATCATCCTATGTTTCAGTCTAGTGACTGCTGCACTGCAGACGCTCCCCCCAGTGTATCAAACAGCCTTAGGGCCATTGCCGGGGTTTGATGTTTGCTCAGTGGAGAGAGTCATCTATATCAAGGCTGATTTTGCCTCTCATCGGGACGAAAATGGATTGACACTAATCCCTCCATCTGCTTTGGAATTTGCAACGACATTTCTTCATGATCTGGAGGAAGTGACCGCCAGCCGGTGGACACTCCGGCAGGTACATGCATTCAGGGCAAAGGAGGGAATCTTCCTAGACAGCCTTGGCGCAGACTGTAACTTGACCTACGAGAATGGCACGCCAACAGAGGAAGGATATGAAGTGGAGATCCAGCCGCAACGGGCTATTATTCGGGGATCTGGAGCGAGGGGAATGTGGTGGGGAACGCGAACACTGCTGCAGAAGTTGATCATCGCTGACCGGAAACCGCTTCCGGGTGGTCGGATTGTGGACGCACCCTCGGTTCCAACGCGAGGATACATGCTCGATGCAGGCCGGAAGTGGTACTCGCCTGCCTTTCTCAAGGATCTGTGCACGTATGCCTCATTCTTCAAGATGTCCGAGTTTCACTATCATACCAGCGACAACTACCCTCTCAATCGGGGGCACAACGAGACATGGAACGAGGTGTACGCTCAGTTTTCACTGCACCCTGAGGACCCTGACCTCCATGGAATCGTGCAGAGGCCGAACGAGACGCTATCTCGGGCCGACTATGAAGAGCTGGAGCATCACTGTGCGCAACGAGGAGTGACGGTTATTCCTGAGATTGAAGCACCAGGCCATTGCCTGTTTCTGACCAAATGGAAGCCAGAACTGGCACTGGAGAAGAAGGATCTGCTGAATCTTTCTCATCCTGACGCGATCCCGCTCGTCAAGTCCGTCTGGACTGAGTTCCTGCCGTGGTTTCACACAAAGGAAGTGCATATCGGGGCGGACGAATATGACTCAGCATTGGCGGATGATTATATCAATTTTGTCAATGAGATGGCACAATTCATCCAGAACGAGTCAGGAAAGAGGATTCGCATATGGGGTACCTATGAGCCATCGGATACGCTTTCTATATCTAAAGATGTGATCATCCAACATTGGCAATACGGGCAGTCGGATCCTGTCAGTCTGGCAAATGAGGGATACACGATCATCAATTCGGAGGATCGCTGGGCGTACATGTCGTTGAAAAACGACCATATGCCCATATTCCCGGCCCCGTATCCATACCTGTTCAATAACTCGCGTGTATTGAACTTCGCCGACATCGACGGATGGCAATGGACCCCGGCGCTCTTCAACCCATTCAACGTCACGGAGCAACCGGACAAACAGGCGGTGCAGGGCGCAATTCTAGCCGCATGGAATGACAATGGACCTGACGCGACGACACAGCTCGAGGCCTTCTACGCCATGCGCAACGGGATCCCGATTGTCGCCTCTCGAGCATGGACGGGCGATCGAGGTCCACGACTAGATGAATCTAGCTTGTCATTGTCTGCCACACTGCTTACTGCCCGCGCAGTTGGTCAGAATCTCGATAGGAGATTCATTCGGCGTACCAATCACAGGACGGATTCGCTTCCGAGCTGGACGTCCGACGAGCAATCTGGGGAAGGAGTTCACCTCGGGTATGGCAGCAAAGGAATGAATTATACACTGGAGCTCGACGTCGCGGGACCATTCGTGCTGTCCTCCGACGACTGCACTCTGGGTTTATCTGTATCCGGTACTTTGGCCTTTACATCCGACGGATGGGAGTACCCGCTTCGTTCTGTCGCCGAAGATGCTGGATTCGACCCGGGGTATCCGGGACGGATCTGGACAAACGAGACGTCATCTACCCACGAACTTATCAAAATCCCTCTTCAGAGTCAGATTACCATCCGCACAGATGTCATTGGAGGGAGCAGAGTCTGGGTGGATGGGAACTTTGTCGGGAGATTCGAAGTCTTTGTCTTTGGGGGGAAGAATCAATTGTTCTCATGGAGCCAGATGGCCTTTGTGGCGCCACTGGAATGGATCCAAGGAGGATTACACGGACTGAGGGTTTCTGAATACGACGGCAGTCATAATCTACAGAGTAATTAAGAAGCATTTATGGTGCTGTTATTGCTTCACCGTATGCTTAATGAAGAAACCTGAGTCTTAATACTCATAAATCTGCCTAGATGAATCCAAGGATGGGTTATATTTGACTGCGACCGTGTAAGACAGCAATGGCGAAATTAAGAGCTAGCGCCTCAGACTAGACGACAATATTAACATTGAAAACGGCGTGCTTACCTGTCATGGTTGGTCAGTTGGCACAGGATACTGTAGGCCGAGAAATGATCGGGTGTCTATACCCTTGTATAGTTAGCGCAGTTCGCTGTACAAAGGATACGGAAATCCGGAGTGAGTCTGGAGTTGAGATAACTTTGGTCCTGATGGGTACCTGAAAACCTTTTGTCTGTCATCTGCGAGTGGAATAACCGAACACTGCCTTCAGGAGAACTTTGTAGCTGAAGGGAAGCGTCGAAAGCTCCGTGTGGCCGAACATCTAACTAATGTTTCCTTTACAAGCCGGAAGAGTCTGCCCATTGTTCTGGAGATGTCCAAATCGTCTTGAGGTCTGCATTATGATCTTCTGTTAAAGTTGCAAATTGGATAATTACATAGTTGATAATGGAAGTATTCTATTCAAAAAGATTACCAGGGCTTCTCGCTACGAGAACACCCCCTTATAGTGACAAGACAGGTAGGCATATACTTTTACTAGGTTAATTACCATGCCCGCCCGTATGCCGTAGCCTGGGAAACAATCGAACAATGCAGATAGGTGGTGACAGTGGTTTCAAGACATACTGCTGTAGGACTCAGAACGTCTGTGGTATGAATATATTGATATCACGGATACTGCTGACGTTGAATCAGTACCAATACCTTCACCATATACCTCTATAGATTAGGCCGACCTCTCAAAGCAAAATGATAGTAGGAACTAATTGCTTCTTTTAGATGCGTATGATTCGCTGAACATGGGTAGATGGGTTGTGGGATGGCTTACGGCTGAATTAGCATGAGAATAGCATTTCTAGATACTTGAGAGGAGGATATACAGTAAGCCGCTGTATAGCAACAGAAAGCTATCTCGAAATTAATCGTCGGCCAGAATAAAGAAATCTTCCATTATGATTTGTGGTATGCGTTGGACTATACAATCCTATTTATCCACGGATTTACCCAGGCTGGTCCACAATCCCCGCATTTCCGCAAAGAACCCCGGAGATCATTCGTCACGGAAGATATCTTTTCTTCAATCAGTCCTGATCAGGACTGACTCCTCCCTGCCGGACGGACGGAAATCCCTGTTTCTTTTTGGCAACGTTTATAAGCAGCCGATGTTCCCCGCAGCCCAAGATGCAATGAAGGAAAAGCTGCGCTGAAATTCATCATGCTTCAATCGCAATTGCTTCTAGGGCTTGTTCTTGCAATCGAAGCAGCTTCTGCTCATCCTCGATCATGGGGTCCAAGGAAGTTCACCAGTCTTGTTTCCTTTGGCGATAGCTACACGGACCAATCGCGGCTGAACTACTTTGGCTCTCATAACGGATCAGCTCCCCCAGTTGGCTGGGAGCAGCCAGACGTACGTTCTGTTCCCTAATAAATGAAGCTCGCTGAGAAGCATAGAACAACAATACCGCCTCTGGTGGCTATGTCTGGGGCCACTATGTCTCACAATACGCCGATGTAAACCTGTACAACTACGCCGTCAGCGGCGCCGTATGCTCCAACGAGATCACCCCACGCACATTCTCCTACATAAACGACCTTTTCCCTTCCGTTCTGGAATACGAAGTGCCCGCCTTCCTGGCTGACAGCAAGCATAAAGTCGCTGGAAAGAAGTTCCTCGACATCCCGCCCCGGGAAACGGTGTACTCGATCTGGATCGGCACCAACGACTTGGGGAACTACGCCTTTATCACTGACTCCCAGGTCAAGAATAAGACGATCCCGGATTACATCAACTGCGTGTACACCGCTCTTGACCAGGTCTATGCAAATGGTGGCAGATATTTCGTGCTCATGAACCTGGCGCCCCTGCAGCTCGCACCCCTGTACGCGACACCCGAGAACGGCGGCGTGGGGGCCAACCAGTACTGGCCTGACAAGCCCGATAATCTGACCTTGACCAGTTACCGGATGTGGGAGCAGGTTGCGACTGCGAATGATGTGTTCAAGTACCAAACGCCGTACGAGGTGCTGGTGGCCAGGAGGTATCCCGGGGCGCAGTTTGCGGTGATGGACATGTATGGATTGGTATGTTGCGTCTTGTCTTGGACATTGGGACTGGATGGCACTGATTTGACAGCTCTCCGAGGTTTACTACAATCCCACAAAGTATTTCAACGGGAGTGCACCGGCGAATGTGACCGGGTTCAACAATCACTGCCCGCTTAGCGGAGGGGAGTGCACCCGGCTCCCCAGTCCGGATTCCTTCATGTGGTTTGATGAGTTGCATCCTTCGCAGCGAACGGACCAGATTATCGCCGAGGAGTTTGTCAAGGTCGTCCGGGGGGACAGTAAGTGGGCTACCTACTGGTAATCTTGCATGTGAACTCGTAGGACTGCTATATCGATATGCCTCAGATAAGGATATATTTATTTGAAGTGGACATGAATCCCCGTTCAGGGTTACATATTGGAGTTACCTCAAGCTCAAACTAACGTTATGGCTGAAACATCATTCTTCGCACTATCGGCATTTCCGTAAGATTAGCCCTATATCGCTCCAAGCCACCTCCTGAATGTCCTCTTGACAGTTATGATGGTCCCTGGCATTAATCGTCAGCAACCCCCCGCAACAACGGCCGAATTGACCAATCAATGGACCAGACTAACCAACAGGTGCAACCCCCGGCCGTTAGGGAGGTATAAGGCGTCCTCCGACTCTGCCTTACACAGCACTTCTAGTTAACAATCGCGTTACTCATGCCACTTCTAGATAACAATACACTTAGTACAATGGCCATGCCCGGCCGCTCGACAGACATGTCCTCATCAGGATTTCACCATGTCCCGTGCCCTCCCCGAAGTCCAACCACCGCCATACCCTATCGCCATACGACCCGAAAGCATCACCCGACATGAAGTGATAGTGACCGTGACCAACCGCCCGGAACCATGGCACTCACTCGACTACTCCATCGAACACGCGGGAACCGAACTCTTCACCGTCCGCGGCCAGCCCTGGAAGATCAGCCAGGCACGCATGTTCCACGACCGCTCGGGACTCCCCCTCTTCGAGCTCCGGTGCCAATGGTACGACTCCTCGTCGCTGTGTCTCCGCCTCCCCGGCGGGGATCAGTGTATCCTCGAAGCAAAGTTGCGGGTTGCGATAAACGCGCCCAGGGCGGTCGTCACGTTCCGGAATGCCGCGCAGCAGCCGAGGTCAGCGCAAAGCGAGGAGATTGTGTTGGAGGTGCATGCGCAGGACCTGTATAATATCCTCCAGGTGGTGGTTGTTCAGAATCGCAATGTGGCGTACATCCATCGGATAACAGATCGGAGTGTCCTCGCCGAGGGACAACGGCCGCCGTTCCGTTTCAGACCCAAGTGGATGGTTCGAGTTGCGGAGGGAGTGGATCTATCGCTGGTTAGTTGGTCTTCGGTTCAGTGTGGACTTTTGCTTAATCTGACGGTCGTAGATAGCGGTTGTGGTGGTCATCGTTGGCCAACGAGCCGGATTGGATGTAGGGGACGGCTGATCGGCATATGGAGGGGGTGGTATATTCAGTGAATGTAATCTTTATACAGTTATGAAGAGCCTTTTTCTCTGTCCATTGCAAGGCCAATGCTTGGGTATAATATCGGATAAATGGTTGTTAGAGGCTCGGGCAAGAAGCTATACAAGGTTCACTTGATATGCGGAACTCAGGAGTAAACAACATTTATGAAGCGCTCCCGAATATAACTGATGGTTTTGACGATGGATTGACCTCAAATGATGTCAATCCAGATCGAGAAGAGTTGTCAATTGGCGTTGCATCCTCCATATGGCGGATATGCAACTGATCGGAACAGTCGGCAGTTGGGATTCGATTGCCTCTTTTACCTATTCCGATACTTCTAGAAGCATTCCAATATAATATATTATTCAGGATAGACTAACCTAAATATTAGCAAACATACTTTGACTTTTCGAACTATCACAGTGCTTCCTTAACCCTTTGGTTAAACATCATTGTGTCTTTTCACTTCTTCACTTTCTTACCTCTTCTCCCACAGTCCACTTTTTATTCACACTTGGGTGCTCCTCTACGTTGTCGCCGACAGCAAATCTAAGAGAGTCTCTAGATAGCTATGATAAGATGAATACAGACCTAACTTGCTAAGTTCAGATTCTTACAAATATGAACAAGAGATTCAAAAATTGTTATTTCATTTGTTGCTAGTGTTAAAGTGAAGGGCGCAAAGAGATCAGTAATTCTTCTTATAACGACTGATGTCTATGTCAAGGTATTATTGGGTGATTGTCTTATATTATGAGACCAAGCCTGCATGAGATAAGCATCATATTGTCGAACAGGACCGTTGATTCGTGTTGGGCTGACCTTGACCTTCTGTAGAAGGATCTATCCTGTGCCCCAATACTCATATCAGCTTAATTACAATCATTAAAGCAGCACTAAGCGAGACTCCATACGCCAAGCCCTGGTATTGAAAGAAACAGAATAATCTACAGGTCATATCGAAATGATATATTGTTCCTGAATATTCTGGTTCTGGAATATGAAGTTTCTGGGCCACTCCAGCCATGGAGTGAGTCGACTGGGTAGAACAGCCGAAATGCTGGAAAACAGCGAATGACCTCGCCGTCCGACGAACCAGTAGTTACAAAAGACATGGAGTTGAGCACAGTAAAAGCCTAGCAGTAAGAGTGCGACGGCGTGCCTTTGCCTCAGAAGACCGAAGAATTCCTCATTGACAGAGAGCGGCCACATGTAGATCATCCCACACTCCAACGGCAATTCAGCATTGTGGATAGCCTTAAATGATAATGTCAGATTGTCAAGCGCTTGGAAAAGTGTGATTCTCTCTTCAGGTTCCGCTGTATCCGACTCAACAATCTGCCTAAGCCGGTCAAGCTGGGGCTCCACTCCTTGAAATATATTGTTTGACGTCTCCCTAATCACATTGTGAGCTGCGAAATCCCCAGCCCCCGTATTGGTGGCTCTAGAAGGGTTGGACCTAAGAAAATGCGAGGGTTAGATGTGTTGGCTCGTTGTACGACATGCTCACAAGAAAGGGGGAAGGCTGGAAATAGAACTTACTCTCCATCAAACTCCTGCATACCAAACTCCTGCCGAAAGAGTGGGCCTAGAGAACTGTTTCGCACATGATTTATGTAAGGCCTGAGGACTAGGGTTCCCCGACACAACTTGAACAAATGAAGAGTGGATTCGAGCGTGTCGACCATGTCGACCTCCGCGGACTCCGCTGGGGAAGCATATACGTAGACCATGATCAGGCTTGAAAAGGCGAACAATGCACAGCAGTTGTCAGTGGTGGGCGACGTAAGTATTCTGCGGAAAGAGCGCAAGCCGAGGGAGATGTGGAATCTGGAGCTTGTTATGTACCGGCTGTGATTTTCGGGTTTAAGATGGGCGAGGTGGAGCGCCGACAGGGCAAGAATGCCATGCATCAGGAATTCATTGGAGTAAGCCAAGGTCGGGAAAGCAATTTGCCATGTATCTTGCATTTGCTGCCGCCTAGCGAGAGACTTGGAAGTGTGGAGCGTAAAATGATGCATTAGTTCGGGGTCCTGGCTGCTCCATTCTTGGGCAATGTAGGCCGCCTCTGCTACCCTCTCAAGGAACGAACCAAAGGTATCGCCATGAGAAATCGATGGAAATTGCGAGTTGCATAACTCCCGAGGAGATTGCACGCCAGCTGCTAGACCTAACACATTGCCCAGTCCTTCTCTAATAGGAGAAGGACTGTGATGATGACGTTTATAGGTGCAATTCATACCACGCCTTGAGCAATTACCGCAGGGATGGTCCTCATTGCACTAGATCAGATGAATAGGGCCATAGGCGTGCATGTAAGTAACAATCTACAGGAAGGCGGTCCATGACAAATCTTGGATGGAAATTCAACAGGACAAACCTTGATTCTTCTTTGTTTGCACTGGTCACAACCATTGCGGGACTTTTTATGCGACCTCCGCGTAGCCATAACAGGATAGTAAGGTGCCAGGGCAGCTGAGGGCTATATAAAACCCCGGTAGGAAATACCCGCATGTATGTGGTGGTCACCTAAGATTAGAAAAAGCGAGAACATGAGGTAGGCATTTTGAGGATAAGAAGTGCATTGTAGTAGTAAGAGGTGGTGGCGGACTGGCGGTTGCGGCAACTAACTGAGTCAGGCTAGAGACACGCACGGAAGAACGAACCCACAAAAATCTATTCTAAGACTACCAGAAGTACGAACACGAAAGCGAAAACGCGTCAACCCAACCAACTATCCCATGCGAATCAGATGAGATTTTAAGTCGGCCCCAGTCCCACCGCCTTGGCCCACCCCAATGCACGTTCATTTCGTTCAAAAAGCGTATGACACATGTAAACAGTCCTATAGGCCTCCCTGTTCCACCGTTCGAATTGTTTAGGACCGGTCAGTATAAACAAAGTGCGTCAACTAGAGGGTGCCCCGGAATGACTCGAATGAGGGTGTGCAAGCTACTCCATTCAACCTGGTAATCTACTCCCCACAGAGTAGACAAGGTAGACGCGCCTTATTGCCTTGTTCCCCCGTTTGAGCAAAGCGTTTATCTCACTCGGATGGATCCATGCAAACACGCCCATGTTCAGAAGCATTAGCACGCCATCGAAAATATACATGTATGCTTCGTGTGTCACGAGATAGCCGTCGTTGCCTTGACCATATTCGATGAGGCGGAAGATGGAGCGGACAAAGATGAGAAGGCTGCCACTATACATGGCGTAAATGTGCCTCTCCCACGGCGGCTGCGAATGGACGACTTTCCGAGTCGGACCATTTTGAATCCCAATGTGGAACTTGATGGTGGTCCCCAGAAACAGAGAAAAGAATATCAGCTGTACGACTAAACCTCCGATAATTATGTGCTCGCCGGTGGAGAGCGCGCTGGCACTACCACTTGCCATGATGCCGCCGCCTTTGAGATAGTTAGCTAGGAATACTCGGGCACAATCGCACTGCCTTGCTCGACCTACCGGCGCCTTGCATGATAAACGAGATGATATCGCCCAAGAGGAAGATCTTGGTCAACCACTGTCGCCTGATCCAGCAATGTATGTCCCCATTCGTCAGTAGGACTATCCGGCCCAATTCCATGTAGATGCTTGCGGCAAATAAGGTGGGAGCAATCAGAAGCAGGAGGGTTTGCTGAATATAGGGTTGGACAGTCCAATTTGGACTTTGTGTCCCCGAGATGGCTCGCTCATCCAGAAGTTAGTATAACTTCCTCCCCCCACGGGACGGAATCTATGAATGAGACTCACTCCAATGTAGCCGATCCATTCAACTAGTGATTAAACGCCAAATGAGCCCTTGAAGCAAGTCGTGTGCAGGAATTGGGAGGACTTACAATATCCACCAAGGACGAACGGAACAAAGAACCATGTTCTAGTCCGGGCAACCTGGTACGTATGGATGCAGGAACCAACAACGAAGAGAAGAACAAAGACAACAGCCGCACCAATAGAAGGATCATATATATACAGTTTAAAACTAGAAGCTTCAGTGGCCATGGTGTTATACCAGAAAGGGAGAGAAATCCAATATAGTGAACCAAGGAAAAGTAAAGGAAACAAGGGCAACTTCAAGTAACAGGGGTGGTTGTGAAATTTCTATGAATAAAGATGTAGATGTGCTAATTTATATTAAGAATCAAACGTCTCACCTCCTATTACAGCTACTCTATAATAAGCGTGAATTAACTCAGACACAGCTAAAGTGGGCTTCCATTGCAGTACAGTATAGCTAAGAAATCTATGCCAGTGAGTAAGACAAGAGACAGATTGTGATAGTTGATAGCTTAGAGATCTTTTATAGGTCATAGTTACTGTTTAGACAACAATTTGTACAGTCTGATGGTAGAGGTGTGATTCCAGGGACTGCCCTGAAAGACAGCTTCCAAGGCTGGCGATGAAACTGACAGCGTCAGGAAGCCTCATAGTCTGCGTGTCCCACGGGCATATTGCAATCATTCGCCCATTCCCCGGTCATAAGCCGCGGATCCATCAGCAGAGAAATTTCTCGTAGTCGTAGCCGTAGCCGTAGCCGTAGCCGTAATCGTAGTCGTAATCGTATTTGCTCAGACGGGGTGTACAGCAGAGTTCCGTTCCTATATAAATAAACTAAACAGAATACATGCTCTTTTCTTTCGTGGATTATTAACTTCCCTTTTTTCTTCTCTCTACTAAGACGGTTCACTGTTGCTCACGGTAGACAGTTTCTAGTCTTCCGTACCCTCACTTGAGATGGCAGGCGACGGTCAGATCGATTTCAAACTTTATAGATACACCCCATCGACAGCTGCAGCGGCGCTTTTTGTCGCTCTGTTTCTTCTCACAACGATATACCATGTCTACCAACTCAGCCGGACGCGGGCTTGGTATTTCATAGCATTTGTAGTCGGGGGTTTCTGTAAGTGCCAATTGCGCTGCATCCTCCTATCATGGCTGCTGTGACCGTCCCAGGAAGCTAATGGATGTCAGTCCAGATCATTAGCTACATCTGCCGGATCTTGGCCCATAATCACAAGGAATCGGTCCCAATCTATAGTGTGCAAACTATCTTGATTCTCCTTGCTCCACCGCTTTACGCCGCCTCTATCTATATGGTGCTGGGTCGACTGGTCACTTATCTACAGGCAGAAAGGCTCAGCTTGGTTTCAGTGAGGTGGATGACCAAGATCTTCATTACAGGCGATGTCATTGCCTTTTGCATGCAAGCTGCAGGTGCGCAAGGCCTAATGTGCTCCATAAGCTATGCGATAGTACTGACGCTTTTCCGGGCTCTAGGTGGCAGTATCATGGCGAGCGGTACGATCAGCAGCTACAACCTCGGCGAGCATATTACTGTCGGAGGCCTATGTGTTCAATTGGCCTTCTTCAGCTTCTTTATAGTCACCTGTGCGTTATTTCATTCCCGAATTCGCAAATACCCTACGCATGAGGTAACAGCACTTGCGGCTCGGCTTTCTGAAAAGACTTCACGAACGTGGGAAACTGTGCTCGTGGGCCTGTACGCCGCAAGTGTCCTGATTCTGGTGAGGTCGATCTTTCGCTTGATTGAATATGCGCAGGGGAACAATGGGTACCTCATCAGCCATGAAGCCTTCATGTATATTTTCGATTCTGCTTTGATGTTTCTGACCATGGTTGCCATGAATTTTTGTCATCCGTCAATGATCTTGGTTGGGTCAGAGAAAGAGCCTGAGGCCGAAATGAGTTCCCCTACCTCTCAGACAGAATTGACTTGAGCCAGTCAACGTGCTGTCTCTGACACGGGTCGGGTGTGACGTCTAAAGGAAGCCAAGCATCACTCTGGGAATTCCACCTATGAAACTGGGCTTGAATATAATCAAATAGGAAGCTCTTGTATTGGTATACTGGCGATGTGGGATACATCATACTGTTTTCTATACTTTAAGTTTGCTCCCGCGTCTAGTCTATGAAAACAATTGTATTCAATGCATAAGTACCGCCACATCGGTTTGCGACCCGATATGGATAACTAGTTAGTCTATTCCAATCAGGTTAAAATATGGCCAGCCATGCTTGGTTTGGTCGCTGTCATCTTCTACAATATCCTTACAATATTCATTACCTGGTGTATTTCTGCCACACAGGCAGCCTATCCACAGACATTATCAATACACTACTGCGTAGCTACCCCTTTCGCCCCAAGTCTAATAGAGAATCCAGGTCCTGATCCTTGAGGACCAGCTCAAAGTAAGATAATGTGCTATGGGTCACCGCACATGCTGTTCTAAAAATGGCTCAGTATATATCTCCATGATTGCCTTTGATTTCAGCCCTTTGTAGTAGATAAAGCAATACTTCTGAGGAGAAAAGGTTATTGCCGCTGTTTATGATGTGCTATAATGGATGAGGAGATCCCTTATAAGTCCCTAATGAGTTAGTTGCACGCATTTTAAAGTCCAGCTCAACCTAAAGTATGTAATGGGGAGTTAAGCATCTAGGCTAAAAAATGCTGGGAGTTCACAAGACGATGTATAAAGATGCCATACTGAAAAGAGCAAAACTAGCCACAAAAGGGAATTCACGGGCCCTTGCTTTACAAATAAATTATTCAGTGGAGGATTATATCTCTGGGAACTAGGCAGATAGTCCCATTTATTCCTCTCTTGGACGGTTATCAAATTCAGCTGCTGCATGGCCAATTTACGGCAGGCAATGCCACCCAATAAGCAGCCATTCTCAAGGACGATCGAGATAGGTCGATCATCGAGCCATAAGCTTGGATGTCTTAGTTCCTTGTCTAATAAACATAAATGCCAACATAACGGGGCAATGCTCTTCGTGGCGTCCTTTCAAAACGCCATCTCATTCATATATTAGGTTGTGGGTGATCCAGAAGCCTTTTAACAGGTCCACTTTGGACCCCTGATGTTTGGGTCAATGCATACCAATAGCTGGACCTGCTTTGCAGTGTCTTTTAATTGTTTGCGCCGGAATGGCTATCAATCATGAGCTTCATGTGCTCAATAATTGGGCTAGAACAGATCAACACACAATACACGGCAGATACACGGGCTGCCGGACTCCGGGGTAATTGTAGCCCCATTCTTACTGGCGGGCTTGACAATCTCGGACTTCTTGGTCTATTAACGGGTGGACCATGATCTGCTGCCCGATATCTAGGTATATTTGTCACCGACTCTCTTTCTTCGGGCTTATTGTTTATAAGACCGAATGATTCCATTGACCGCTCACTTTGAATCTCTAACTACAGCATTCTTATGTTGATGCTGACCACTTCGTCTGAGGCTTTAATATAGTAGGCTCCAGGTTTTCCTAGAGTTCAATCGTGCTTGACGGCTCTTGAAGAACGGCAGGCAGTGATTTCACCTCACGAGCATTGTTCCCCGAGGGTATCTCATGATGCAGCAAGATAACCAGTCTTCAAAGGTACTGTGTTTACCCGGTTTCGTAAAAACAGCCGTTGACATGAACTCTACAGGAGAGTAGCACTACTGTGGCGCATCCGCCAAACGGAAATCCAGACTCGGAGGAACTGGTCTATCAAGCAAAAGAACGCTATAAAAATGCACTCAATTCGCTGATCACCCTTATCGCTCAAGGCGACAATGACAGTATTAACAAGCTTTTGGAGTTTCTACGGAAGCAAGATACCATCCATGAGGCGGTGCAGGAGGTGTTGCAGTTGAAGTTTCTTCCGGAGTAGTCGTTCTATGCCAACCTCAGTTTTGGCATCTCTGGTGGGGAACGGAAAATTTTTCCTTGGGAAGACAATCGAGTTTTTTGGAGTGGCTTTTATGGAATAAGTTGGGGTGGGCCTTGGATAGCATATCTGGAAGACGATGTCTGATGCATCATTTTGGGGGTGTTGCACGTGCAAAACAGGAAATTGATCAATCCCGACTAATGCACTATCTGCATTAGTTGATGCTCTCGGTGTACTCCCCATTGGTTGGAAGTTAGTTCCATCTATCAGAGTGCGAGCTACTCTCGCTGTTGCTTTGCCATAAAAGTCTATTCTGCTTCATCTGCGCTTCGACGTGGACGATACGCTAAGACTACCGCCATCTCAGCAACGAAACCTCGCGTACGGGCTAGGCCAGGCTATCAGATAAAGTACTGTGCTCTAGCTTTGCAGCAAGTCGGAGCATAGCTACCCAATGAACGGTCGAGAGGTAGCCTCTGCCCACCAAGGACTCCTCGCAGACGCATCCCACACATATCAGTCAAATACTTCCCTAACGACAGAAAGGGTGCAAGAGCCTTGGAGGACAGTGACCTTCGAGATCTGTGTGAGGCACGGATCGGAATGCTTGCTCAATTTGGACGACCATCCGTGGAGAAGGTAGGCTCATAAGCGCAAGTTCAGGCACCTCGAGGACGCACGAGGCAATTTCCTGCATATCATTGGAATCCTTGGACATCGTCCGGCAACGACGACCATACAAGGACCCACATTCTACAGAGTAATGATAGCTAGGGGAGGTGAAGATATTCATTGAGTAGGAGATTCGGCGAGGTCAATCCGAGAAGAGGCCTGAGCTGACAGAAGCCCTAAACGGTCGTCACTTCGAGTGGAAGGCTGAGGAAGAGTCAATTACCAAATTACCCCATATTTTGTCTCCACAAAGAAGGGACTACCCGAGGAGTATGCATCCCGGCGAGCTTAACCGTAACAGTGTGCACGAGGCAGGGACAGCCATCCATGCACGTAATATACACTTTATTGGTCCATTTGCATAATATATATCCGTGACTGGGTCTAGTTGCTAATGATTCCTAGTATTGTTTCTATCAGCAAGGATAGTTGATTGTATCCCAGACTACCTAGTAGAATGGCCAAAGAACCTGCAGCTCATCTCTCTACGCCACGGAGGGTTTGACTTCGTCCGCAGTTGCCACAACTAGTAATTCGCCTGATCATTCCAGTACAACGTCCCATGATGCACCTCAGGCCCGGTAGCCCCAAACTCCCACCCAAACTTCAACTTGACCCACTGCATTAGATGCGCGGCGATCTTGATGTGCCCAACATCAGTTGGATGCCACTGCGGCGCGATATCGTTGTGCTGCAGGATCCCCGTCGTGTCGAAATAATGGATGAATCCCTGCTTCTCGTAATGCTGGTAAACCCGCTTGATCTCATCCACCCATATAGGGCCCTGCACGTATGTATCCCCCGAAGCTCCGAAACCGCCCCATAGCGACTGCATCGTTAGCATTGTACGTACTTTGTTGGGGAGACTCACCATGAGAACGATATTGGCCTTTGGCCAGATCTTGTGGATGTTGCCCACGAGGTTGACATAGTCGTTGTAATAGTCTATGCTGGAGACATTGTTCGTCGGGTTGTTGTCGTTTGTGCCAATGTTGATGACCACCAGATCGGCTGGGCGTTGAGCTGCAAAGTTCCACCTGGGTGGATTGTCGCCGTAGATCTCGTGTGCGCGCCAGGAGGTGTCGGAAGTGCGGTACCATTGGTAGGCCTGGTGGTCAGTTTGGGAGACAACAATGCAGGCCATCGCTCACCTGACCGCGGGGATTCCCCCAGCAATTCTGATCGTGGAGGCAGATACCGGGATAGGCCTTGTTGGTCAGTATTGGATGTAGCAGATGAGGGAGAGAACGCACAGTAATGGAGTATTCTACGTTTCCGAGTCCTGCTGCAAAATCGTACGCCCATGAGGATAGTCCCTCGTATGTCGCGTAGTCACCGGAGCTCAACCTACAGTGATCAGTATGTCACGTTTCTGGAGCATGTTATGTGCACCTACGAGTCTCCGATGATTTCCACCATCCTCGGGTACTCGGGGACCCTGGAGATCTTTGCATCTGCCGCAACGGATACACCGGCCAACTGGATCGTGCGTGTTGTCAGTAAATTCCTGCTGTCTAGGGAGCCGGGAAACGTATCCATAGGCCCAGTTCGTAACTGCCAATGTTAGCAAGATCTTATATGAGCGTCCTGTACGTGCCTACCTCTCAGTTCAAAGGTCCTTATGTCGCCAGCTTTAGTGAGATTGAGCCCCGTCGTGGTAGGGCCAATGAATTGATATGTGGCATTGGCAGTGACATTGGAGAATTGCCAGTCCTGGCCACCCAGTCTGCAACAAATTAGCCTTGCATGAGACCCGGCATCCGACATACCTGTATGCCACGAGGACCCCTTGACTGGTGTATTGGCCAAAGGACAAGGCGAGCTATTCTGTTAGTCTATCATCTCATTCCAGGAAAGACCATCGTACCCTTTCACCAGTGAATGCAAGCTTGAATCCAGGAGCCCTAGGAAATGTGAACGAGAGTCAAGTTGCAGTGACTGCTGTACATACGACCACCCTACTCTTATCAGTGATTCTTCTTTATGTCCTTCTGTTGGACTCACACGAAATATACTTATCATCCCATCTGCCCTTGTAGGAAATCTCCTTTACACCAGGCTTGTAGGTCCTCCATGTCTTTTTGTCTAACGTAATGACCTCGGTTTGCCCCGGATACGGGTTCAACCGCGCCTGGCCATTCTCAAGAATCGTTGCTGATGCACCGAATAGCCAAGTGAAGAGCAAAAGGAAAGCAAGAGCTCGCATTTTGACGGCCCCAATTCTCAAAGTACCTGAAGTATATTCAACTAGTCTGCGGTCGCATCTCCTTTTCAATATATATACTCATGCATGTCTCCTCGCTCCAATGGACGACCCCGCAAAGCAGCCTGTCCCAAGTACCATATTCTCTTCAGATCGAATGAAGCAAAGAGCATGATTGGTGGCTGAATTATTCATGCAGAATACTGAGGGGTATATGTAGTATACATTAATGGTCACTGGCAGTTCAGCCTGAACTGTGCAGCGGCATTTTTCTCCGTGCTCGATCGGGAAGAACGCCGTTTCCGCCGGTCTGAATATATCAGTCACCAGCAGAAATACTTCATTTGCGGTCTTTGGAGATCAGGAGGAGGGGCAACCCTATAACTCTTTTGCACACATCCTCATTGCTGAACTACCATCGAGTGGCCCGATCTTTCTATGGCTGAGGCCCAAACTTCACGATCCCTCCGTGAACCGCTAGGATAGCCAGGAACAATGAATAAACCCGCTACATAGCCAGCATGAACACAGATCACGACCGATTAAGACGAACGCGCCACTGGAACGGATCAAGCTTGATGGTCTTCTTCGGATCCTCAGCCCAGTCCACATTAAGCCCTTCCTCTCGTAGCCTTGCGACGATTTTCCGGCCGATATTCACCACGGTCTCGTCCTTACTATCCTCTTCGAAATCTCCGTATCGCAGCGATAGCCCCCCGCCTTTGACTGCTGTCTCTGTATCCTGCTGATGGAAGAAGCAGTACCCAATGTGTGATTCATTCGCTTCCCCGCCGATCTCAGCATTCCCGCAGGTCTGACAGCAGGTGAAATCCATCCGACAGATGATGCGGTCTTCGTCTTCTAGACGGGAGAACGCGGTTTGGAGCTTTTCGACGTGGGTGGGTTCATCGGGCCATGTTGCCTCTTCTTCTAGTTGCTGGTTCCAGAGGGACTGAATCAGTTCTTTGACCACGGTTGTGCCGTGCTCCGGGAGTTCGTAGATGTCGATGAGCTGCTGGAGGATTTCGGCCTGGGAGTAGAGTCCGCCGAGGACCCGTAGACGGGCGTCTTGTGTGATGTCGTTGATATTGGACGCATCCATGATGAAGGTTGACTGAGCGTCAGCAATGACAGGGTGTTACATCTAGACAAATTTCCGTTGGTTTATTTTTAGAACGAATACGAGGTGCCGCCATGCCTTTCGTGTGCCTCATAAGCAATACAGCATGTCAGATTACAAATGACGTTAAGAAAAATCCAGTTATTGATAGCAAGACAAATCATATCATAATAGGCCGTTATTCAAATACTGACATACTCCAGGTTGATCACTTCTTAGCCAGCGACGCAATCTTCTTCTTCGTCTGCTCCACAACGCTCTTCTCATCCCAGATAAAGTTCACACTCTCCTGCTGCACCGTCGCCTTGGCCCACTTCGTAAACGCCGGAGTCCGCTTCTCCAACAGCTCAGGCAAGTCCTCCCTCAACAGTCCATGCTCAGGCTTATGGAGCGCAAGCAACCGCAGCAGGAACGAACCAGTCAAGACCTCCGCCAGGGTCAACTTCTCACTCCCGCCGAAGAATGGCCCGGATCCCTTCTGCGAGGCCAGAATGGGTTCAATCTCTTTCTCGATCGCTGCGACGATAGCCTCGCCTGCTGCGGCGCGGTCCTCGTCGCTTGTGGCACGCTGAGAGGCCATTACATGCGGCTGGACCTTGCTGAGGAAGGTATCGACGAAGAAGGCGATGCGTGCGCGCTGCAGGGCGCCTTCGACGCTGTTGGAGGGAGGGACGAGGTGGGATGGGTGCGCGTCTGCGAGGAACTGGGCGACGATGGCTGACTCGGTGATGATGTTGCCGTTGTAGGAGATGGTGGGAACGAGGCCGCGCTATAGTTGTTAGAGTAACGGTCATTCTCAAAGAGGAAGCGGTCCTACCGGGTTGATCTCAAGATACCATGGCTCCCGAGGTGTGTTCAGATCGATGATAACCTCTTCGTAGTCAAGGCCGAGCTCCTTGAGGGCGATATGCGCTCTGTGGGCCCAGGGGCATCGGTGGTTGGTGTAGAGGGTGATTTTTGGAGCGGACATGTTGCTGTTCTAAGTTCGCGGATGGTGAGATTGTTGACTACCCAGGAATGAGTGAATTACTTGGTTTATATAGCAAGCACAACAATCAAATTGGATTTATAAGCCTGCGGAATGTGGCCATAGTGAGGGGCAATGACGATAGATTCCAGTAGTTTAGTGTGGGAATTGTGGAGAAGAATGCCATTGCTTATCAATAAATGCCCCGCTTAATCTTATTGCCAACATATTCATCACAATAAGCTGAAAGCACGACGAGTCTGTTCGCATGTTTTGATATACTGGAAAAACAGCTCTGAGGCGCCGGAGCTTGCAGTAACGGAGAACTTGCGTATGTGTGGCTTCAGACCTGCAGAGGTCTCGGGTATAGCAGATGACGACCCGGAAGGAGACTGCTTTAAGGAGATTAAAGTACCATCAACTGCAGTTCTTGTAGTAAATTCCATTTGTACAACACGAAGACCAGATCCGAGCCACACCATGAGGATATTACCCTTGTAGATATCCCTGCTAGTCCTGCCTCAGGTAAGCTTATCGTGTCACGCCTCCACATGCGTCAGAGCGTCACAAGCTTGCTACACAGAAATGATTCAAGAGACCATAATTCTCAACTCATTATTAGTTAGATTATACCAAATTCGAAGCTCTATATACATAAAAACCCCAAAACCTTCCCCGTCAAGGATGCAAGCTCTCATCGTAGTTCGAGAAGCAACAAAATAGATACATCACATCACCCTCCTGACATTATATTATTTCCAATAGCGCCGGCGCAGTCAAAGCCATAAATTTCCGTAAGTCATGCAATTTAATATTCGTTTCGAAGACACAGATCACCGAAGGGCCAGGTACTGAGCAACAGCCTCGTGGTGAACGGCTGCAGCGGTGTAGTCCTTCACTGGTGACTTCTTGCTTGGAAGCTTAGGATCTGAAGGCGCCTTCTCGGCGGCCTTCAGCTTCAGTGACCTTGTGAACATGCCCTTGAGCGTCGAGGTTGTGGAGGATGTTGTGTGTGTTGAGGCGCTGTCCATGGTGGTGGTGGACTTGAAGGACTTGGGCGACATGTTGACGCGGTTATGTTCTTTGGAGGACTCGGTGTTTTGTATATTGGTTCTGTTTCGCTTGGTAGTGCTCAGGTGGAGGATTGCTTTGTAGTGGCCGCGCAATGTATGAATAGGAAGTGCTTTATGATATTTTGGGATCTCTTCGAGAGCTCGAGGTAGACAACTGAGACGATCACAATTGACTGAGATGATTGTTAATTTGATGCTGGATGTATATTCTTGATGAAGATAACTCTCAACAGAGATCTTTGGATCTTTATATACATCTTTCCTCCCTCAAGGCAGGATATCAGTTCACTCATCGTCATGGATGACAAACTCACCAAATATGACAAACACAAAGAATGACGCAAATTCGAGCCTGGACACAATGTTTGAGTAATAGGCAGAATCACCTGCAAATTCTGCAAATTCTGCAAACCAGCCATAATGGAGTCATCGGGGCCTGAGTTTGGCATAGTGCCTCGTATCTGGCCCACTGGTGCTGCTGGTGGCTCGATGCCGAGCCTTCAAAGGCGTGTCAAGTGCCAATTTTGAATGGTTGAGAAACAATCCCAAAGGATGTCTGAGATCGGTGAAGGTGACTCAGGCTGCAAGGCGAGTTAAAATACGAGAAATCTTATTAAGCGCATGGATCTAGTCAATTTGGAATGGGAAGTTTGTATGGCTCCGTAGTTCGTATACAGTTAATAATCTTGGCAGGCTTGATCAAAGTATGGATCCGCATCTGTGCGTTTCTTTAAATGTCGACATGGGCTTATTAATAGCCCTTGAATATTTTATCCAAGGTGAAATCGACGTAATTCAAACCAGCCAAGAGATACTTGCTTTGGAGTGTCAATGTGCATGTGTCTTTCCCCATATCCACTGGGCAGTGCATGACTCAATATTCGGCATCAGTCCGAGAATGATTTCTACTTCTAATTTCTCCATAACCTCCCTATGATAAGTATTCCGCAAATACGATCCTTGGCCGAGCTGGCCAATAAGCCGATAGATTGAAAGCCTCAAGTTTTCCATCATGCGCGTTCTTCGACAGCGATTTCGGAGGCTTTGAGTCAAATTTACCAACCAGTCTTCATAGATAAGTAGTATCCAATTGCATAGCCGCCATTCTCGCATTGACTGCCTCTGTTGACAAACCTGTCTTTAGACAACGAAACAAGGCGGTGCATGTGGCTTGCTAGAGTTCAAATTGCACGATCATTGCATAGAAGAGAGAGGAGTTGATTAGCACTAAAAGGCTAGGCTTCACGCTGCAAGCTAGGTATATTTCTGCGACAGAGCATGCAGTCTCTCCCTCGCTCCATTCTCCCAATCATCCCAACACAAACTCAACATCGCCGAGTGACGGCCCGGCCCAAGCTTTTTCTGACCAGTTGGGTCCAACCCAGGCATTTTGTCGTCAATGACACCGTTCTCATTTCCCTTCTTGCCCTCTGGCAGCACTCGTTGCCAGCGAATGATGCCCTCAAGCTGGAAACCGAGGCGCTGCGCCGCGGCAATCGAGGCCTGATTGCCGCTGAAGGCCTGCCATTGGACGCGTCGGAGATGGAGTCCATTAGGTGGAGGATCCAACATATGGTTCAGAAGGAGCGTGTGGGCTGCCGTTCCCACAAATGTTCGATGAAATCGTGGAAGAATCACAACCTATGCGGGTAAGTAGGTCTACATGGCAAGTACGCAAGAATACCTACATTTCCCACCTCGACAACAGAGTTGTCTGGATCCGCCCTGATCAGGCCGGTGGTCCCTGCAAAGGTACCATCCTCCACTTTCAGCTCCTCAAACTCATCGGAGCCAGACTTTCGCTTTCTGACGATGCCGGCTTTGAGGATGATGGCGAAGATGATCGATTCTTTGGCGGGGCGAATGCGATTGCTATACCACTGGTCATATGCGACGGGGCTTTCGAACGGTCCATAGGGAAGATATTGGAAGACTTCGGGGGATTCCGACGACAGTTTCACGTATGTCGCTGACAGCTCCTCGAAATTAGACTACAACTGTGAGGTTAGTGGTCGTAGCAGGTTGAGAAGTAGCGAGCGATTACATCAAATGGGACTAGTCGGAGACGGTCATTTTCCAGTTTTGACAGGTCTAGCGGAAAGTAGAAATTGTCCATGTTGAAAGATTCAGGGGCGTGATGGGAAAATACAGCGTACTCTCAGACTCGGTCAAGATCTAGTAAGAGTCGGTCCGTTGTATTTGGCGAAATCGGCAGTTTCGAATTCTCCGCTTGACGGGACGTTCTGACTCACAGGGCTGCGATGCGGTGCGCCAAGAGCATCAAAATGATCAAATGAAGGAGGAAAAAGCATCTGATGGCAAAGAGGCTTTTCTAGGCCGAAAAGTCTTGGCATGCTGACTAGATCGATGGATGCTCGTATTGAAAGTGGATATTTGTCTGCTTACGGTCTACTTGTTTCGGACTGCAAAAGTGCCTTTTAAGCGGCATGCTACATCGGAGCCTCTACAGTGCTTGTTTCGTCAAAGTACTATCAAATTGACGCGTGGAAGTCGACCCTTGTGAATTGCACTGCCAACTTCAAAAAGCCAGAAGCATAGAAGAGTGAAACAAACTGCCAAATTGTGCCCAGAAGACCCTGCATATGATGTGCATCCTTGATAAGTTGGAAAACAATGCTGACATGTAGATCTAAGAACCAATTCCGGTGAATATGGCGAGCAATGAACGCGACGCTGCAAGAAGCAAGAAGGCCACAACTTAATACTTGGCCTGCACCGATCCATAAGACACTCCGTTGAACTCAAGATTAAACAAAATAGAGGCAGAAGTAGGTGTCATGGCAATCTGAAAAGGGATTGTGTAGTACTCCTCTCCCGCGTAATTCGTTTTACTGCGGAACAAGTTGCGTGGAATTGCGCTGAGGTTTGCCTCCAAAGTGCAGACCTTGAAGACATCTAGACCATAAGGTTAGCAAGCAGTCAACAGCAATGTGTGCTATTCCATCATACCCTCAGTGAGATGATCTGGTGCGTCGTCGAGGTTGCAGATGTACAGCGAAGTGGTGACTTGTTTCAGTTTTTCTATGCAAGACACCTTTGGCAGGTTACGGGACCAGCTCATTCTGATCGGCTTGTCCTCAGAGATAGGCTTCCCCTGATATAGATCAATTAGGGGAAATCCAATTGACCAGTTGGGGCATGGGCATATCCTCACCTTTTCAATGTACCACTTCATGCGGTTGCCCACGTACCACTTTTCAGTCAACGCGTTCCAGTATTTGTCCGCTGCATTATGACGCCGCGGATTGTACTCGATGTCAAATTTGATGCCGTAGTGGCATCGAGCAATTCGCTCTCCTACCTGATTCCCTCCTAGCCCTCGCAGAACCGCTCCACTGGAATCTTGTTAGGGAGGTCAATGGTTGTAGCAGAAGATTGGGAAACCTACCGAACAACGGCGGACCATCTGCAGCAGTGTCAGTATGTGCTTTGTGTGGGTATTTAATATCATCGCGAAAGACTCACGCATTAGGGGGCTGCATCACAGTCACATTCACCACGGCGGATTGCAATCGTCGGAAGAGATATTCGGAAGAACCAAAGCCTCCAACCAAAAAGATAGCCTGTTTAAGATCAATTGTAAGTGGCTGTAAAGGTCGAAACTACCTGGTAGTTTCGCTCACCTTGGCCCGCATTCCAGCCATGGATATTTGTACCATCTGGTCTTGTACCAGTCTTTCAACTTCATCGACGACAGGAAGAAATATGCCCCCGACGTTCTCCCTATTCGTGGTCAGTCTATCCATGTGGTGTCACTGATGAGATCTAGACCGACGTACTTTGTCATATTCAAGAATCCTCCCTCCAGTCCTATCTCTGGCTTGTCACCAACACCGCTTATAGGCACGGAGTAGTCCACTTCGGAATATTCGTCATCATCTTCAATCGAGAGACCGGCAAAATTTGGCTTCACAAAGTCCTGCCAGTAATTCAACGCTGTCTCACGAGTTCTGTGGGATACGCTCTGGTATGTTTTCTCCCCAAAAAGTCCGACCAGATAGCTTTCAAACCGCTTATCAAGAAGTACAGATCCGCATATTGCCCCTAAGTTCAGCTAGTAAGCATTGCTTCACAACGGGATTTCGGCAGTAGATATACCAGTTCCTTCTGTGACTTCCATTAATTCAAGAGGATTGATGCTCTTCACCCGGTACGAGATCAAGTCCTGCTTAAGTAAATATCGTCTTGTTCATCGCCGTCTTGGACATCACCTACCACCGTACCACCACCCGCATCGCATATTATAACCACGTCGCCGTTCTGATCAATAGTCAGCGCGGTGTTCCTTGATTTTCCGAAGCGTAATTACCTCAATGGTATTGGGTTGGATTGCGTTGAGGCATGACAGAGCCGCTGCTTCGGGCTCCGATACCAGGGTCACATCGAGCGCAGAAATGCCGGCATCAGTCGCTGCAGTTAGGGTTATGTTCTTGGCTTTGTCAGTCCAAACAGCAGGCACCGTCAGTACAAACCGAATCTCCATGCTATCCAAAGCATTCCCGAACCGACGGCGGAGGGTCTCCTTTGCCGAATTGACCAGAAGCTGAAGGTAATCGCGAGCAACGTCAACTGGTTCTTTGTCATACTTTGCTAATATCTCCTTTGACTGCACTGCAGGCGTGTAATCAATTTCCTGAGTCGGGTCAAGCAGAAGCTTGATACCGCGAACGACCTCGCCAAACATCGGTGTCTGATAGCCCCACAGGAGCTTTCCGTTCTCATAGGAGATAGTTGTAGGTACTTTGGGCGTTGTTCCTGCGAATATGAGCTCTTGATTGCTGGGGTTCAAAACTTTGAACTCACTCTTTCTCGCTCCTGGCCAGACTCTGACAACCTCAACATCGTCAGGACTGGACTCAAGAGCAAAGGCGACACTGGAAAGGTGAGTATTCGGAAGCCATCGAATGAACGGGAGATATTTACCCGCTGTACGTCGTGCCAAAGTCGATACCCACGACAATACGCGCACCTCCGGTCATTTTGATAAAGACTGAGGTCGATTCGACGGCAAGGAATAGGAGAAAGAGGTGAATGAAGACTTAACGTCTGCAGAGTAGCTTTGTAAGGGACAAGTAAAGAGATCGGGCTGGGAGGAATAGTGGCTGGGAAGACGACTCGAAAGGTGTTGGAGATTGCTGTAAGGAATGAATGAGACTAAGTAGACTTTTCAAACGAGTGCAGACAAAGTGGTTATTCAGGAGTGTAGTTGAGAAGATTAGGTAGGAGATTGTGATCAAGGGTTGATCTTATCATCAAGAAGCCTTGCAGCTTGTTCAACTCACTTCCTGCTCATGCCTGAGATCACTCTCAGTTCATCAGTCAAATAGCAGTCCTTGTTGGATTGTTATAATTGAACAATTCAGATAATCGTAAGTTTTTACTTCCTCTCACTCCATTTGTGATATTCTTTCGTGGCTCTCCTCTTTCCGGCTTGGCCCTGGAATGAACGATGGCTCAGTTATCGAACTAGGTATATAACCTCAGTCGCATTTTATTTGAGGCACAACTAACCTTACAGTAGAGCACAAGCAATCGATTCCTCAACAACGCAAAGCTCAAGCGGAGAAAGGACGGCAGTCTCGCTCACATACAGAGCGCAGCGGCAATCAACTGATCGCAAAAGCGGCAACGGACACCAGAGGCGCGATGGACGAGGGCTGGCATGAGAGAAGTCGCGCACGCCTTTTTAACGACATCGACCAAGTCTATCATCGGGTACAGCAAGCAGAGGAAAAATGTCGCAGGCAAAAGGAGGAAATTGAAGAGATTCATCACGAAGCCTCGAAACTATTGATGCAGAAAGATCAGCACATTGCTGAGCTTACGAAACGACTGAATGCCATGCAATACCATCCGGACATTCTTAATGATGACGAAGTCGTTCAAATTATGGCCAATCTCAGCCAAAAGCTGGACGTTTGGGTCAAGGGCAGCTTCAAGGATCCGAGTCGTCTGCAAAGTCTCCCGCAGCTGGAACCCCTGGATGTGCCGTACAGTATGGGAATTATCAACAAGCTGCAGAGTATGCATCAAAACTGGGCTTTCATCCGGGCATTCGTCACCTCATATCTCTTCTACTATTTCTTTGACGTATACATGGTCGGAGTCAGGAACGCGGACATTGAGTATAGCCTGATCACCATGGAGTCGGAGATTTTTGACAAATGTATGTTCTTGCTCCAACAGTCCTTATCAATTCAACCACAGCTGCTGACGATTGCTTGTCCAGGTCCAGGTCATGTGGCTGACAACTGGCGCTCAGCAACCAGCATGGGCATCCAATCTGTCACCAAAGGATATCTGGACGACGCAGCCATGAACTGCATGAGAGGAATCGAGCAACTCGGCTCCTGCGCATCTGCTGATGCCGGATTGAGAGAAAAGAAGGTATATGAACTCTTCCAAAGCTGTGTGGACTTTAAGCGACGCCTCGAGCGACAGTCAGCCCGCTATAAATTCTCACATACCCCCTCGGGCCACAGATTCATATCTAGCACAATGCAAAGCGTGACGGGACAAGAAGGCGAAGGCGCTGTTGTTGAGCATTGTCTGTGGCCAGGACTTTGGAAGGGGGACGTTCTCCTCTACCCTGAGACAGTCTGGACTAAGATGGACGAAGCTTCCGTGAAGGACTCCAGCCCAGGAACAGAAACAGCTCCCGTCCGTCAAGATGAGGCTGGTGTCTGTAGCCAGGTCCGAGGATTCTCCCGCATTTACTTGCAAACCCATCTTGGCCTTGAATGAAATGCGACCTTTTACGATTTACTCCCTGCGAAGAGGTTCATATTCCTGTGATGTTTTATGCGCTTATCAGATATCTCCCATTGTGTCCTATGTTTTCCTTGGTCTTCTAGTAAACATACATTCTCTGGCTCTTTTGGGTATTGGAGCAACTAATGTATCTAACGTCCTGTTTCCCCTGCTCCCAGCAAGTATTTTGATGTGTCACATAGTCGTCGCACTCCCAGTTTGTATTCCTGTTTGCTTGATCGTGCATTCCAACGCATTTCACCAGAGGGTCGAGATTCATATCACAAGTAAACGGAACCCGGAATATGAAAGCTTCAGATATGCATAGTCAGTTCTCTAGTTTTATATCTACTGCCATCACGTCCCAGTCGCCTGGACCTGCTGCTTGATGGCATTCACTGGGTTGTCCCAGGCAGGATCACACGGCTGATCAAGTAATTCTCAGTCGTGTCATTCAATTACGCCACCTACACGTTCGAAAGTCATAGATTAACATCGTTGTATCCCCATTGGCGCGTTTGGCCGCTTATTCTTGCACTTCGTCGCGCGGCACCCGAGCACCGAGATTGATATCAGAATATGGAGGCTTCCGGCATGCATAATCAGTCCCCTAGTATGCTCTTCCGGATTCTTCCACTATTGCATTAAGGTGAAGCCGAGGTCAGTAATCTAGTACCAGCCTCACGTAATTTTTCTTCTGATGCAAACCGGAACCGGCGTCTGAGCGCCCTGGAAAACGTGGGCTGAACCCTGTAGATCCTGTATAACGGTATCCATTATGGATGGAGGACGAATTTTGGATGGCCATTGCCTGTTCTTACGGGCCTTGGCTGGCTGAACAGTGCGTCTTGGTCTGGTATTTTAACCCCCGAGGCGTCAATCCTCCCTGCCTGTTGTAGTAGTTTTATTCCTGCGAAACCGGTCGGGGAATCGACTTTGTCCTACACGTAACGTAATCAAAGAGAGGCAATCTGAAACTGAGCTCGGTTTGAATGGCATCTGTTCGACTTTGACTACTCCGATCCGATGTTACTTGGGAGATCTAAGGCTAGTGCTCGTGGCAAGGTCGATTCCTCCTAGGTCACCTTGCATCTCAGCTGTGGATCGAAACTTTGAGAGCAGAGCCATGTCATGGACATGCACATTTATGCCTCTAATCGACATTCCGGCACTTCGAATCTGTAGAATTGAAACTTACCATCGTGACGAGCATTTCTCCACCAATTGTGCCTTAAGATGTATTTTCCGGCTGCATAGTGTGTCTCCAAACTAACTCCAAGACGCATAAGCAGCTAGGTTTCATGGCAATTGACTCACCCTTGCTGAAGGAACAGGAATCAAGCCTATCCAACACTGACCCGAAATGCACCGAGAATGTTCGTGAATCTCGGCATCCGGGCTAGGTCTACGCTGAGTGGCTGACATTCGCAGGGTCTCATGAGAAACCTTGACCGAGCCCTCATTCTCTCTTAAGATATATCTTATTGACCGCTAATCAAGCCAATCAGGTTGTTATATGGATATTAACTGCACTCAGAGCCACTGTGCAATATACCTTACGCGTATTTAGCTTTTGTGTGCCTTGAAAAGTTCCTTGATTCTAGACTAATGCTCAACGATGACCAATGTAAGAAAACACGAGTTAGGTAAAAAGATGAAATAGGAAAGAGAGAAAAAGAATTCAAAAAAAAATCAGACGCCGTTAGTAAACCCATTCCCTCCAGCTTCTGTGTCAATCCTCATCGAGTCCATCAGGCCGCACACCTCAAACAGCTTCTTGGGCCCCAGTCCCTCAGGGATGCCCGTAATACCCTCGTTCTTCAACCGCTCCAGGGCAGCCTTGATGCCCAGATACGCAGGCGCCAACGACGCAAAAGAGAAGATCATAATCCGGAACCCCATTTCCTTGGCCTCCTTGGTTGTAATCACCGGCCCGGCCCCGTTCTCAACCATGTTGAGCAGCAATGGCCACGGCGCCAGATCCTGAACCGCCTGGCGCGCCATCTCCTTGGAGGTGAAGCCCTCCAGCAGACCCACATCCGCACCAATGTCCCGTGCGGCCTTGAGACGCCGGATGCACTCGTCGTAGCCGTGCTGCTGCAGCGCGTCAGTGCGCGCAATCAGCACGATATCCGAACGGAGGCGGTCCTTGGTCTGCTTCGCGGCGCGGATGCGCGTGAGGTACTCATCCATGGAGACGACTTTTTTGCCCGCTAGATGGCCGCAGCGCTTGTTCTGAATTTGGTCTTCAATGTGGAAACCGGCCACGCCGGCTTGGATGTATTGCTGGACGGATTTAGCGACCATGAGGGGGCCTGGTGTGGTTAGCCAAGGAAGGTTGAAGAGGAGTGAGGAATACATACCTCCGTAGCCAGTGTCCATGTCAGCAATCAGAGGAGGACCAAAGGGATCCAGGTTGGCGATCATCTCTGCATTGGTTCTCATGTCGTAAAGCTGGGCCAGCCCGAGATCTGCCATTCCGAGTCTAGAGGCGGTTGTTCCCGCACCAGTCTGCGAGGTCAGCGTGTACACTGAAGGTGATGTGGGAGACACGGAGAGTATGCATACCATGTAGAGGGCCCTGAAGCCAAGTTGCATGGCAATCCGCGCGGACAGGCCATCGTAAACTCCGGGGCAGACGATCAGCTCGTCAGTATCACGGAGATACTTGCGGAGCTTAGTAGCACCGGCAATCATGTACAGGTTGATCGTGGGCTCACGGCTTTCTCCGTTGACCTCGTAGAAGCCGTCCTTCTCTACAGTAATGGTGATGCTCATTTTTGCAAAGTCCCGAGAAGGTAGTGGTGTTGAGAGGTTGGGAGATTAGTTGTGAAGTTTGTGATCTGGTCTGAGTAGACCCATCCTTTTATAACCTCATTTCTCTCACGATCCCGTTCTCGGTGCAATTTCCCCCCGTCGGACGCGACCCTTGTCGGGTATGTCTCATCATCGCAGCTGACACTGCTGGATAACACCCTCCATGTCGACTTGTAGCAACCACCTCGGCCATATCGAACCATATCCATGCTTATCACCTATATTAACTTCGCTTGGCGGCTGACGACGCAGGCGCGCCCAGAATGCGGGCGTGATTCTGGATGCTTCATCCACGCCCTTATCGATCCACCGAGACGCACAACGCGTCTGAAAAGGATCATTCATAACAAAACGGATTCCGGGCCGAGAGATATCCAGCCAACGAGGATCCCTCCTTGTAGAAGACCCCGGCTCACGACATCCTTATTGTAGCTAGCGTGATACAGCATAGCCACAAAGTTGGCAGGCCAAGCGAATGCCATACGTCTGCATTCGACGCGCTGACGGGAAGAGAAAGCCCGTGAAGAAGTTGGTACGCAGTCTGGACGTGCCATTGGCGAGCGGCGGTCGTGATGCAAGCTCTTGGTTTCATCAAAGGTGGCGTTTTTGAATTTCGGACCGTGTAAATCATCCACGTCTTGGACGTAATCAAAAGCTTCATTCTGAGCATGCCCCGAGCAAAAGTAGAGACTTCCAAAGAGGGAATACAGTATCATACTGCTATTCAAGCGCCTTGGAGGCTGTAAAATTGTGTTTAGGTAGTGACAAGTCGAACGGGCTGGATCTTGTGGAACACAATCCCAGACTCATTGTGGGAAGAAACCACGTTGTGGTACTCACAGAACATGTCGTTTCGGCAATTCAAGGTGGTCTCTGGCCTCCGCGAGTGCACCGAATTACCCCGAGGTCAACATCACCTCTGATGCACAGATCCTCCGGCGTCACTTTAGCCAAGCCACTTGGCACTAGGGATGCAGTCTCGGCGCCATCGTCACCCCGCTCATTGACCAACTCGAATAGCGTGAGAAGATTTGTGATCTGATAATCATGTCGGAATCCGAAAGGAATGTTGCGTCGATTGGCCGGGCCCGACTGGCCCGGGTTGATGTCGGGGAAATCCGTGCTAATCTTGCTGTATAATGCTGCAGACAACCAGGGTCTGGATCTAGCTCGGGGACATCTCACAGTGACACGAGGTGAATTGGAATTGTCTATCCTGAGGATATCCCACGGTCTCCCACATTCTCGCTATTGCAATTTCGTTCCTCGCTGTGCGCTCATCACCGATCCGTAACAATGTCCACCTCGTCGGACTCGAAGAAAAGCATCACTGGTTTCTTCAACACTGATATCAATGCCAAACACGCTGAGGTGCTGCTGTACGGTTGCTGTCTGAGCTCAGGTCTTGTTGATAGCACCCTCTACAATGGTAAGTAGTCCCGTCTTCCCTCTTACTCTGCAGCTACTGATTGCGCAGCCTACAACACGTTCGTCTCGATGCAAACGGGTAAGTCAGTCGAACAATGTCACGAACTCAGCTCATCATCAAGGAAACACCATCTTCGTCGGCCTGGGCGCATCAAATCAGAACCTTAAACCATACGGCTGGGCGCGCTCTCTCACCTCAATCGGATGCTTCGTTATCGGCTGCTTTCTCTTCGCTCGGCTGAGCCGTCTGCTCGGACCAAAACGCAGAGTGACCCTAGTTCTTTCATTCTTTCTACAGGTCGCTATGCTGGTCATCACTGCTTCGCTGGTACAGAGCGGCGTGATAGCCGGCATCCCCTCAAACCCTGCTGCGAGCGAGACCCACTGGAGCCAGGAAGCGCCTATTGTGCTCTTGAGTATCCAGTCTGCAGGTCAGATCGTCGCTAGTCGGGCGTTGGGGTTCAACGAGATCCCAACCGTGGTCATTACCAGTCTTCTCTGTGATTTAGTCTCCGACCCAAAGTTGTTTCTCCTCCGCAATGAGAAGCGGGATCGCCGGGTGGTGGCGTTTGTTCTGACGCTGATCGGTGCAATTGCTGGGGGATGGATCACCAAGGCGACACACGATATCTCGCCTGTGCTGTGGATGGCTGCCGGTCTGAAGCTGATTATTTCTGTGTCATGGATATTCTGGAGAGAGAAAGAGGGGGAAATTGCAGTATAACTCATATTGGCTAGGACAACGGCAATCTGAATGAACTGATAGATCATAGAATTACGCAACCCAGATATTCTGCTCCTGGCCATACCCATAGGCGATAAACGAGTCCCGGAAATACTTCTCCAGCACCACCTGCTCATACGATAGATCGTCCACGCAGTAGTCACCCCCTGTTGGTCCGATATGCGGACAGTGTATATCCGGCCGGTACTTGACCATAAGCTCATGCACCTCGCGACAGAGCAGGGTATCCCGGCCCAGCTCGTACGCCTGTCCGAAGCGCGTCTTGTTCGTCAGGAAATCCATGCAGGCGTCCCGACTCTCGTATTGCTGGTTCTCCCCCTTGCAGTTGTCTTCGTGCGTCTGGCAGATTGTGTCTGCTAGTTGCTGCGTAAGCGCTGCCCGCACTATGGCCAGGTCGGTGGTATTCATCCTCGCGGCTTGCGCTTTGAGCAGCGCCTCGAGGAGGGGCCCGAACCACCTGAATGTGGCGTCGTACTGCACAATCTTCTTCTGCGTGTCCCATTCGATCCAGGAGTCGATGGTTACGGGGATGATGACGCCGAAGGAGGTCGAGTTGAAGGTGACGACCGTCGTCGCCGACGCGATGTTGCCGTTGGCTGTGAACTGGGTGATGCTGTATGCGATGGGTACGCCCACGAGACTAAGGTGGTCTGGCTCGGAGAAAAGCCCAAAGATGTATTCATTGTTGAGCTCGCGGCCGTCGAAGGTGCGTGTGATGTCCACTCGGCCTTGGACCTGGATCAATATGTCAGAACGGGTTGTGGTTCCATCGAACTAAGCAGGAGGTACATTTTCGGCAAAGACAGAGTCATCCGTGGCGTTGATCTGTGCTACGTTCGTCGGGTAGAGAAAGGTATCCCAGAAACTTCTCTCCAGAGACCAAAGATCGTCAAAGGAGTAGTCAGGCTTGACGTCGGCATTATGAAGAGGACTCGACGCCGTCGCCAGGCCTGACAGGCAGCAAGCTGCAAATAAGGCACTCGCAATCGTGTGTGAGTACATCGTTGAGACTAATCTCTGGTTTTGTTTGAGGACATCTTGCATGTCTCAATTTATACATTTCCTTCTGATTTACGGTGACTGGTGACCGAGACACTCTGGAATGCAGGCATCAACAACGCGCCTCGTCGGACCGAGAATGTTGACTGAAAACCTATTATTGGAATCAGCGGGATGACAAGACACCCCTTATGATCGACGTTCCTGACTGGCTCTATGGCTCGGACCATTCCTTTAATCCCAACCCGGAGTTTGGTGTCCCTTGCAGTAACCACATACTCATTCAAGGACAAGAACAAAGACTTAAATCTTCTCGACTGCTGGGATGCTCGGACGGAGCATCAACTCAATAAGTTCGTGGACGGTGGGAGAGACATGGCTAAAAGGCCTCAACGATATGGAAGATTACTGGGTGCCTTCTAACTCTTAGAACCCACAGTATCCATTCATGAAGTAGCCTTGAGACACCATCCAACAGCAGCTGCCTTTCTCGAATTGGCTGCCGCTGAGGCGATCAGCTTAGATGGTGACCCAATGGACACCTCAGGTTAGGAAATCGATACGCCGTAGAGCTCACCTTGATCGAAGGCTTCAGGTAGTCCTTGTTCCTTAGTTCATGCTATGGCCATAATGAATTTCCCTTGCCATGGAGTAAGGACCGCTCACAAATATGCGTAATAGGTATAATGCCTTCTCATAACCAGAATAAGACACGTTAGAATAACATAGAATGCAATTCAAGAGAGGTCAGATGTGCCTCTGGTACGGGTAGTAGATTTAAAGCTGTAATACTGATTACTATTTGCCAAAAGTAGCGCAGACCGGAGCTTTCCCTGCTAATACCCCTTTTTTCCCCTCATCTCTCCTAGTCAACCTCTCCTCCTAATCATACGCTTTACTCCATTACAGCCTACTATCTCATTACATTCAGACTCTGTGTTATAACATGGCCCAACCAGCAGACTCCAGTGACGGGAATCCTTCCCTGAATCATTTCTTTCATTTGGCCAGCGCCTTGCTCCCATCCTGAATACGACACGGAGCATGAAGAGCGCTGGTGTCAGCAGCTCTGGTATTAAGATGAGCAGCGCTCTGCTGTGCAGCTGATCACTTATGCTGTTAGTGAAGGGTGGTCCTGGGGCTTCTTCAGCTACCGCACAGTTCACACCCCTGAGTCTGATCAGGCCTGGTCTGCCTGTCTTGAGAAAACTGATCGCTATATCCACGGGGAAATTGACCATGTTGATGGTGAGCGGTATGCAAGAATGAATGATAGTTACCATGAGACTTGCTTTCTATGTCATAGGATGTAAAGAGATTAAGAGAACAGAAAGAAAGGGCCTGATCCAAACCCAAGGTACATTGATATGTTGCATTTTCAAGATCTGGCGAACCAAATTTTGCCCTTGTAAATATTGTTACTGCTGTACATTTCTTGCTGTCGACCATGGGCGCTACAGTAATGGAAATGCAATAGGGGAGATAAAAGATGCTGAGTTTTTCCCTTGGCTACCAATCCAGAAGGCACAAACACCCTCTCACCACCAGGGGGCGTCAACCATATGTCATCTAGCATCACTTGGGCAATAAGTCTGTTTTGGCCCTCAGGATCCCATTTAATAGATAACTTCTTGTTGAACTTATGGACTTGCAAGCCTAAAATGATTTTAAATAGACCGGGATAGTATCATCCTATTAGGCGCCAGAAGTTTTAGAGGACTACTGTGAGCTCTTTTGCCCGCTAATACATGGATGGTCACAAAACGAACCGGCCCTTCAGTACGAAGATAAAGCATGAACAGAAGGTCTGGGATGTCCAAGCGCACCTGGTTTTGTTCACATAGGATGGCTTGAAGGAGTGGTCCATCCCCAAGAGCAATATCATCGGAAAGGCGACCAATGTGGTACACTCAAGATGAATCATTAAAAGTTGACTGGCTTTGAATAGAGTCGCCTTCATCATGAAAGTTGCAGATCCCTCTACAATTGTTTACCCGATCAAGCATCGTTATGCGAGAAGGCTGAATAGCTTATGTGAAGTTGCGACTTGGTTCGCATATCATCTCAACAGACTATATACAGTGATATAAGAGGCACCTCGGCAAAATGATGGCGTTATCCCTTCAGGACTGTGAAGGTAGCCTAGAAAAACGATCCCTTCAGCGCAGAAGCCACAGCCTGTGCCGTGAGGTTCTGGATTGCAACGCCAGGGTGGTAGTCATTGAACCACAGACAGCTGGTGCCATCGCCGTTATAGCAGGTGGCATTGGGCGCACCATAGGCTGTGGGATTATCCAATGCCTTATTGAACGGCGCTTGCGTATCCACGATTGTCGCGGTGACACCGCTGTTCTTGGACTTGAAGCTAGCGAGATATGTCGCGATCAGGTTGTTGTACTTTGCGATCACTGCCGCTTCCGCGGTAGTGGCACTGGTGCCTTGAGAAAGCATGAGTGGAGAGCGGTTGATTGCTGTAAAGTATTAGAATCCATCGGTGATATCAAACAGAAGCAAGACTTACGAGGAACGCCGAGGAGCACGTAGTTCCGCACTCCAGCGTTGTAGAGAATTTGCAGCTGCCCAAAGTAGCTATCCATGATCTTGATGAGGAGTTCATCAATATTGGACAGCCAGTATGAGTTGCCAACGTCATTCACGCCCATCCAGACGCCCACGAGAGTGTTCTCGCTGGTCCACGGCGCATAAGAGGGCTTCGAGGCGATGCTGTTGGTGAACTCGGTGACCTGATCGATGAAGCTAAGGACAGTAGAGGTATATGGGGCAACAAGACTGGCGTTGGTCGTCGCTCCACCGTAGGCAAAGTTGTATGACAGAGTCAGGGACAAGTTATATTTCGAGACGAGGAATCCGATCCAGTTCAAGCCTCCAGTCGTCGTCCATCCTGGCAAAGTGGGGTTCCCGAGGGGGTTCGATGCGGAGGGCTTGCTGCCGTTGATGTCGAATCCGGTCTGCGAGTAGGAGTCGCCACTAGCCTGATGAGTACAAGGACGTTCAGTATGAAGCTGAGGGCAACTCACAAGGTGATGAAGTACTTCAGCCCGGTGGGTGTGGCGGTGTTAGTTGTTGTGGGCGTTGTGGTTGTTGTAGTACTCGGTACAGTGCTTGTTCCAGGGACGCATTGAGCTAAGTGTTGGCGATTAGAATTGATCTATCTTCAAAAGTAGGAATGTAGAATAATGCAACAGACGTACAGTACCACGGGTTCCAAACTGTACAGACAGCTCCAGCGACGCACGAGGTAGGGCCCGAGTAGCCCGCGCCACCACACTGAGCGTATAATGCTGCTTGGGCATTGGCACCAAGTACCAGAGCCAAGGAGGCAGTCACTGATACGATTGATGTGTACAACATTATGGAAGGCCAAATAATGAGCACAAGACCGGATGAGGACAGGAAACTTATATGGTGGTCGTTGTCTCAAGCAATGCATCGAGATGCGAAAATCCTCGAAATATATAGACTCGGATGTCTCTGCATCAAAAGCCATTGAAGAGGACCCATTGGTGGAAAGTCGCGTGGCGTACAATATCTGAGCCTTCAGTATTGCGGTATTCATCGACATCCGTGATCAAAAGGGTAACGGGCAATCAAATCTCGGCCAGTTCCCCCGACAAGCCGGAACGAGGGGATTCTCCTCGTTTTATCCGTCCAACCGGCCAGATTATTGGGCTGAATGTTTGCATCCGGGGACGAGCTTAGCTTTCCCGGTTTCTTCAGCCATCTCCCCGCAATTTAGTCTCGCTACCCGTGACGAATGCGGGGACCGACTCGGAGAAATGGATTTGAAATGGCATGGTACAGACCTCCCTGATATATCTGAATCATTTGGGTGAACCATCCCTGTGTCTTACTATTCAAGTGTCATGCCCTAAACTCTTCAACAGGGAAGCTTATTTATACAACACTTTCATGTCTGCAGTGGATGTTTATAATAGAGGGTCCGAGGAGTAAAGACGTCGTTACTGTTTGTATCTAGCTTTATAATTACTTCTTATAACTGAAGCTAGGACATGGCTTTTAGGGAAGGCGGGACTGACGAGATGCACGCAGAGTAACAATGATCTGTTCCTTTTGGTGAAATCGTCCACTGTACCGAACTTGCTCTCTCGGCGAGAGCTATATGGACAATGACGTAGAGGCAGCAGCCAGCTGATCTGCAATGGTTGAATCCCTGGAACAAAAATTGTAGAGGGACACAGTCCAGCAGGTGTTGGCAAAAGCTCACCGCAACTTGAACAGCTGTTCAACCTCGCTGGGTTAGGTTGTGTCTTTTGTCATAGATGACTTCGAAATGTAGGATACTGCAGCTCCAAGAATTATCTTTTACCTGATTCTTTGTTATCCTATGTTGATAGCCTGTTCTCACTCATCCTCCTTTCAGTTCCACCGTGATCTTGTATCCCGGCTGCACAATCAATAGTTTCTTTGCCAGCCTAGCCTCGCATCCTCCCCGACTTCCTGCAAAGGTATCTAAATCGAAACGTGCCAATAACATAGCAAAGTGCAATGGGACATTGCTGGCTTTTTGCCTAAAAAGAAGTCCGGCAGAGCTCCTTGTGTCGATGTGAGTAGCGGAGAGCCGCGAAAGATGAGGGCTGCTGTTCTTGGGATAGTCGCCACTAGCTAAGATATCCTTGTATAGGTATATCCTCATCCTTTGTCTATCAATATGAGCACATAAAAGATGTATAATCCATATCGATTAGAATAGAGGCGATTCAGTTGGATGCAAATTGCCCGCAAAGTGCAGGGGCAGCGTCGTAATCCATCAGGCAATAAAAGAGTGGCTAGTGGTCAACCATCTCTTCTATAATTACCCACTTAGCAAGAGCAGAAGGGCAGAATATGGCCGTGGTACCTGAGAATACAGTAAGCCCAATAAAGCGACTTTTGTGGCGCATATGGTGGCTGTGGTGCACGGCATGGCGCCGCAGGAAGATTGTGAACCTGCAGTGTTAAAGGCAAACTGATTGGTAGATAAT